AGCGTAAGTGTTTCAAAAGGTTTAATGGCGGTGGCAGATGTGAAGTTAAATTCACCAACTCAAACAAACAGTCAAAGTGTTATTGTCAATGTCAAAGAAAGAGATGTTGAAGTGGGGAAACCATACGAAGACCAAGATGGTATAACAATAGTTCCTGTAAAAGAACAACCAACATACCCTGAAGTTAGCAGAGACTTAAGTTCTGTTGCAGATATTCGAAATGACTACCAACAACTGAAAGACAAACTTCAAACTCAGGAGAAGATTTGTCAAGCTTTAGGTATAATGTTAAACTTGGTCGAACACAACCCTGTAAAAGTGAACTCATATGTCATTGCACCTCATGAAGTTTTGAAAGAACTATTGAAACTTTTGACAGAGGCAGACAATATAAACATCAAAGAAATAGAACCCGACGTTAGTTGCTGTGGTGTTTCATATAATGTCATTGACAAGATATACGTTATGAAAGGAGGTGAAACGTTGAACTTAAAATATAGTTTCCCAGACGTTATAAAAATATTTGACGACCACAACATTTCATTAAAATTTATTTGCTAAGTAAATGGCAGAAGACACAATGGCTTATACTATTACGACTAAAAACCCTGAGTCATATAATTCTATAACAACAAACTTACAAAGTCCTCAAGGACGATATTGTAAACTAACCTTAAACACAATGACGACTAAAGCTTGTTTTGCTCTTTTGACACCAGAAGATTTTATTGTTGTGAATGGTAAAAAATACTCCTTTGAAGATACTTACTCAGATATACCACCAACAGGTTTTGTTGACTTATTTAATACTTTAAGGACGAGTGTAACATGTGCTGCAACTAGAGCAGGTTTCATTATGTTTGGATGTCCGACTGAGTTTACTATAAACAATATGAGCTATAATACAAAACTTATATCTGGTTTTTACTACCAACAGTTTCCTATAACAGGAAAAGGTGTCATACAAGGAATGTCTGTTCCATTGACTTTAAGCACACCTATTTTATATATTGTTTCAAACTTAGGTTCAAAGTGCTATTCGAATGTCGACAGAAACTACTATGACCAAAAGATACTTATGCGTATAAACAACACTTTCTCTGCTGGTTTGCCTATTGTTCATTCGAATGCAGAGTTTTCAGCTTTAGTAAACTCAAACACTTTAGCAAACATAAACTTAACCTTAGTTGACGCAAACTTTGTTCCTGTAAAACTTTTATGTCCTATGTATTTGTCAATGACGGCAGAAAGTTTCGAATTGGAAGATGCAACTGGTGAAAGTATTGTATTACAAGAACAACTTCAACAACAAATAGCTCAAGAACAACAAATGCAACAAATAGCTCAAGAACAACAAAGTCAAGAATAAAAAAAATATTTTTTTTATTTTTATAAAAATGTACAGAATAGATGTTTCAGATTTTTATGACTTCCAAGCATTCAGAAATATGTGTCCATTTCGAGACTATAACAAAGCAGTCGAGAATTTGAAACGTTTAGTCATTTATGTCGACTCTGCCCCAGAATGTTATGTTATGAAAGAATGGGATGTAGTCTTTAACAAACCAAGAGCAACAATAGTTTCAGAACAAGAATGTAAACAGAAACTTAAGAAAATAAAAGTTGTACAAGTTGGCATGAAGATGTTAGATGCTTGGGATATCTTATTGTCAAAGTTAGAAGATTTTTCAGTTCGAGGTATAAAGTTCTATACACCTTCTCCAAACTTCTATTCTATCTTCACTGGATATAAATACGAACAAGTAGAATGGAAAGAAAATATTATAGAAGCTTGGTTAGACCATGTCAAAGAAATTATATGCAATGGAAACGAAAGAGTCTATGAGTATATCTTATGTTGGTTTGCAAACATCTTACAACATCCAAGTGCTAAAAATGAAACTGCTCTCATTATAATTGGAAAACAAGGAACAGGTAAGAACACATTTTTACAGATATCTTATGCAAACTGTTAGAAGGTTATTCGAACCCGAATATGACAAACTTAGAAAACATCTGCGGTAAATTTAACTCTTCAATAGAGAATATGAAACTTATAGTATGTAACGAACTTCAAAGTATAGATACAACAAAAGTTTTGAACTCAGATGCTTTGAAGAGTCTTATAACAGACAAAGTTGGAGTTGTTGAAAGAAAGTATAAAGACCAAAGAGTTTGTGAAAATGTTGCAAACTTCATTATGGTTTCAAACAATGCTGTTCCGATGAAGTTAGAAAGTTCTGACAGAAGATATGTAGTTGTCAGAACGTCAGATTCTCATATGCAAGATACAAAATATTTTGACGACTTAGCAGAAACTTTGACATCTGACTTTTACAACCACTTGTTCTCATATTTCATGACATTAGATATTTCTAAGTTCAATCCAAGACAAATTCCACATACCGAAGAGAGACAAACATTGTTAGAAGCAAACAAGAGTGTATATGAACTGTTCATAGATGAAACTGACTTTGAGTGTTTAGATGAAAGGTCATTGTACGATTCGTATAAACAATATTGTCAAGAGTATGGTTATATGACAGCGTCTAAACGAACATTCTTGGCAAATGTCAAAAGTCTTTTAGACGTACAGAATGGTGTATATACAAAGAAAAATTTTTCTGAGTAAATTTTAAAAAAAAATATTTTTTTATCCGATAGAAAAGATGACAAAATTCATCTCAGTAAACAAGTACATGTCAGGACTTAAAGAAGAACTAGACCCATTCACATATTTGAATGTTTACTTCTACCATTTTGAAAAGTCTTCATTCAGCAAAGTTTGGAACATCGAACCAGTTAAGTTTGCTGTTGTGACTAAAAATGGTGCAAAATTTGAAGACTTAGACATAGAAGGTTTGTTAGCAGTCAAAGAAAGTTTTGACAGAAGGTTTTCAAAACTCGAAGAAGGTAAAGCATACAAACTTGTTATACCTTATGAACCAAAGAAAGCAGACGACTATGAATATTATGAGTCTAAAGTTGTAGAAGTTCAAGGTAAATTGGGTAAAAAGATTTTAGAGTCTAAGCCAGTGTTTGCTCCTAAAGAGGAAGAGAACATTGACATTGACCCAGAAATGTTCTAAAAATAAAATTTTATTTTTACATGTCAAATTTCTTTTTCTCTGGAACTGGTTCAGGTTCTTTCTTCTCTTCTTCTACTTTCTTTTCTTTCTTTTCTCTCTTCTTCTTTTCTGGTGGAGTTATGTCAAACTTCTCAGAACCATATTTTTGTAAAAGTTCTTTGTCCTTTAAGGATGGGCACTCATTAGGGTGATGAAAAAAATCAAGTCTAGCAAAGTCAATATATTAAAAACAGTGAAGACTATTATATAGCATTATAGTGCACAAGCTCAAATATTTAGTGATGCATTTCTCGAACTTATTTTATTTATAAGTTAACCTTGAAACATGAATTTTAGTATATTATGAGCATATTTTTTTCTAATTTTGCAATACTTATAATATCATACCAGGATTCATGTGGAAGTCTAATATTTGGTATATAATATTCTTACAATAAATGTATTAATTCAATTATATTCAAAATGATGGGTCGCAATTTTTACTGAAATTGCAAATTTAATTTCAACAATGAAATTATTGTTTAAAAAAAATAGCACAACAGCAAGATGGACAATCATATATAGAATTATAATGCTCCATATAATGTTTTGATTTGATGCGTATATAATGTTATTTTTCGAACATCTTTGTAAAAAATTGATTTTTGTAATTTTTGAAAAAATTCGATTTTATTTCGAGATTTCCTCTATAGGTGAAGTATATTGAACAATATTCCTATGGGAGAAAATAATTGTAAGCATGAGTACTTTCATTAATACTATGGGTGCCATGGTTATCGCTCAAACGATCAAGTTATATCTCGATTGCGTAAATTGAAATTTTGCTATTTTCTAAATTCACGGCAACAACATTCTTTTATCCTGATCGTACATCACAATATTTGAATGTGCGACCATTTGTTCAAGAAACCGTCAAGTTATTCTTCATTTTTCATGCCGCGGCGAACAAAAGCAGTTGCAAAGCGTATAAAGAACTTAGTTCAAAGCGCGAAAAATAGGGTAGAGCCATATGTCGTCAACACTGTTGAATTTGTGCTATCTGTATTATTGAGCGGCGCTACATTTTGCCAATCAGAATTTCAATTCATGCTGAATAACATCAAAGTTCCGTCAGAAGCTACATTTCATCGAGTCCAAGAAAAGGTTGGTCGTGTTATCATAGAAGTTGCCAGAGAATCTGTTAATTATTGGAAATCTCGAATGAGAAAATGTTCGGGACTTTTGTTTGACGGTTCTTGGAGTCAGAGAAGAAATGCAATGTTTTGCTATGTACAATTTGTAGAAGAGAAACTCAAAAAAATTGTAGATTGGGAAGTGATATCTAAATCTTTTAAAAATTTCAAAGGTAATTTCAACGGAAAATCAAATGAAATGGAATTTGAAGGCTTAAAAAGAATGCTGAAGCGTTGGAATAATGAAAAACGTGTAAATTTTTTTGTGCATGATGGCGATGTCAAAATTGTTTCTACAATCAAAAATACGTTCAAAGGTATCAGAGAATACAGAGATCCTGGACATTTTCTTAACAATATACAGAAAAAGCTCAAACTGCCAGAATTCAGAATCTTATCTAGCATTTCAAAGAATTTATTGCGTTGGCTTAGGCAACTTCTCAATGACACACATATGTCAATTAAAACAAAGAAGTTTTTATGGTTGAATTCCGCTAAACATTATGCCGGAAATCATAAATTTTGTCCAGATCCTGAAAAATGCAAGATGATTAAACCATGGAAATATGCAAAAAATAAAACTGCTATAAAAACACTTAAAAAATTCCTCGAAGATACCGTAAAAATCTTTGATATGGTAAAAAAGATTCATTCAACTCAAGTAGTTGAATCGATAAACCATATCAAAGCAATGCTTGCTAATAAAAATATTAATTGGCATGCTTCTTGGCCAATTAGGATGGCAGTCACAATATTGCATTTCAATGAAAGTATGTTTGAAACGATTGTAGCAATAAGATACAGGTTAAATTTACCAACAATGCCAGAAATGATGAACAGATATTTCAGAATGTATGATACAACAAAAGATTTAATCAAAGCATTCAAAAATTCAAAGCAAGTTCAAAAAAAGTTTGCGGCATTAAGAGCTATAAAGAGAGGTCTTCAAGCTACCGCTGATCGTATTACTCTTAAATCACATAAATAATTATTAAATTTATTTCACCCTCAAAACATCATAATCTTGCACCTTCTTTGAATAAACACTTTCACCTTCTATTTTTAATTAATGTTTTTTAATTGTCCAAAATTTTTAGATTATATAAGATATAATTTTTTATAAAAGTATTATTTTCTAAAAGATAAGTATATATTCTTAATCACAAAACATAGCATTTTATCATATCTATATATCAGCTTCCTAAATATAATACTCATATAGTTAGTATGATTTTAATGTTTTTGAACATGAAACGAAAATATGATTACAATCATATAACATAATGGAGTTATTGATATAACTTATATGCATGATACATTAAGAAGTCTTCCAACAATATAGATATAGTCGTAGATTCCTATGATTCCTTTTATATTGTGAGATAATAACATTTTTATGCTGTCAGGAGCCTATGAGTGCCCATCCTTAATAGCTCTTCTATTCTGTTTTCTATTTCATCTTCAAGAACAGTGCATGTGTCTTCTTTGCATTCTAAGAAGTTTTGTTGGACTTCATCTCTCCAAGAGGCGTCATCTCTGTCAACAAGTCTGTCATTGACAAATTTTAAGACTGCTCTGCTTAATGTTTTATGGTTCTTGTCATATTCCCAGAAACAGAACTTTAGAACAAATTCACCTTTCTTGTTTACACTATGTAAGATTTTATGGTCGACAGATGTTTTGCTGTCGAAAAGCTTGTCTCGAATATAGATGGCGAAATCGCTAGACATTTTCTAAAAGATAAAAATTTTAATTTTTCTAAAAATATGTTAGAAAAAAAGTTTGCTGACATTGACAAAAAATTTGAGAATGTTTTAAACAAGAACAAGAGGAAGTTGGAAAATGCTCAGATAAAACCCATACATGACAAGTTCTTATTTGCTCAGAATGGTATAACAGGTCTAATTGCACCACCTGGGTCGGGTAAGACTTTCACTTATCTTAAAATGGCTGCACAACAACAAGAACTAGATGAGAAGAACCCATTCTATGAGTTAGTTGTTATTTGTAGTACTTCGGGTCAATTTGACCAAACCGTCAATTCGTTCAAAGATATTATAAAAAAGTCTAAGTTAGTATGTATAAAAGACTCTGAGTTGTTAGATTGGATAAAGAAGTACCAAAGAAGAGTTTTGAAGTACAATGCTATAAATGAGTATGTCAATTCTAAGTTTAAAGACCCAAATGAGGAAATGCAGAGAATATTAGAGAAGAAACACTTCAGAAACAAACAGAAAGAGATAGAATACATTTCGAAGAAATTGCAATCTTACGATTGGAAGACTTACCCTCATAGATGTCTTCTTATCTTAGATGACTTTGCTTCTCATCCTTTGTTAAAGAATAGAGAACAAGACATGTGTCGAATTCTTAAGAAGCTCAGACACTTTAACATCTCTGTTGTCATTTGTGTACAGACAGCCAAGAGTTTAAGTAAGGATGTAAAGAGAATACTTACTGATATTATACTTTTCCCCGGATTGTCCGAAGACGATTTCATGGAACTTATGAAAGAGTCCATGGCAGGTAAGTTTGACAGACATGAACTATGGGAGAAGTACAAAGTCATACAAGACCCTCATACTTCTTTCAGAATTCATATCTACGCAAACAAAGTTCAAATTGTAAAAAGTCAAGCTTGAAAAATGTAAGTGTTTAGTCTTAGTCTGTTGTGGTGCTGGGGCTGTCGGTTCTTCTGGCTTTGGAATGGACTCGGTTGGTGGTACGTCGGACATTCGTTTGTGTCCTGTCGGAGGGAAGAACTTTTTCTGTCGGAAGGAAGGACTCGGAATGTCGGAAGGAAAAACTTTTCCAGTTGTCGGGAAATTTTTTTCCTGTCTGAAGGAAAAATTTTTTCTGTCGTTCGACCAAAAAGTTCTCAATTTTCGAAAATTTGAATGGTTTACGGACGGACAACAAGAAATTTTTTTCCAGTTGTCAGGAAATTTTTTTCCTGTCTGAAGGAAATTTTTTTCCAGTTGTCGGGAAATTTTTTTCCTGTCGGAAGGAAGGACTCGGAATGTCGGATGGAAGGACTCGGAATGCCAGAAGGATTTGACAAGACAATTGACCTTATAGAGCTACCTGAGCCATCTGAAGTCAAGCTTGAAAAATAAATGGTTCATTTACTCTACTTGTTTGAAGTTGTCAAAATACTCTGTTATTTTTTCCTTTAACAATGGCAAATCTTCTTTGAAGGTAAGTATTGTACAACCTTTAATATCATAGTGTGTTTGAGGTAACGTATCTTGAACTATTTGTTTCACATCTTCATTTGGTGTCATTGAAATCGGTAAGTTTTCGCGATAGAACCAATTTCTGTCAGATTTGTAAATCTTAGCAAGGTCGTAAAAGCTTTTGTTGTTTCTTCTGACTAAATGCAACATAACCATATCTTTATCTTCTTCTTTCTCCATATCTTCAGTATAAATCATATACTTATAGTTCTTTTCCTTTCCTTTTGGTACCGAACGTGGTATTCTTTTCTGAAGGCTTTTGTCTTCTTTCATCATATCTTCTCTCTGCTTTGTACAAAGTTCGTCAAGTAGCATAAGTATGTAGATTGCATAACGAGGTGAAGCCCACATTGCTATTGAACTAACTAGGAACTTATGAACATATATACCTTTTAGATGTGATGGTAAGTTTTTCTGTCTTGGTACATCTTTTTAAGTTCTACATGTTCAAACTCACTGAGGAGTTCATGAGTGCTATTTAATTCAAACCAATCGTCTGTATGTTTGGTATCTGGAGCAAAACATGCTGTCAAAATACTTTGCATTTGGTACATATCGTCTTTGACCGAACGAATGAGACGTAACTGTTTGTTATACTGTATGTACTCATATTCTTCATTTATGTCTTCATGAACGATAGCAGTTGTTGTGTTCTCTGTTGTTGTCATATCTGTTCTTACATACAAAATAAAAAAAATATTTTATAAAAAATTAGCGTTATTTCCTGACTTTCACAAAAGACCAAAAAAAAACGCTTTACATGTATTTTTCAGCAACTTCGTCAAATAATTTTATAGCTTTACCTATCTCATCTACTTCAAACGTTTCTTTACCTTTCGTGGGAGCACCATACATTTTCTCAAACTTTTCAAGTAGTTCTGTTTCAGCAGCTCTCATATCGTTAACGAACACAACCTTAACTCTATTGACTATACTGTCATATCTTTGAGTTATATTATATGTTCTTCCTATCTTATATCTTTTTGTATTGAAGTCCTTCGGTTTCTGAACGATGTAAAGTAAGCCTTCACTGCAACGTTCCGTATCGAATGAACCATATGTTATGAAGTTATATCCAACAACTGGGTCAATCCATAACAAAACTATTGGTATAAGACTTTTGTCTATAAGATATGCTGTAGTTCCATAGAATCTTACCGATATCATAAGCTCAGGATTTCTTGTCAAAATTTTCTGAGTAGAAGCAATTCCAACCCAATGCCATGTTTTCTTTCCAGATGGAGATATAATGTCTGACAAAGAATATTTCTTGTATTTCTTTGAGTATCTTACGTTTAAATCACCAATTCGAACCACTTTGGTGTCATTGTCTATCTTTCTAACTATTTCAAACTCAGTGTTTGTCATTTTCTGTTTCTTACATACAAAATAAAAAAAATTTTTTTAAAAAAAACTAACTTTATTTTTTCTATTTTGTATCTTAAGGAAATTCATGAAATTTGGTCATTTTTTTACGATTTTCATGAGTTTTATGCAAGACCAAAAAAAGTCTAAATCGCAATTTTTTACGATTTTCATGTATAAAAGATATGATTTCAGGGATTTTTTTACGAAGTGTTAAAGTTCTCTTCGTAAAAAAATAACAGTTATATAATGAAATTTGGTCATTTTTTCACGATTTTAGGGTAGATGGTTTTTAGGTGTCACCAGGTCCCTCGGTCCCTCGGTCAACTAACATCTTTTTGAAAATGGTGACAACATGACATTTTGACAACAACACAGGAAATAAACTTCTTCGTATATGTTTTGTCATGATTTCATCGAAATGAGTGTAAATGTTTTGTCAAACATGAGCGTAAATGAACCAAAAATATATTTTAGGTGAAGAGGTGAGATCTCACCTGTTTTCTCACCTCTTTTCTCACCTGTTTTTTTCACAAGCGTTTTACATGAATTGTACGATGTATATTTGAAATTCTAAACAGTTTTGTAGCTTCGATTTCTTCTGTCAGTACATCGAATGTTTTAACTATGCCGAAAGTCTCTTTATATTTCTTCTTGACATCAGATAGAAGGAAATCGTCAGCAGTTGGATAGTTTTTGTTCAGAAATTCTAACATGTCCATTTTATCTTCTGCTGGTTTCTCTACTTCTTTCTTTAAGTCAGCATAGTCGTTTCTCATTCTTTCTATCTCTTTGACGGAGTAGTTATATTTCCTCATTGCTGCTTTACATTTAGAACATTGCGGGTTCATTTTAGCATTGTACATTGAAATTTGTCCTGCAAGTACAACTATAGCGTCAATGGTCCTCTTAAATTCAAAACATGCAGGTTTTATTTGTTCGTTCCATATTTTACCTCTTCTATCTTTATCTCTTATCTGCCATACACATTCAGCAACTAACGAAACAAAGTTGTCGTAGGTCTTAAATTCTTCAGATTTATATATGTCAGAGATGTTCTTATATACCATATCGCAGTCTTTGTCCATAACCTTATGGTTGCAATGAAATCCTAGAAATTCATAGTTTACCTTTCGTATGAACTTCTTTATTTCTACTGAGTCGGTTGGTCTGACTTCAATTTCATCGAATTCAGGAATAGTAAGCTTTTGTTGTTGGATTTCAGGAAGTTTAGGTAGATGGTCGATGAGGTCCTGCATTTCATAGAGATATTGTTCATTTGTTTCATCTTTTGCAGTGCAATCTAAATCTCCTTGGAGAAGTTCTTGCTTTATCTTCTGGATTTCTGTTTCGAAAGTATATGAAGAAGGAATGAAGCTTTTCATCTCTACTAACATAGATGTTGGATTCATGACTAAAGAGTTTGGTGAAGTTGTTGCTAACATGTTCTTACAATAAAAATAAAAAATATTTTTTTAAAAAAACTAACTTTATTTTTTTATCTTAAGGAAATTCATGAAAATTCAACGGGTGAGAAAAGAGGTGAGAAAACAGGTGAGATCTAACATGCTAACATAAAATATATTTTTTGGTGGTACGTCGGACATTGTTCTGAAACAGTACAAATATTGTTCTGAAACAGTACAAATATTGTTCTGAAACAGTACAAATATTGTTCTGAAACAGTACAAATATTGTTCTGAAACAGTACAAATATTGTTCTGAAACAGTACAAATATTGTTCTGAATCAGAACAAATATTGTTCTGAATCAGAAAATTTTTCTCACAAATTGAGAGCTTTTACGGGAAATTTGTTCTGAATCAGAACAAATATTGTTCTGAAACAGAACAAATATTGTTCTGAAACAGTACAAATATTGTTCTGAAACAGTACAAATATTGTTCTGAAACAGTACAAGACTAGTTCTGAAACAGAACAATGGACAACATCGAGCCATTAGATGAGGCAATTTACCTTATAGAGATAAATGAAGTTGTTAAGCAGTACTTGGGCAAGGACAAAGCCAACAAGTCCCTCGGCTTCTGGTTGTCTGGAAGAGGTGCGCTGAAAATCGAAATTGAAACTGGAATTCCAATTCAAATACCAGACGGGACAGCCTACGACGACATAAAGCAAGCAAAGAAGGAAGCCATTATAAAGTTCTTTGCCAAGCGTCCTTGGATACTACTTCCAAACAGAGAGAACCCTTTCCCAAGAATGAACCAAATTCTCCGAGGACTCTTACACTTCTCTGGTCAACCATTCTACATAACTACAGAAGGCGACATCCAACCAGTTCAGTAAACATCTCATTTTAACTCACTTTTTTTCTATCTTAAGGAAATTCATGAAAATTCAACGGGTGAAAAAAGAGGTGAGAAAACAGGTGAGATCTCACCTCTTCACCTAAAATATATTTTTGCCGAATTCAGAACAAAACTCAAGAGTTTTGGTTGAAAAAACAGGTGGAGCCAAAAGTGGCTCGACCTCAAAACAAGCATTTTGTGAAGAATATAGCAACCGGAAGAAAACCGGCGGTTGCTTTTTATACAAAATTCAAGAGGGTGAAAAAACAGGTGAAAAAAGAGGTGAGATCTCACCTCTTCACCTAAAATATATTTTTGGTTCATTTACACTCGTTACGATGAAGAAGTCTTGACATTTTCCTGACTGTTGTCAAAATGTCATGTTGTCACCATTTTCAAAAAGATGTTAGTTGACCGAGGGACCGAGGGACCGAGTGACATGGTGACACCTTCAGTAAACATCTCATTTTAACTCACTTTTTTTCTATCTTAAGGAAATTCATGAAAATTCAACGGGTGAAAAATTAGGTGAAAAAAGAGGTGAGATCTCACCACTTCACCTAAACTTTATTTTTCAATACTTTTTCAGCACTTTTCCGTAGTTATATATGAAAGACAATTCGAGATAAAAGTCATAGTACAATGGTATTATATGCTGCACACCATTTGTTGTGAACCAAACTTGAAAGTCAGAGAAACTGTTACTAGGTGGTTCGTAGAATTTAGAAGCAATGTCATAAACGTCCTTACCAATACATAGAAAACTATTGTTGCTTGAACTGAAACTTGCATGACACATAACATTTTGAGGGTCAAACACATTTCTATAAACTGTCAAATCTGCTGGTGGAAGTATAAATTTAAATGGACCATCTGGTGGTAATGGTTCGTTCTGGTTTAGTAACCGAAGAAATTGTGCCCAAGAACGTTTGTCTACTTTCCAAAATAAAAACTCTGTATCTCTTGGAGGGTTAATTTCAATCTTTTGAAATGAAACGGTGGAGTTCATCTTGTCATATTCTAGTTTCAGATAGTATGTTCCATTTAGTAAAGAGTCGTATTTTTCTTGAAATTCCCAATAGTATTTGTTCATTTGAGTTTGAAAGTCATTTAGAGTTTCTCAAGACTTTCGTCTGAACGAACTGTAAAGATTCTCATTTCATCAAATTTGTCTATAAGACCATCAGAACCTTTATACTGCCCATGAAAATATACTGCGAACATAAATGCGTTAGTTCTATTTGAAAACAAAACTCTTCTAAATCCTATTGCCTTTGCATCTGAAGGACTTTGAAGCCAACGAATTGGATAGTCAAACCTGTATGCTCGGGATGAAATTTCTTCATCTGAAATAGTCCTACCAGCATTTGTAAAGATATAGTCTAACGGTTTTGTATCTGCTACTTTTGTTCTTTGTTTTTCAACCTGAAGCATTTAATATATGTAAAAATATATGGTTTAAAATGGTATGCCATATAGCTTCTTGAATTTGTTAAGAAGTATTTGAACGTATTTTCCATCTGTATCTCTAGTGTTTACATAAGCATAGCCTTCCTTAGTAAAATATACTTGTAATTTCCTATAGTTTACGCCGGTATAAAAGTAGAAAGAGTCTTGTTCTTCGCTATAGTAGTAAAACTCAAACGTATGCTTGCCATAGTCTGTAATTTCAATTGTTTCATCTTCTAGTTCGTCGACAAATTCGAATACAATATCTCCAAATTTGCCTTTGTTCTTATTGTTTTCAGAACGAGTGACCCAACGTAAGTTTTCAAGTCTATTGTCGTTTCTTATACGGTTTATATGGTCTACAAAAGGTAAATTGTTAGGATTCAGTATAAAATGAGTTGCAATGACAACATGTTTAAGATAGTGTTTTCCACCCATATTCATAATAGCATATCCGTCATTTCGCTCCCATTCGCTTAAAACTCTTTTTGTCTTTTTGTTTCTGACTTCAAATGACTCACAACAGTGAATTTCATATTTCTCATCTAACAAACAAGTTTCCCAACGGTCTTCTCCAACAAACTCAGCGTACATTTCAAATAAAATAAAAAAATATTTTTTTAAAAATATATGGTTTTAAAATGGTATGCCATTTCATATTTCTCATCTAACAAACAAGTTTCCCAACGGTCTTCTCCAACAAACTCAGCGTACATTTCAAATAAAATAAAAAAATATTTTTTTCTTTACTTTACATAACCGCCTGCTGCCATAAGTCTTTGACGCCAACCCATACCAGCTAATGAAGGTTGACTTGGTTTAGTTTGGAAACTAAACTTTGGTTTTGGTTTATCTTCAGTTTTTGGTTTCTCTTCTTCTATCGGTTTTTCGTCACTTTTCGGTTCCTTTGACTTTACCTCACTTGCAGGAATAGTTGTGTCGTCAACATCTTCATAAATATCATATGCCATTTGTTTTTGTTTTCCTTTCAACTTTTTGTGTTTGTTGTAAAGTTTAGAATATTTCGACTCTAAGTCAATGAGATGTTCTATAATGAACTGTTGGTCAGTGAAGTAAACTTTTCCATCTGTTGTCTCGAAAGCTCCTTCAGACTTCAATATTTTATTTGTGAGAGTCTGTTTCTTTTTTGAGATACTAGCCGTTCCATTTTTATGAAAAGTGACTTTGTAGTTAGGGTTTGTATTTCCAGACCTGGCACTTTCTATATTGAATTTTTCTCTTCATCTGTAAGTTCTTTGACGGGTTTTGACAATGGTTCTGAACTTTTTGTTTGTGGTGTCAAATCTACCGTTTCAACTTCTTCGGTCATTTCATCTCAGTAAAAAATTTTAGTTTGGTTTGTTTTCAACTGGTTGTTGTTGTTTTTTAAGTCGGTCTAAAACTTCCTGAGGTATAGGAAGAACTTGACAAACACGTTGTGTAACTGCTGGAAGTCGACAAATCCATCTTGAACCCATTTGTCTCAATGCTGTATTGTTCATTTCATCTCAGTAAAAAACTTTACATTCCCCACGTTTGAGGCGGTTGAGGTTGGTTATTGTTTACCCACTGTTGTGCATGGTTATATCCTCTGTTAAAGAATCTTTCACCTTGGTCCATATAGTGTCCTGCTTGGTTATAGTAGTCATTTGCTTTGTTATAATAGTTTCCTGCTTGTCTTCCTACATTGTCCATCCATCCTTGAACTTTTCCTCTTGTTTCAGGATTTGGAATAAGATTTGTTGCATCTCGTGCTACATCCCAACCTTTCTGTACAGTTTGTATAATAGGTTGTGCTTTCTCTTTAAGTATACCTAATGTACTCAAAATCTTCCTTCCAACTCCAAATACACCTCTGGCTATTGTTCCCACTGCGGGTAAAAATCTGGATGCAACTCCTGCTAACGCGCCAAATAAACCCATTTCTTATGGGTTAAAAAATGACGAATCCAAACAAGGACCCCTATGTTTCTAAGGCAACAAAGAAAGCACTCATGATAAAAATCTTTAGTTCAACACCAAATGCTTGGTTTATGGATATCTTGGAAAACATTCCGAGAGTTAGAACAGATGGACCACCATACTGGCTAATATTTGTCGGTCAAAACACAAGATACTGTGAAGCCATACCATTACAGTCCAAAAATATTTTAGATATCTTAGCAGCTTTGACAATATTCGTTGACAAATACCATCCAACAAAACTGACATCTGACTGTGAAAGTTCTTTCAAATCAGACGATATTAAAAACTATCTGCGTTCAAAAAATGTAAACCAATATTTCATTGTCGACCAAAACCATTCTGCTCTTGGTGTCATTGACGGTTGTATAAAAATGTTAAGAGACTTAAACCAACCACAAGGTGGTGAAGCAAATGAAATGTCATATGACGACAAATATAGACACTTCTCCATGGCAAAGATGAGACAAGTTTTAAATATTTACAATAGCCGTAAACAAAAAGGTTTGGGAAACCACTCCCCCGAAGAAATGAAAAACAACCCTGACTTAGAGAAAGACTATATATTAATAATTTAGTCAAAAGAGACAAACAAGAAAGAATGCTGGGCTTCAAACTTCAGAAAGGTGACAAAGTAAAAATAGAAATACCTAAACGCGACCCATATGAAAATACTATTGACTATGACAACAATGGGAACCCGACAGGTACTCACATTCGTGTTCGTAAAAATAGAAGAAAGTATACAAGAGAATATTATGAAGTTTTAGGCAAACATGGCAAAATGTACACACTGCAAGCAGAAGATAAAACTACTATTGCCAGACCTCGTTTCAAACTTGTCAAAGTTCAAGGTGGTATACTTTCAAAGACAGTTCCTAACAAATATAAGACAACTCCTGACGAATATGCTAAAGAAGTTGAAAATGACGACTAAGCAATTCTATACCATGCGTAAACTGTCATGTAAGGTGGCATGTAGTCTTTACCCAAGCCTGTTGGATTTGTTGTGAAAGTGTGTGAATGATTTCCTCCTGGTTCAGTTTGTCGAAAAGTCTTTTTTGCTGAATGGTTATAATCTGGAGATAAAACGTCATTGCCAGCTTCATACTCTGAGTTGTATAATGGATGGTCTCTTAATGAGTGACTATGGTCACCAGAAAAGTTTGTCGTTCCTGTATGAGTGTGCGGTGGAAGGTTTGCTTCTTTAATTTTCTTCGAACCTCCTGCCGTCTTTGAATATCTAGCACAGTATAAGAATTTGTCTACAATCTGCTTCCATTCACCAAAACCAAGTACTGTTTCTGGTCTGGTAGAGTTCATTGACGTATAAATAGAGCCTATAGGATATAATGTTTGAAGTATTTCCGTCTTTAATGTTTGAAGCTCTGTTTTGTCTGCTTTCTTCTCATATAAATCTTGAGCAGTGAATTTAACGTTATTTTCATCCTTCATGACATAAACATCTTTACATCTAATGTTTCTCATCGTCGTTATGTCGTCATCCGATGTTAAACCTTGTGGAAAGTTAGGAGGTTTCCAATATAATACATCCCCATCAGGTTCTTCAACCGTTCCTTCAATACTTTCTATACCAACAGTTGTAAAACTTGTATGTGTATGGTTCTTGTCTGCTTTCTTCTCTAACTCATTGTTAACATATGTTTTATCCGCTTTAAGGTCTAAACATCCTGAAACCCATCCTGTATCGGCTTTACTTTTTAAAATCTTCGATGTCCATTCATGGTACCAGTCAACCCTTTCTTTCATTTCGTTATCTTTTTCATCCACATATTCCTTATCTGCTTTCTTCTCTAACTTACTAGCCACACATGCTAACTCATCGTTAACATATGTTTTATCTGCTTTCTTTTCAAGGCTAACGTTTAAGTCTGTTATTTCAGATATAGAATGTGTATGTCCAACGGCACTTTTCATGTTTAAGGTTTCTTGTAAGTTTGTAATATTTGCAATGGTATGTGTATGAGTCTTTTTAGAATATTCGTTTTCAGCTCTTGTCACTTCAATTGACATTTTATTGTCAACATATTTTTTGTCTGCTAGTTCAGGATGAGTATGTTCTTTTGTTGCATAAGCTTTGTTAGCTCTTTCTTCTTCTTTTGCTATTGCATCGTCTACATATTCTTTGTCAGCTTTGTTGCCAACATCTGCTTTCAAAAGAAGTTCATTTATAGGTTTCTCGTTTAAAGTTCCTTTTGTTGGATTTATACAGACAGTATTGTTCTTCTTGTCTTGAAATAGAAACTCATCTGTCATTGGGTTTATTGTCAGTTTTAAATTTCCTTCTTTCAATGACTCAGATATCTTAGAATAGTTTGAAAAGTTTGTTGTGTTCTTATTTAGAGCTTGTATAATGAGTTGTCGGTTGTGTTGTATTTCTCTCATAGACGCTGTTTCATTTGACATTTTTATTCTAGATAAAATATGCTTTCAATAGAAAAAGAAAATTCTAGAGTTGCTACAACTAAACCATTAGATGAACTTTTTACCAATGTAGGTCAAAAGTTTGAGACAGAGACCGTAAAGCATGAAGGCTATCGTTTTGACTACCCGTTAAGATGGTTAAGAGACCCATCCGTCACAAAAGCTATTGGCTTTCGTAGAATGAAGTTCATTTCAGAAGCCATACATGGTTTCCCATTTACAGTCGGTTTTGAAGTTCGATACTATAACAAAGAAAAACGTATGTATGAGAAATTTGAACAGGGAAAACTTTTACAAGTGAATTTGCTTGTAAACTTAGAAACAACTCTTCAAGCTTTTCAAGAAAAAATAAACGATATCTATATCGAATATGCAAAGCAGTATAACATTGACGAAGGAGAGTACCATCTCGATATTATATATGACAGGAAAAATGCAACTGTTAAAATCAATAGAATAGAAGACCTTGGAGAAAACGTTTATATTTCTACAAATATAACAACTTGGCATGGTATAGATTTATGAGGATGTTAAATCAGCCTGCAGCATATCCAGTACACCCGGACTTTTATGAAGTCGAAAACCCTAATGGAACATATGAAAATGTTTTCGACTCAGATGCTATTATCGTTCATGCTTCATTTTCTGGTGCACAAAACTCTTTTTTATGCTTGGCAAATGACTTTTACGAAAAACCTACAAAGCTATATGAACCACCAAGTGGAAGTATTTCAGACTTTCAAGTATGGTTTACTACAGATGGAAGAAAGAGAATAATTCCATTATACCATGCGTTTTACTTAGAACTTAGTTTCATATACAACTACTATCGAACGGTAAAAATATAATTTTTTAATACGGTTGAGGTGTTGGATTTGGTTGCCAACTAGACTGTGGTGCAGGTTCAGGCTGTTGTATAACAGGAGCTTGTTCTTCTGGTTCAGGGTCTTTAGGTATAATACCAACGAACTGACCTACTCTTTTACCAATATTTTTGACACCGTTCCATACTCCTCTTCCGACAGATTTTATTCCATTCCATATACCTCTTCCAACTCTTCTGAAGAAGTTTCCAATACTACTGAAGAAACCCATTTTACTATATGTAAAAATCTAATGTCCACCTAGTCTCTTACGTTTCCTGTTGAGTTCCATAGCATTCTTTAACTGGAGCTCATACATTCTGTTTCTCCTCTGGTAGAAAACATATTCTGGGTCAACTCCTGTGTTCGCGTCATCTGCATAAAGTTGTTTATATCCCACTTCGGGGTTTGTATAAAACTCTTTCCATCTCATATTTGCATACCATGGTGGCAAACCTAACGCAGCGTCATTTGACATGGCAGTTTGCATTTGTACATCTGTTGGCACTTGACCATAGTTTGCCATTGCAGTTTGTATTCTAACTTCATTTGGAATATTCTCTGGGTTTGGTTGTCCAGGTTGCTGTGCATTCGCTAAGTTCTGTGCGTCCATTTAATATTAGATAAAAATATCTCTTACGAGTACATATACTGGACATTTGCAGGCATTGGTTCATCTTCATATTCTCTGTACCTTTCTGCCACGTCAAATAAATAAATGACACAATGGAAAAAACCTAAAACAAGTAGTCCTATTTCAAACCACATTTACTTACTAATAAAATTTCTTTATTGTGACACTTTCTCCAGTTTATGGGACCTCTCTCATACTCTATCTTGTCATATCTAAACTCATAGTCATGTATGTCCTCTAACCATCTCATAACGGTTTCCAAACCACTTTTATCGGATGTAAAGTAAAAGCATGGATGGTTATGTAAAACGTCTAAAGTTTCTAAAGAGTCTCTCAAAGTCCAGTCTACTTGGTATTGAAAATCCCATGTGTTATAGAACGGCGGGTCCACTATAAAGAAAACATTTTCCTTGTCTTTATATTTTTCATACAACTCTGTCCAACGACATCTCACAAACTCTATACCCTCAATATATTTTTCTATGTCCTCTTTGAAAACATTTGTATAGTTAAGATATAAAACTTTTGACATAAGTGTTTCAATGTCATGAACTCTTATAGAACCACTATATAATAGTCTAGCAGATATACTATCCCAGTCTATATATTCTGCTTTTTTCAAAACCTCTCTCACAATATTTTTCTTATCTAATGGTATACGTTCCATCTTACCTATAGGTATCTTTTCTTTTAACTCTTTCAATATATTGTTTGTGTCTGGTATATGTTTGAGACGGTCCATATAGTTGTCGAAGTCATTGCATATAATCTTTGAGTCTGGGAATATTGTATGGCACAAATGGGATATATAGAAACTTCCACCGAACAAATCTACAAATGTTAGACCATTCGGTAGTTTCTTAAGTTCTCTCAATAGAATATCTTTACATCTACTCTTATTTCCAAAGAACGGTAACGGTGGTTTTGTAAAATTCATTTATATATAATAATAAAAATGTTTTTTCCTGAAAAGTGACAGAAAAGTGACAAAACATGAAAACATATATAATTTGTGAAAAGCGACACATTATATAATGTTTTCGACCCAGAAGAAGGCTTCTCAAAGTATACTTCCTTGGAACGCCTGTAACTTTTCCTGTAGCGACGATAGACCCTTACTTGTCCGGACAAAGTTATACTAAACATCTTCAGGGCTAGAAGGGGCGCAGCCCCTGGAAGCCCCTTATACCTGACCTCAAATAATCTTATAAAACACAAAATTATTATTTTATAATATAATTCTTAGATAATACATCCGATATGTAAAGTGTCAAAAATGAATTGAACCGAATTTTCATGCATTACAGCAAAATTTTCTGAAGACAACGGCACTTTTCAGCAGATTAAAAATTTATGACAGAACTTGCTGTTGGTACTGATGAAAACCCATTAATTAAAGATTCATTGGTCAGGGAAGTTTATAATAAGTCCAGAAAATTTTCTGTTGGAGAAAAAATTACAGACGATGAAATTGCTAATTTTTGTTTAATAAATGTCGAGCAGTTTTTCATTGGCCATGATTTTCAAGCAAATTGTGAGACGATGTTTTTTGGTTTTGAGAAGGCAATTCAATTTGCAAAAGAAGCCACAGATTTATTTTGCGATGGAACTTTTAAAATTACACCAAAACATTTTCAAAAAGGACAGATGCTAACAATTATGATTTGTGAACCTTCAACAAATCAATATCTACCACTTTTATTTATATTCATGAAAAACCGCACATTTGAATCTTATAAGAAGGCATTTGAATATATTTTTACTGTCAAGGGTATTCAATTTTCAAAGCTAATTCAAATTCATTGTGATTTTGAAAAGGGAATGATAGAGGCACTTCAACAAATTTTCCCTAAAGTCCGTATAATTGGATGCCTATTTCATTTCAAACAAGCTTTACACAGGAAACTTGTAGCACTTTATACAAAAAATTTCAATACTTTACAAAATTCTTTATTTAAGCTATATTCTATTACTCCATTCATGTCTCATGAAGAATTTGTACTTACAATGCATATAATTAATCAAAATAAAGTTGATTCGATCAAAGATTATATTGATTATTTCAACAAAGTTTGGTTGCCGCACTACAATTTAATATCTCAATATAATAATGCAACTGCAATATTCACTAATGATTGCCTCGAGAGTATGCATTCAGAATTTTCTTCGTTAAAACATCCAAACATTTATGAAGCTATTAAGAAGATATCTCAAATCCAATTAGATAAATATAACGCCATCAAAAATAACCAGAAGATCGAGCGCCATATAAAAACCGTTATCACTGATAGCTACAAAAATTATATTCTTGACTGCTTTCAAAAAGAACTTGAGAAAACAATTTTTTCTATCAAACAATACAACGTAAGTGATCTTTCTTTGGCTCAGAACGAGATTTCTCCATATGGTTCCATAGAATCGAGTTCATTGTTCGAAAATATTCCAGTTCATGATGCAGATATACTCAAATCGATCGATCTAACAGATAAAGATACAATGATCACTAAGTTTATTAATGAAAAAAGAGAAAAAATTATGGCATTATTTAATGAAACATTAAATCATCCAGATTTTAATTCATCCACTCCAATTCAAACTAATTTTGAGCAAGCCGATACAAATCAAGGTTCAGATGCTCCAATTCGCTCCGAAAATTCAAATATTGCAGACTCTACAGATTTAGAACCAGAAAATCAAAACCATCCTTCTACAAATCAAATGTCTAGTAATCTAGAACATAAGCTGGACCTTCTTGATCATATTGAAAAACAATTATCGAAAATGCGCTCGTTATTGGGAATTCTTCCTACTACAAATGCTATTGTTGGGCCGTCAAAACAAGTTTCAGTTAATAGCAAGCAAAATTCTGAAAAAATAAGAAAAAATCTTCCATAACAACAAAATCAAACAATAAAAACAAAATTCATCCGACAATCCTCCTAAACGTAAAGCTCCTATTTCGGAAAGGATTCTCAGCGATAATAACTTATATTTTCAAGTTCATCGAAAGAGATCGAAAAGCAAACGTTCCACATCTACAGAGAAAAAGAATTGATATATGAAGTCTAATTCCTTTTATAACTACTATATTTTTATTCTTATGACTAAAAATAATATATTATTTAACAATTTTCATTTTTTTCTTTTAACAATTTCGTTTTATTTCCATTTATTGTTAAATGATTTTTAGCATACACCTTTCTTTGTTCATCTTCTAAATACAATTTATTTTTTCTTAGATATAATTCTATTCATTCAATTCGATCGTCATTTTTCAGTACATGATCGTAATTTTAAATTATTGATCGCGATTTTTACTTCAGAATTTGTTCGCAATATTGCTTATCAAAATTATATCTCTATTCTCTCATTTCTGTTTAGTCAATATCATTACACTCCTATTGTCTAATAACATGCTATTAATTTTCTTAAAATTAAAAAAAAATATCAACTTTTAAAAACAGAAACTTAACATCCTTAGGTCAATGGATTTTGATGTGAGATACATTTAATCTGTTTTTCTTTTTTTATTTTAAATAATTGAATATTTATAGTTGTTATGGGTCTTACATCATGTAAAACGAATTTTCTTAAAGTAAATTTACTTTTTCTTCAATCTTTCTTACATATTTATTAAAAAAAATTATCAAAAAAAAGATGTTTTAGAATGAAAAAAAAATAGAAAAATCTTCATTTATAGTCTTTCTTGAATGTATACGTTTTGATTTTTTTCTTTTTTTAAAAAAATTCAATTTCTAGAAAAATCGAGAAAAAATCATTTTCTTCTATTTTTTAGGACGCCATACCCATTGAAATCTCCTCTCAGGACGCCATAAACTATTCAATTATGGTGTAAACTTCTCAAAAATTGAATAGTTTACATCAGGACGCCTTAGGACGCCAACCCTTTACGCGCCCGGATATATTAAATTTTATGGCTAAATCTCTTGCCGTTCTTCACCTGAGGAGCTCCAAATCTCCCAATATCTGCAAAATGGAGCTTTGGAGTTCCTGAATATGTATCAACAAAGGTGTTTTACCATTTGGACCTCTGCTGATCAGAATATTATGGCAGCCATTCTGTTCTTCAGGAGCTCCAGGGTTCCCATTTCCACAAGAAAAAGAACTAGTTGTTTTATTTCTAATGAAATTCATCTTCGAAAATATCAGAAAAAGAAAGAATGGTGTCTTATATAAGAACACATGTTTTTGAACAATGTGAACGAAAATTTTTGGGCTGCTTCTTCACTACTATTAAATTCTGCAAGTTGAAAAGATGAATCTTTTTGTCGAAATCTAGCCTTGAAATATATATTAATTTTACTAAATATAAGCATTATATTATATGTTAATGGACTTTTTGCAAAGTTAGTAGTTTAACAAGTAAATATACATATTCTTCCAAAGTTCTTTCAATTACATTGAAAGGGAGGAAAATTTTATGTAAAGATTCGATCACTTGTAACCACTAAACCACAAGTAGAATCTTTACATGATATGATACCTGAATTGCCTCAAGAATAGCTTGTAACCGATATGATTAAGAGGAAAGATAGTATGCATCAGGCTTCTGCAAATTGGGTAAATTTAAGGTTATATGCTACATTTTTCGACTTTCCGTTTTTTTATTCGATTTTTTTTTCAACATAAATGCGGCGAAGGAATAAAATTAACGATATTGCATTCGAGAAATTTAGTGCTAATTTAAGTCCCCTTCAATCAAATTCTGATTCGTACATCTCTCCAACGCCATCTCCAAAATTTAGTCCTCATGGAAAGGCTTTTTCTAAAGATACTACTCAGCAAGGCCCTGATTTAACCGCAGTAAGTGAACAACGTATTCATGATATGACAGAAGACTTGAAAACAATAAAAGAAAGAATGAGAAGAATTTTAAAATACAATCATGCACAAATTTTTACAGATTTGCATGTCTTGAGTGAACTAAATGACACAGATCAGCCGTTTAAGGCATTTTCATACGACTGCCTTCAGTATTTTCGTGCATATAAACAAATAGAGAGATCAGGAGCAACAAATAAGATAGTAGGAACAGCATCATTGAAATCATCATCGTATACCCTCTTTAACTGCTGGAAGAAAATTACAAATATTTTTGATTTAATTGATAGAGATGGTTTGGAGTCTTTAAAAAACTACATTCATGGAAAATTCGAATCCATTGTACTAATTATCAATGATATCGTACGATCTGATAAAAGAATTGCTAATAAAAACGATCTGGTTGTTACAAGAGATAATCTTAAAAATTTAATTGATAATTTATCAAAGAACATTGATGGTTTGATTGACCAACGCGAACTAATGCATCAAAAGCCCAATTTGGCAGACTCTGTCATTTATGATATCAAATCTTTTACTCAAATTTACAAAACTTCTCATTACAATGAATTTAACAAAGTAAATCTTATGCAAAGCCAATTATCTATGTACCAATCACTAGTTCTTACAGCTCTTAATGATATTATCGTAGGAATTAATTCCGCATTTTCTTGGGATGATGATTTCAATCCGATAAACGCAGATGTGAGTAAAATTACAGAGAATATAAAGGAAGTAATCAAACTCATTGAGCTTCCACCCGCAATTGTGAAGCCATTGAAGAAAATTTCGAATGTTCAGTCAAATCCAATAACAAAAATACAAGTTAAGAAGGATCCGATGGCAGAAGTGAAGGATTTTACACGTGATTTCACAGGAAATGGTAGTTTTGGCGTTGCACAACTCGAAAATTTCATTGATGAAATAAGTAATACGATGAATATCAAGATATCGAAGGATGGAGATGTCTGGAGTAGGCTTGGTGAAGTAAAAACTAATATTGCTAAGGTAATTCAGCAAAAAGAAGAGATGCAAAAAGAATATTCAGCATTTCAAGATAAAGTAAGGTACCAAAGCCGCACAATCACGAATATTATGAAAGAAAGAGTAAGGATGGAAGCAGAAAAAGCAAATTTTGAATCCGAAATCACAGTTCGAAATGAAGATCTCGAAGAACGCAATGATGAACTACTTAGACAGATCAACGAGACATTATCCATTGCAAAACGCCGCGAAGAGCAATTATTTCAAATGAGAGCAACCGATGAAGACGGAAAAATGAAAAGATGTCTGAAAACAATTATAAAAAGAATGAACGAAATGATCGACGAAAGTGAACAAGATTTCAGTTTCTCCAATGACGATTTAGTCACAAGAGCTGACAAGCTCTCACAGTTCATTTCAAAACGAAGATGCCCTAAATGCAGAGACAGAGAAGTGGAAGAAAACGAATTGGCCAATAAAATGTCACTTTTGATACCTGAAAAATTTTCAACGATATCTGAAGGTGTAGACATTATTTTGAAGGATAGAGCAAGACTTATGAGAGAGAATATGGTTTTGCAAAGGGAAGTCAAAGAAAAAACGGAATTAATCAACCAAATGAAGGTTGCAACACAAGATTTAAAGGGGAAGATCAGAGAATTGTCAATCCAAATAGGTCAGCCTATTGGGGATGAAGACAACATTGCTGCTGCAACTCTTTATGCGATTAATATGATGGAAGCAAAACAAAAACAAGAAACAGAGAAAAAAATCGAGGAAATTATAAACGGCCATCGAACTTCCCTTCTGAAAATTTCCAAGAAAATGAAGATGGAAACATCCGAATATAAAGATGTTAAGAAAGCTGTTAAGAAGCTTTATAGAGATCATTGTGAATTAGTTAAAGAAAATGAAGAAAAAGATAAATTATTAAAAGAAATTGAGCAATGGTACAGAGATTTTGGAGATTTCCATGATGAAAAGCTTTCTATTAGAGATATGATTAAAGAATTAGACAACAGAGAGAATCCTTTAACCAAGATGTACATGGATGTATCAAATGAGAGCAAAACAGTCAAAGAAACGCTTGTCATTTGTGCGCAAAGACTATTGGCTATATCCCAATCATCAAAATATAGTCAATTCTCAAATATGTCCACAAAAACTTTGATCGAAGTATTTAATGATCTCGTTAACGATGTCCATGACAAATTTGATGAAGATAAGCAGAAGCTAGATACATACAAGTACAATGAAACTAAAACGAGCGATGTTCTCCTTGGTTTATGTGGAAGAGTTGGATCTTTCTTGAATTTGAAGTTTGAAGACAGAAGTCAGCTCGGAATTGTACAATTACTTAATGATCTCGAGAAGCTCATTGAAAGGGCTTTGACAGATGAATCTCCGCTTTTTATTTCAGTGAAAAAATTAAGTAGATATTTTGATCCAATCAGATCTAAACTTGGAACAAATTCTGATGATCCTGACGTAATTGTTCCAAGAGTAGTTCAATTGGTAACTCAATCTCCATGAATTTATTCTTATTTTTTGTTTGTAATTTTAAAAATTGTTTGTTTGTAATTTTATTTATGAAATTAGCAAAATAATTTTTACTTCGTAAATATCCTGTTCCAAAATGATTTTATGATTGATCCTAAAGAAATATTATCTTCAGTTGAGACTTTTGTGGAAATATTATCTTCAGTTGAGACTTTTGTGGAAATATTATCTTCAGTTGAGACTTTTGTGGAAATATAATCTTCAGATAAATCTTTTGTGGAAATATCATCTTCAGATAAATCTTTTGTGGAAATATCATTTTCAGATAAATTTTTTGTGGAAATATCATTTTCAGATAAATTTTTTGTGGAAATATCATTTTCAGATAAATCTTTTGTGGAAATATCATTTTCAGATAAATCTTTTGTGGAAATATCATCTTCAGATGAATCTTTGCCAAGTAGTTTTATTATTTCATCAAAATCATTTTCAACAGCATAGTCAAGAGCAGTTTTCTTATCATCATCTGTTGCACTTATATCTGCACCATGTGAAATAAGAAATTCTAATGTTTCTTTGCAATTATTTTTAGCTGCATAGATTAGTGCAGTTTTCTTGTCTCTATCTCTTTCATCTATTATTGCACCGTGTGAAATGAGAAGTTTAATAGCATCTATGCAATTGAATTTTGCTGCAACATGAAGGATTGCCAATCCATATTTATTTACTTTGGGATTGACATTTGCACCATGAGATATGAGAAGTTCTGCCATTTCTTTATTATTATATCTTACTGCATAATATAGAGCAGTATTTTCAAAACCATCTTGATCATCAATATTAATTAATTTGCCATTAGGATAATTCAATATCAACTTGGCAAGATCTGTATTATTGTGAATGGCTGCAACATGAATGATATTACGATTTAATCCTGATTGCCTTTGAATTGCTAAGTTATTCAAGTTTTCGTCTTTCAGAATTTCAAAAGATTGTTGAAAATAAGCACACCAAGGAATGATCGAATTCTTATCTTTCTCGAACATATAATACAAAATTTTCAAGTTTTGTGAATCGATTGCTGAATCATAATAATCTTTTTCTGGTACATATAAATTTCTTTGAAAGATATAATCGAGGAATTGGTCGTTATGTGATTCAACAATAAATCGAAAGCAACTCTCGTCAATCTTTTGCTTTTTCAAGCATTCATTAATGATGTCAGTGTTTCCACCAATAAATGAAAATTGAAGGCATCTAGCAGTTATTTTGATGTCAAAGTTTGAAATAATGAAATAGAAAATGTTGACTGAGCCAAAATAGGCGCAAGCTTCTATTACAGTAAACAAAAACTTAGGTATTTCAATTTTTGTATGTTCTAGTGAGTTTTGTATATCACATTGTTTAAATTTGTCAATTTGATCATACACAATAATATTGGTCAATTCATTTTCACTGAGATTTGATTGTTCATTCATATATTTTATTATATAAGCATTGTTAGAATCAACTGTTAGTTCAAGTTTCAACAATTTTAAACGGAACCGCATTATTTTGATATAACATTGAGGAACTGAATATGTTGAAAGGATTCGGTTAATAATTTTGATGTAAAGGTCTAAGGAACGATAATTGTAATCAATTGCAACTAATAAACTTTTAATAAGATCACGTGTTGTAATTTTAAATTTATAAATCAAAATATTGATCAAATTAAATGCAAGATCAACACCCTTGTTATCTGATATGCGAAAAAGCTTCCTATATGTTTCCATGAACTCTTCGTCCTCCTTGGAATACTTAGTGCTCATGAAAAATTGAGAAGTGAAACTAAAAAAAAAACTAATACATGTATTTATTAATAATTCCTTTAATTTAATCATTGCAGATACTTATTTCATATAATTTAAAGTTGGAAAGATGTTGTAATTTTTTTTTTGGCCTGTCCGGTTTAATTTTTTTGAGATGTTTAATAAATTCAATCAGAATGACCAAGTCCCTGATCTCACTAGAAACGAGTTCATCGTTTTCTGTAAAAGCTGTGGTAATCAAAATCTACCACAGGATGATATTACAAAAGCAACAAATTCAATTAAACATTATCAGAAACAACCAGAGTCTTTAGAGAGCTTTTTAGATCTTATTGCAACAGATTCTGACAGATTTGTTCGTTTTTATTCTGCTCAAGGTTTAATTGAATGGGTCAAATCTGATTTTGAGTTTAATCAGGATCAAATAGATCAAATAATGAACTTGCTTATAGAGAAGTATAATGAGAATGAATCCCTTCAAGAAAGACATGATTTTGCAGAAATATTAAATGTTATGGCCTATTTCACATGCTTATCTCCTAATTATCTTTCAATTCTTAACAATTTCAATGCATTTTCCCAAATTAACTTCCTTATTAACTTTATTGTTGCAATTCATTCTGAATATTTCCAAACAAGGCGTAAATCTAGTGAACTCAGAAGTATTTTAATAGAAAACAAAGAGGTATTGATTAATTTGATACTTCAAGCTCCAGTGTTCTCTGCTTGGTTTCGTTTAATTCAAACAATTTTTAATAATTTTGATGATGACGTTCCTGTATATATGGAAGCCTTTCTTAAGCGGACAGATAGCTTCACAGAAGAATTTTATCCAGAAGTTTTCGGAGTAATCGAAGAATTTTTGAAATTTGACTTAGGCTATGAGTATGATGAACTAATTACATTGGTTATCCAATATGCTATTAGTGTTTGCACAGATGAGACCGAAACAGCCCTCAAATCTTCAAAGCATGTAATTAGTTTTTTAGCAGATTATTCATTTGAATATTATGATACGCATATCGATGTATTTATATCCATAGCTGAATCTTCTATTGCTTTATTGCACCATTATGATGAACTTTGCGATGATTTGATAAATAATGTATTAAATATGGCATCTAGTTTCCAACATCTTGAAACACATGCCGAATTATTGGAATATAGGAAAGCTTACATCGATGCAATTGCTAATTTCTTCACAGAATATCCATTTTTGATAGATTCCAAATTTGATCATCCTTTATCAGTACTTCAATCCTCTAACTTCCCAGAGATCAGATTAGAATTACTTAAGTTCTACGAAGACAGATTCGATAACATCACATTTGGTCTTGTTTATGTTGCTTCTTTTGTTCAAGACTGGATGCTAGAAAAAACAGATGTTTACAACATATTTTTAAAGCAAATATTAGCCCTTCCTGAGATTCCTGCTTCTTCAATGAAATTCATTAAACTTTTGAACAGATTAAATATGCAGGACTGCGTAAATGAAGAAATGATACCAACATACATTAATATTTCTATATCATTCTTCGAACAAACACCTTTAGATACATGCCAGTTCTTAAAATTGTTCCTTGAAAAATTTAAAGAAAAATGTAAAGAGTATTTGAACGATTTGATCAATTTTTTCGTTCCTTATTTATCATCAAGCGAAGTAAATATCAAAAAATACATATATGCTATCCTAATTTCTTTGGCCGATCTTCATGGCGAAGATGCTGAACAATTTTTACAGAATATTGGCTCAGACATACTTAACACAATTAGTGAAGCCATGAATACGGATAATCCAAAGGAAGTAATAGAATCTCTAAAAATGTTCGATTTTATTATAACAAATCAACGCAATGAAGCCGGACCAACATGCTTGAAGTTCTTTAACAATCTTGCAGCGTCTTATGTCTCCCTTGTCCAGCCAATCCTCATGTTTGAAAGCGATGATCTTCAATCACAATTAGCTACCGTATTCCATTCATTTATTACGATGAAATGGATCACAGAATCAGACTTCCAGTTCGTTATCGAATATTCATTGTCAGCATTGGCAACAAAACCCATCAAGGAGCACATGTCATTGCTTATCGACACTTTACCATATTCTTTTATCCCTGATGTCACTAGTTTGCTAACACAAATCAATGTAAACGGAGATGCAGAATTAGTTGATGAATTTGTCAGATTTTTGACTAATTTTTTAGTTAACAATTCAGTGAACTTTTGGGAACAAATATCACCAGAATTTATTCTACATTTGTTAGAGAGCGATAATCCATCAATTTTGGAAGAATCTCTCGATTTATGCAAACAAATTTTGCTTTCAGATTCATTACCAGAAGGATTTAATGCATCACTCATCGAATTTATTATGCAAAGATTCAATTCCAACTTTTCGGAGAAGAGAGTTCGCCATAAGTTCTTCGAAATTCTAATGGCAAAGAAAGAATCAGTTCCTATTGCAATAGATCAATTCCTCTCCATTGTTGGTGATAATAATGACTATGCAGAGCAAATTAAAGCAGAATTATCACGTGAAAGTCCAAATCGCAACGTAATTTCGACCAATATGTGGAAATTGTTGCAAAACTATGAATTGGAGCAGCAACAACATAAATAGAGTATTCATGTATGACTTTAATAAATAAAATATAAATTTAATTTAAAATTTATTTTTATTTATTTATTTTTAGTGTTTTAATTTCAAAGATAGAAAATCCTTTTGATTTAATAATAGAATGGGTAATTCTGTTGAACAATGAACATTTAATAACATAATCAATGTTCAACATAAAAAAAATGTATATCACAAGGGGTAATAAATTAAAAATAGCAAATTTGTAGTAGAGTATACCAAATAAGCAAAAATATTGTAATTGTCTGGAATAATGCTTGAGCGTTATGCTAAAAGTAATGTTTTTGTTAAATGGGTATGAAAAACAAATCATATAACTAGAATATGACAATGGTTTTATATATAATTTGTTTCAATTTCATCAAACTTCAAATTCAAAAGCGGAATCAGATAAGTCGAAGCTCCCAAATAATTCATCTTCAAGGTTCTTAACAGGATCTTCAATAATGTTTCCATTTCTAATAATGTAATGTTTTCCATCATGATAAAATTCTGGTTCAACATCTTGATGTTTTTTTCTTTCTTCTTGTCTCATTAATAAGGCATATCTGCTTTTTATATTTATATCTGTCCTTCCAATAAAGTTTCTTGCAATTTGAGACCATTTTTTCCCAATTGCGCTAACCAAATTTAGAAGTTTTTCGTCATCTTCTTTGTTCCAAGGGCCAGTGTTGATGCGAGGATCTAGATAGTTTTTATATTTATCTCTACATTGTCTTGGTGTTCTTGTAATCATGTATTCGCTGATTTGCTTCCAATTTCCATCACCTAAAGCATTTACGAGGATTCTAAGCTTTTCATCCTCAGCTAATGTGAACTTATCCTTTGGATGTGGCTTCCCGATTGCAGACATAAGAACTAATCACGAAAAATAGAAGCTATTTGAAGAAATGGGGCAAAAACAATTCAAAAGTTGAGTAAAAAAAATTCAATAAGTTAAAGATCGACGACAGAGTGCTTATTAGTACATTTATTGATATTAAAAATATTGTTGACATTATTGATTTCTGTTTCATATCAAAATATCGAAATAAAAAGAATTGAAACAAGACAGTTCGATTTTGAATATGAATTGAAAATAATACTTAATAATTTAATTATACTCCAAATATAAATGGTATATATTGTCAATAGAGAGTAAGTTTGAATAGTTCTGAATTTCTGAAAATAACCGATTTCCTAAGAAATTTCTTTTATGAGAGTATGGTTCCATACAAGAGTATGTTTGGATTCAAGAAATTTATAATAAGGGTTTCGTTTTGCTAAAATTGTCACTTTTATAGCATATTTGTTTTTGGATGTTTTGCGAAACCAAAAAAAAACTATGATATACAATGTGTGTGTAAAGAAAATACTTTATTTACTAGTTAAAAAATCATTTGGTATTGATCAAGTTATTTTTTCTGGATAAGATATTATATGGATAATTGGATAGAAAATACAATTATATAATCTTGTACCTGGTTTAATTAAGCTAATTGTCATCAGAAGCTTGTAATTTTTATGAATTTCAGATTTTCTTTTCATTACTGCTTTTCTTAATAGGTCAAGTTCTTATTTACGTTATAAAGTATGATATTTACAAATATCAAGTTATCATGTTTTTTGAGAAATTATGAGAAACAAACAAAAATGAAAAAGATAGGAATAGCAATGAATAGTGATGTGGGTATAGAAAATGTAAGAGATATGAATGCAAAGCAATCAGTATTTAGGATATTGACCATAGATTTCGAAAAAAAAATGCTGCATATTGAGCGAAAACTATGATTATATTATAAGGCTGTCATTTAAAGCATAATGAAACTATTCCCTTTTCATTTTAATCGAATAAGATAGTAAAGATTTTTGAATTAGCTAGAAACTGATGAGATGTTTTCACAAATCAGATTTTTAATCTCTATAATGCATAATTCACTCAATATCTCAATTTTGATATTGCGAGATATTTTTGCTATCGGTTTCGCAATTTTGACACAATAGCAAGAGGGTTCTATAAGCATTATTATCAACGTAGAATCTGAATATCATATCAGAAAATGTCGCAAATCTGACATTTACCCGACCAAATAGCAAAAATAATTGAATACTTTTCGCAAAAACTTTAAAAATCGATAAAAATATGAAATATAGATATTAAAGAGACTTTTTATATAATATTCATAAAGATTTTCCAAAAATATGATACCGCAAAATTAAAAAAGTGACGTCTTGAGTGGAGTCAAAGGTCGAAATTGCTAGCTAAATGTTTTTTTAGCGAAATTGCGTATTGTACGTTTTTTTCGCAAAACGAAACCCTTATTTATAATAATGATTTCATCGTGGAATCATATATAAAAGCTTCATTAGGATTGTAAAAATCAATCCTCGGAAAATATGAAAATCATTCATTATTTCATTGTGTCTTTGAATATCCATAAGAAATGAAACAATACATATGAAAGTAAATTAACAAAATATTAATTAATTAAATTTTCTTTTGAAAAAACACCAAGAATTTAGAAGTTAATTATAGAAGATATAACCAATGATATCATATGATATTAATCAATATTTGTTTCTATAAGAAAGTGTTTGGTTCCTATGAGTAATTAATTTTTAACAATTTCCAGTTAGATAGAAGTCAATGTTCATATTTAGGTTCATGATACATAGGATAGTAAATCAACAGACTTCATCAAAATATAGATTATAAGATGCTCTAATTTTATGAAAATGTTTCCTCAAAACTATGGAGATGTTGTATTCTTTCAGCGAAGTAATGATTTTCTGGGAGATGTTACCGCTTAAATTTACAAAACAATTCACAATATATCAGCCCCCAAAAAAATTGATGGTCTTTAATGATACATTAGAACACTATGCATCCTCTAGAGCATTAAGATAAGTAATTATTGGCTTTAAGGATAATTTACTTCTTTGAACTTTCTCAAAATCTATTTTTCGGTCGTTTATTAAAAAATTTGACACTTTACAAAACTTCTGAATATTCGAAAAATTTATCGAGATCCCATATAGAAATCATCTATTTATAAATATTCATTTTGATCAAAAAATTTTTTTAGTGGGAAAAATAATCAGTGGCGAATCATCAATGGCTTTTTTTTTTAAATTTATGAACAACAAAACTATCTACAAGACCACTAATCCTCCTCAACTCCTTCCGTCAAATTACTTCGAAAGTATTAGTAATCCTAATGAATTATTCGAAAACAATAACTATTATATATTTAAAGCAGAAATAGTTCCATCTTTAAATAATTTGAAGGAAATTCTTAAATCAAACGATCCATCGTATATACTGATATGTAATAGACCTAATGAATCAATTTTTTCTACTCAACCAAGGAATAAAACGAAAAATTTGAAATTTGTATACGACAAAATATCTGTTGGTATAGATGTTCCGGTTGAATATGCACTACATGATACGCAAAGCTTGGTCGTCGACAAATTTCCACAATTACAAGGAAAATTATTAAAATTCATCCTTAAAGGTAAAAGAATTGACAATGTCCAAGCCCAAGATATTAGCGAACTGGACCAAATATCAGTTAGTGACATCAAAAGCAAAGATTTGCAATTAAGCAAATACAAAATTTATTTTGAAGGCCAAAATTACGAAATGGAGTTCCAAACTAATTCTACGGTCGATTCCGTTTTTAGCGAAATACGCAAATGCATTAAAAAGTTAGAAAACGTTCCAAAATTTACTTTATCGCATAATGAGAAAATACTCCAATCAAATGACATTGTCGGTGCGATAAATACGAATGTACACCCAATCTGCATCGAAGATCCAACGATAATCTTCAGACTTTTGATGGAAGATTATCCAATTACCTGCAAATTCGGATCCACGTTTAAAGACATTCCGAAACTATTAATCGAAAAATACCCATCGAAATTTAAATACCATCAGATTAAATTCTATTTGTCACAAACCGAAATTCCATTAGAAACTTCGGTTGATAAGTACAATGGATTGACAGTTGACCTTTCCCTGCCTGATAGAAACACGGTTGTGAACTTTATTTACAGTTCAAATCCTTCAAATTTAACTCTCGTTAAAGGATTAAAGGTTGCAATGAGCGATAAGTGGTCAGATGTCAAGAATAAGCTTTGTGAAGAACTTCGTGTCTCTCCTAGTAAGATTGCATTATCAGAAGTTGATGATAATCAATTGGTCGGAGAAAAACTTGACGAAATGGGCCAACCATCCGAAATTGCAATCAAAGTGTTTATTAAATCAGATTCAGAACCGCAAACTCCTCCAGTCGAGAATATTTCACCGATTTCGAGTCCAAAATCAAATCCAAATTCACCATCTCTTACTGCTACCGAAAGAGGAATCATAGATATGGGATTCACTCTTGAACAAGCAAGAGCTGCTATTAGTGTTGTTGGAAATGATATTAGTAGAGCAGTATCTTACATTTTCGACAATGCTGATAAAATTGCAAGAGGTCAAAAGCCTGAAGCATCTCCACCTCCTTCACATTCTTCATCAATGACAGTCAATCAAACAAAAGTTGAGGAAATTTCTCAAAAATTCCAAGCAGCTGTTGACAGCTCAGTCAACGGAGAAGATCTCAAACAGATGACTGAAATGGGTCTACCATATGAACAATCCAAATATGCTTTATTTATTGGTAATAACAATATTGGAACTGCTGTTGATCTTATTACTACTCCAAAGAGGAATAGATATAGCATAGAAATATTATATTCATTATGTAGAAATGCTTTCCAAAAGTCAAAGGATCCTGGAATCTTTACAGACTGCAAACCATATTTAAGACCTCTTTGGCCTGATTTAGCTGATGGAATTACACCTAACGAACAAGAGAATTTAAGGAGTATGGCTATTAAAGAAGGATATATTAGAAATTAAGAATATACATAATTGTAAAAATTATTTTTAAACTTATTATTTAAAATTCAAAACTTATTATTTTTTTTTTCGAATTTTGGTCTTCCAAAAAGATAATACAAATTAGCAACCCTATTTAAATTAACAAGAGTAGCACAGTATAAAATTGTATAAAATTTTAAGCAAGTTATAACATATATTATAAATTTTATAGGGCTTTCTAAGTATCGGTTTAGATCTTGTTACAATAAGTATGGAAAAATTGAAAAATCAATAGTTTTTCAAAAATTCGAACTTTGAAAAATCACAAAAAGGCTGCTGTATTCTCAAAATTACTTGTCATTTGGTCGTGCATCAAATTGTTTTCATCTAAATTAAGAGTTACTAACGTCAGTTGCAAAACTGCAAAAAAAATCTAGTAAATATGGTCAAATGGTGGTATGATGATGTGCTTTATTTCAAGTAAAGGTCGTTCATTCTGATTTTCATTCCTAATTCGATTATAACGATTATTTTCATTGAATATTCGATTGAAATTGGATTTCAATTATTGCTAGGTAATACTCAACGATTCTTGGTCGGAATTGCATAAATTGTCTTCAATGAAACTGATTCTAATTCGTTGTTTTTGTTGATTTTTTTAAAACTATTTTTTTCTACACAAACGTCTAAAGTTAATTTTTTTCAACTAAAAATTTCGCGTAAATGGGGAATGAATATATGCGGACAAATTCATATAGCAAAGTGAAAAAGATGATCCCCGAACACAAGAAATGTGTTATTGGTGCAATTAACGCCATTACACCATCCTCGAAAGGAAAAGATAAACCATGCATTCTCGTTGCAACTCGGAGAGGCCTATATTTCTTCCGTCATGGAATATTAGGCTTTGGTGCAACACTTCGAGAATGTTATTTCATTCTAAATATCGAATCAATTGAATACATTGATGAAACAACGCGCGAATTCAGAATTCACAAGAAAAGACCGATTAAATTTGCAAGTGAAGACATTGACGTACTTGTTGAAGCTCTTTTAATGGCTGCTGCAGATTTTTGTTTTGGATCATCATTACCGCATCAAATTTCATTGCTAGAATATCCACAAGGAGAGAAACCAGAGTGTCCAAAGGTAACTCGACACGACAAACTTACAATGTCACGATACAAAAACGTATGCATTATAAATGATGACAAGAAAGATATCTCACACTTATGTGCTCTTGAAATTTACGAAAATTCTAACAAAACTACATTCTATATTGACAATATTGCTGCTCAACCAGTCAATACAGAACAATTATCTTATTCCATTGCTCATGAAGGCACAGTTCACACAGTTGTATGTCAAAGCTTTGCTCCACAGAATGTTTGTTTGATGCTTAAGCAGATTATGAAGATTTCTCGTTCAGTTCGTTCACTTGAACTTATTGATTATGATGATTTGTTTTTTGAAGTCGGCAGATTCGGTAAAATCAAGAATGCCGTTGTCAATTCTTTATCAATCATCAGATGCTTCAAGAATCCTGTTCGATTGATCCAATTTTTGATGGAATTCAGGTTCTACAGAAATTCTTTTCAAAAATTAGTAATTGATTCATGTCGTCTCAATCTTAAATGTGCAAAAGAGCTTTCCAAGATCCTCCAGACATTCCACTGCTTCCGTGCCCTTGAAATTCTTGTTCTCAAGAACATAGAAACAGATCCAAAAGAGAAAAACGCTGCATACATTTCAATTTTCAATGCATCACAAAATCTGACATTTCTTTCACAGTTTTCCATTGAGTTTTGGTCTCCTAAAATCCAGATAACACCTGAGATTTCGAATCTTTCTCTTAAATACATCACGCAGCTATCTCTTTCTAACTGTGTAATGACTGATATCCCTGATCCTGTTTTTTGCAGCACAATCAAACGTTTCTCTTTCAATGGAACATCGTTTAGTTACAGAACACTTCAACTTGTCATGGATGCATTAAACAAGCATCCTATTCCTTTCGTTCTTGACTTAACTGATGCAGACATAACTATCAAAGATTGGCAGATATATTTCGAAAAGAATGGTGGACATTTCACTGATAAATGCTATGAATTAAATTGGTCAGGAAATCCAATTATTCCTCAAAACATTTCTTATTTGACCAATTATTTCATTCGTTCTCCAAACCTGAAATATCTTGATATTTCTCGCTGTTTCACAACAAAATCTCTTAAAGTGTTGGATGAATTCTTCCAAAGTATTAATGGAATCCCACTTTGGGGTCTTGGTTTCGATGCAGACACAAAAACATCTTTAGGATCAGAAATTATACAAAGAATCATGAAAATTCCAACTTTAGTTGTTTTGTCTGTTAATGGACAGAATCTCAAAGCAAAAGATATCAAAGATCTCATGAGATTACCACAACTTGGAGAGCTATCTTGCGATGGAACTACAATAGATACTCATAAAGATCTTTTCGAACTTTATGACAACGTTCTTCTAAAACGTGACACAATTTTTGCACTTCTTCCTCCAATTAATGATGTTTATAAAATAAGGGAAACAGATGACCGAGAAATTGTTCAGTTCAGAAACAGATGCGCTGAAAAACTTCTTCCTGGTGATGACATTGTTCGCTCTGAGTATTACAATGATCATGGAAATGACATGCGTTTGTACAAACGATATCTTGGAACATTCCCTGTTTCTAGACGTAAAGGTACTGTTCGTGATAAATACGCTTTCTTTGATTACGTACAAAGACAGTGCTATGAATCATCATTACACCAAACTGTTGTTGAGAAAGTCAAGAACTCTTTTAATGATGAACAATGCGTTCATTTCAATTCTGTTTATGTTGTTCCAAATGAAAAAGCAGAAACACCTTTTGAAGAACCAGATTGGCTTCAATTCATCATCAAAGAGAACAAGATTCGAAAGAAAAACAACTTTGTTCCAATTCCTGCTCCACCTCTTGAAGGAGAAGAAGAAATCAACACACAACCTCTCACAACTGATTTGGACACAACAACAAACGACAACGAAGAAGAAAAAGAAAAAGAAAACAACCAAGAAAATCAAGAACAAAAACCAGAACAAAAAGAAGTTGTACCAGAAAAAGTTGAAGAGAAAGTTGAAGAGAAAGTTCCAGAAAATGTCCAAGAGAAAGCTCAAGAAGAACAAGTTAATAATAATGTTGAACAAATTATATTCCCTAATTCGAATGAAAATGATAAAGAAAAAGATAAAGTTAGTGTTAAATCAGAAAATTCATCAGTTAAGATAATTCCTCCTAAAGATAGTGTTTCTCTTGGTGGAGATCCAACGAATGCATTAGCAGTTTCACAGAGATCATCAACAGTTGGTGACAACTCAAGTCGAATTGACATTAACATCAGCAGTGATTCCGAATCATATCCATATTATTCAACAAGTGAATCAAAGTCACACAAATCGAATAAATCACTTCCTAAGTCACCAATTGACAAACTTGCAGAACAAGATCATTTATCTACTAATAGCAGACCACAGATCATTCAAACTAATGAACAAGAAGCAGATAATAAATCAGTTTCACAGACTAAAGTTGTTTTACCTCCGAAAGACGACAAAACATATTCATATCCACTTGAAGAAGAGGAGGAGGAAGAGGAAGAAGAAATCGGATCAGACGAAAGTTCTATTATCAGAGCAGAAATCAAATATTCACAGAAGATGTCACGAAAACTTTTGTCTACACCTCCAAAGTCACCATTCTACATGCGAACACCTCGTCCAGAGCCATTACAAGAAGGCGAATTCAACTCAGATGATGAACGAGAACTTGCAGCATCAGTTGCAGCAAGTGAAATGGAGCGAGATGATGACCTTGTTGAGATTGACACTCCTATTGTTAGTGGCTTAATTGTTCGACCAATTCCAGTTCGTCCTGGTCCACATGATTTCGGCTCAGTTAAATCACGAGGTCTTGATGAAGGAAATCATGACAACAAAGATCAAGAGAAAGAACTTTTGGCATTACCAAGTATTGGTGGTATTTATGGTCGTATCCTTCAACAACAGAAACAAGTCACAATAACAGCGGATGATAATGTTTCAAGTGATTCAGATGAATCTAAATTTGAGAAATCTCGTGGCCGATTTTCATCTCCTAAGTTTACTAAAAAAGTCAAAGAAGAAGACAACGAAAGCAAGAATGAGAAAACACTTGGAGAAGTTGATGCTCAACTTCCATTACCAAGATCAGGTATCCAAGGCAACCAAAGATTCAAACTCTTCCCATTTGAAAAGACGCGAAACAAGAAACAGAAAGTTATGCCATCAGGCTTAGTTATTATTCCAGACGAAATCCTCACAGGAAGTAGTGATACAAGCGATTCAGATATTGTTCCTATTTTCAAAGAACAAAAGTCACCCGATGGCAAATCACCACGTAATCTTCGCCAACGAAAACGATCTACAGCAGCAGCATCTCCATCAAACAAAGATGAAAAAGAAGATAACGAAGTTAAATCAAGAGATGTTAATAAACCAGAACAAGTTGATGATGATAATGATAAGAAACCAGAAGAAGAAAAGCAAACTCCTAAAGAAGAATCAAAAGAAAAGACGAAAACAAACACAATTGATGACAAAGAACTTTCTAAAACAAGAACTAAAACTAGAACGAATACTTATGATGATGACAATGATCAAACAAAGACGAAAACAAGAACAAATACATATGAATATAATGATCGAACCAAATCAAAAACAAAGACTAGAACTCGAACACATACAAATACATATGATGATTCTTATGATTCATATTCAGATTATGAAGACACCAATGAACGAAAGATGAAATACAAAGGAAGAAGAAATCACAGGAAACCAAACAATCGAAGAAGAAATCATCGTCATCATCGAACATATGATTATTCTGATTATGATTCATATCCATATTCAGATTACGATTCATACACAGACTATTCTGATGAATATGATGATTACAGTTACTCTGAAGAACGTGATCGACGAAACAGACGAAACAAGCGTCCAAACAAGAATAGATACAACAGAAGACACAATCATCATAGAAATCGCAGACATCATACATATCAATCACGAGATTACACAATTTCTAAAGACAATAAATCATCATCAGACAATGAATCACTTGAATCTCTTCGCAATGTCAGTGAAGTTAGTCTTCACAACACATACACGAAGACAAACACAAAGGCATACACAAATACTAATAACGATGGCTCAAACAACAATGATAGTCGCGACATGATCATTGTCAATGCAAGTTCCGATGCAGAGTTTGTTACAGTTTCTACCATTGAATCCGGTGACGAAGTTTTCCAATTTGTCTCAGTTTCTACAACTACAACCACAGACAATGAAGGTGATGCAGTTCAATGGATCAAAGCACCAACACTTGATGAAGAAGATCTTCATGAACTTGTCACAACAACAGAAACAAACGAAAACAAAGAAGAAAATAATGAAAACAAGGATGAAGCAAAAACTAAAACAAACGAAAATACAAAAGAAACTAAAACAAACTCAGAGTCATCAGAAGAAGAAGAAATTGAAGAAGAAGAGGAGGAAGACTTTGAAGAAGAAGATAGCGAAGAAGAAGAACAAACTCGAACAGAAACTGCAACTAAAGAAAACGAAGAAAATAAAGAAGAAAATGATTCTAAAGAAAAAGAACCAGAGCATGAAAAAGAACAAGCAAACTCAAGTGATTATTCTATTTCCAATTCAAAGACAACAACTACAAACGAACAAGAAAATGACTCTGATAAATCAGAAGAATCCAACACAAAAACTAATGAAGATGATGAAAAAGAAGAGAATCAAAATGATGAAAATAAAGAAGAAGAAAAATCAGATTCATCATCATCTAAATCAGAAGAAGAAAAAGAAAAAGAAAGAAAAGAAGAAAACAAAGATAAAGAAAAGAAAGAATTATTATCAGATAAATCATCAAACTCATATCCTGAAGAAGAAGAGGAAGAAGATTTTGAAGAAGAGGATGATGAAGAAGAAAAATCTGAAACCACTTCATCACATGATGAATCAAATAAACCAGAAGATGAAAACAAACAAAATGAACAAGAACAAGAAGAAAATAAAGAAGAAAAATCCGAAACTTCTTCATCTCAAGAGTCAATTAAATCTGAAGAAGGAAAACAACAAAAAGAAAAAGAAGAATCAGAAACATCATCTTCATCTCAAGAATCAATTAAATCTGAAAAAGTCAATAAAGAATCATCAGATGAAAACAAAGAAAACTTCAAAGAAAGAGAAATATCTAGAGATCAAGAAAAAGATAAACCAAAAGATACTTCATCATTGAGTGAATACTTCTTCGAAAATAATGGAAAGAAGAACATTTCAATTCTTTCATCAGTTTATCAACGAACACAGAAATATGATGAACACAGTTCTCCTCTATTCACAACAGAACGTCCTCCTTCACACTCTGTTTCTATTATCGAAGTTTCACCATCATTTGTTACCACAAAACATGATTTTGTTTCATCTCCAGTTGTAGGATTTCACAACAACATTTCCATTCTTGACAACAATGAAGACACAAAGAAGAAACATCGAACACGCAAAACTAAGAAGTGAAAATAACCATATATTATAACTTTATATTGTAATTATTATATTATTATTTTTATATTTTATTGTAAATTATTTCATAATTTCATTCTTGTAACTGTTTTAGAAATTCTTCAAGAATCATCTACTTTTTAATTCATTTAAAGAAGAGTAATTCATTGAAGGGTAATTCTCTTTAATAGGGTGATTATCGTAGTACATTCTTTGAAGATATGGAATTTATTATTTATTAATATATATAGTACATGAAATAAGTTGTGGACAACAAAAAAAAAACTGTAGACATCTTTATGCAGAGAGTTTACATAAGAGCCTTGTGAAAAAATAAATATTTGGTGAAATGCGACGACATATCACCAAATTTTTTCGGGTCTGTGATTACTTATTCTTGAATGTCAGAAAGTGGTAATCAGAGGAAGTAAAATTGAGAGAGAAAAAATTTGGTGCCTTCAGATTTTTTTTTAGTTGTAAAAAACAAGTGTTGATTTCTATTTTAGTCTCGAATTACTATCATAAACAAAGATATAAGAAAAAGGAATACATGATTAATTCATTATGATTATGTTTTTCGTACTTTTTTACAAAGATATTGACAAAAGTTGTTATTCAAGTGATGGAAAAAGCCTTTCAAAAGTTAATGATGCATCACCTGACCTCATAATATCATCTACATGCGAAATTATCCAAGATAAATGCTTTTACCAACTCAAAACTTTATTTTCCTTTTCATTTCAAGAAAATCCTAACTTAACAACAATTGGAGAGAAAAGTTTTTCTCACTGTACAAATCTCACCATAATAAATCTATCATCATGCGCTAAACTTACAAAAATATCTTCTTATGCATTTTCTGGCTGCTATAAAGTCAATCAGATACTTTTACCAGAAGGACTCCTTGAAATTGAAGGTGGTGCATTTGGAGATAATCATCAAGTGACCAGTATTATCATACCAGCATCTGTTAAAATAATAGGAATTTGGGCATTTAATGGCTGTTCTAAACTACAAAATGTTACTTTTGAAGAAGGATCAAATTTAACTTCATTAGAATGGTATGTATTTGGTTATACTGCAATTACTTCTTTTCAAATTCCAGAAAAAGTTTCTTATCTCAATGGACAAGCATTTGAAGATGGAAAATTAATAAATTTTACAGTTCATCCTAATAATAACTACTTAACAGTTAAAGATTATGTTATTTATTCAAAAGATAAAAGTATTTTGTTTTTTATTTGTAACAAAACAGGATATGAAATTCCAAATTCAGTCACAACTATTGGAACGTATTGCTTTTCATATTCAACTATTGAAACACTTATAATTCCAGAAAATGTGAAAAGGATTGAAGATTATGCTTTCTATGGTTGTGATAGTTTGATAAATGTTACTTTTTTAGGTCAAATAGATTACTTTGGTAGTTGGGTATTTAGTAGCTGTGAAAATCTTGAATTAATTATATTCCCTAATTCACCAATGACTGTTGGCGGATCTTGGTTTGTTACAAAATTTTCGCCAAAAGTCAATTTGTCATTCACTTGCAAAACTCTATTTTATAATTCTCAATATATTTCTTCAATTCAAAGAAATACAAATGTTTCAATTTCATATCTGAATGAACCAAATCTTATTATTACACCAAATTGTTTGATTATGAATTCTGATCAAACCATAATTTATGAATATTGGGGATACATACCCTCTTATTCATTTATTAGTATTACAATTCCTAAATCTGTCAAAAAAATCAAAGAAAAAGCATTTGAAAATTCTATAATTTATAATTTTTATTTCACAAAAGATTCTCAAATCACTGAAATAGAAAATGATGCATTTAGAAATTGTTCAAATCTGAGATCATTTAATTATTCATTCCCTAAATTACAAGCATTAGGAATGTCATCATTTAAAGATTGCATTAATTTAGAATCTTTTACATTTTCATCACCAAATTTGACTGTTATGAGTAATGCATTTGAGAATTGCAGATATTTAAAGAAAGTTAGTAATATTAGAAATATTCCTGATAATTGTTTTTGTGGATGTACTAAATTAGTAGAAGTTACAATTCGAGAAGGATCAGAATCCATTGGATATAAATCATTTGAGAATTGTTCTTCATTATTATGTATTAAAATTCCACAATCTTTTAAAATTATTTCCAAATATTCATTTCTTTATTGTAAGAAACTAAAATCAATTATATTCAGTGAAACAAACTCACTTGATACATTTTCAATTAATTCTATTTCAGAATGCGAATCTCTTACAAATATCAGTAATTTTTCATCAGAAAAATACAAATGTATTGATAATACTTTATACTACAAAAACAATAATAAATGGGAACTTATTTTTCATTTGAGTTCCTCAAAAGACAAAGAACTCAACATTAGCTGCGATGTTATCTGTAGTTATTCATTCAATTCGAGCAACAACATTGAGAAAATCAATATTACATCAGAAAGTGTTTCTGTTATTGAAAAACATTCATTCTACAACTGTTTAAATCTGAAATACATCAATTTCCCACTTTCAGTTTCAGATGTTGAGATTGATGCATTCCATGATTGCAAATCCATTCGATGTCCTCTTATTATTGAGAACACATCCACAGATTATCTTCAAATGATTGTTTCTTCAGGAATTCCTGAAAGACTTATGATTTCATGTCATATTGCACATGTTTCGAATAATCTTTTAAATCATAAGTCTTTACGTTATCCTTCTGCACATCTTTTCTGGAAACATCTTACTAAATAAACTATTTTTATTTTATCATAATGAACAACATCTTTGTTTTCTAACTTATTCATCTGGGGATACAAGTTTAAGCATATCATAGTTTTTCAAATCGATATTTATGAATCTTAGTAGTCTGTGAGATTCTAAAATATCTTTGTTGTTTTGATTAGCGCTATTAATTAGATATATTATTAATTAAAATGAATGTGTTAGCAGTACTAACAACCAAATACGGATTATAAAATTTTTGATCAAGAATTTCGAAAACATCACTTGAATAGTTTCATTATCAATTTTTATTGTTACCTCTTTGAAGACAATTCTTAGGAAAATCGAGAAAGATTAGGAGGATATGATTTTCAATAACTTAAAGCGTATTCCATTACGTGTGAGGTTTCGTAAAATCACATTACCAAATCTAATTTTAAACTAAAAGCGTTATCAAATTTTTTTTAGAAAAATGTTGAAAGTTCCTACTACTACAGATGACTTTTTGATTAACCAGATTATGGATGAAGCTGAGTTTTTCTCAAAGAGCCAGATGCTGTACTTTGAACGAAACCAAATCTTTCAATCATACGTTATTACAACTCATCCACCAGCAACAAATACAGACCCTCCAGGAACATATGCTAAATTGCATCCTTCATATGATCCCTCTAATCTTTCTCCACAAAATATCTTCAGAGCAGGTCAATATGCTGATCCACATGAAATTAATTACAGATTATTCCAACAAAACCCATCACAAACATTCTTTGTTCAGATTACCAGCCAACAGCAAGTACTTTGGCTTATCTCATTGCCTACAACATATATGTTATTCAATCAAAATTCATTAACTACCCAATTATTCAAGAAAGTCAAAGAAGTGTCGATTAAAGGCAATAACATTTCATTTTTAAAGAACGACAAAGAGATCAAATACCCAATTAAAGTAAATGAAAATGGAAATTTGGAATTTACAGTAGGTTATGTACAAGATGTTTTGACGAAAGCTCAGCAATTTGGTTCATTTAATCTTTTCTTCCGATCTTTCTTTGGTATTGGCGGATATCCAGCAGTAAAACCACAAATCGAATCCTATTTCAGAGCTTTAGTCGAGAATGTTCAATTCCTACTTATTTTCTCATTACTACGTAAATCAGTACCTCAGCCTGTCGTTAATGCATGGCTAGAAGCCGCTGGCCATAACATTATTTCATTAGTTCCATTATCTCTTTATTACTACTTCAATTCCTTTACCGATCCCAATCTAGTCTTCAGGCAAGACTCATTCCTTACCAATCTTCTTACCAAAGTCATAGAAAAAGACCAAGGAATGAAAGATTTCCTTTCAAGTATTGATATTCAAGCCGAAGACCTTGGCGAAGAGTTCTTTACCAAATTCGAGCAAACGGAGCTCAATCCTCTCTCCCATTTCCTTCTTTACCACGCATTTACAGAAGCAAGAAGAGCATTTCCAACTCAAGGAGCCGAATACTACGCAGTTTCAGGTATTTTGTTCCTTAGAATCATGACTCCTTATTTGTCCTACAAGAATCCTGGTTCTTCAAAGAGAATCGCAACTTTGACGTCTTTGTACAACATGACTGAGTCAAAAGTTGGAATAGAAAAAGTGAAGAGAATGAAAGACATGATTTCGAGATTTGAAGTGTTCCCTGACGAATTCGGTATCGAGAAATCACCGCCAACAAGCCTCAAGTCAATAAATGTCCTCATGCAGTTCATCAACGAAAATGCACAGGCTTTCTACGACTTGTCAAAGACAATTGACGTCAAATCAATTGCTGACAAGTACTACACAGTTATGACTGGAAAAGCTCCAATTGACGACGGACCGGTCAGAGATCAGCCTCCTGATTTCGATGAACCATCAAATGAATACTCAGGAATGGAAAGTGAATTGTCAAATTTAAGCCAAGATGATTAATGTATAATAAATGTTTCAAAAGTGTGTCTTTTTTTTAATCATAAAAAAAGTTTTTTTGTTGTCATTATGAGCTTTATAATAGATTAATTCATAAAATGTTTTAATGGCGTACTTTACGCCCATATAACATTGGTTCTATTGAAGATTCATATTCAAAATATGTTTCACACTTTTTCTGAGAAACTTCAAGCCGATAAAAAGTGTGAATACATATTTTAATAGGTTCTGATACTTTTTTCGGGCTTATTTTATAAGCCCGTAAAAAGTGTCAAACCTATTGATCTTCTTTTGAATATTTGATGACATTCTGAAGAATAAGCAATGAATATGAAAAGAAGTTGTCATCACATCTTATTGCTATTTGAACGAAAGTTTCAGTGAACGTTGGAATATTAAAATTTGAAATCGATAATATATTGTTTTGGTTTGAAAATATGTATATATTCTTTAGGTTGTCAAGCATTTCATCAATCATATTTTGATTAAAGAACTCAACAAGTTGAAAATAATCCTGAAATGGATCTAAATCTGTTTTTGGAATATAATCATCATTGTTTTCTACTTTAAGATCTTCACTGACTAAAGTAAATGTTGTATTTTCGCTTGGTGTTGTGGATTCTTTAAATTCATCCATGCAAAGATTTTATTGAAAGGTCTCTCACTAAATCTCAATTCTCATTTTTAATATCAGATCTGATATATTCTTATTATAGTAACCGTTTTAATTAAGGGTTTCGTTTTGTGAAAAAAACGTACAATACGCAATTTCGCTAAAAAAACAAAATTAGCTAATTTCGACCTTTGACTCCACTCAAGACGTCACTTTTTTAATTTTGCGGTATTATATTTTTGGAAAATCTTTATGAATATTATATAAAAAGTCTCTTTAATATCTATATTTCATATTTTTATCGATTTTTAAAGTTTTGCGAAAAGTATTCAATTATTTTTGCTATTGGTCGGGTAAATGTCAGATTTGCGACATTTTCTGATATGATATTCAGATTCTACGTTGATAATAATGCTTATAGAACCCTCTTGCTATTGTGTCAAAATTGCGAAACGATAGCAAAAATATCTCGCATATCAAAATTGAGATATTGAGTGAATTATGCATTATAGAGATTAAAAATCTGATTTGTGAAAACATCTCATCAGTTCTAGCTAATTCAAAAATCTTTACTATCTTATTCGATTAAAATGAAAAGGGAATAGTTTCATTATGCTTTAAATGACAGCCTTATAATATAATCATAGTTTTCGCTCAATATGCAGCATTTTTTTTCGAAATCTATGGTCAATATCCTAAATACTGATTGCTTTGCATTCATATCTCTTACATTTTCTATACCCACATCACTATTCATTGCTATTCCTATCTTTTTCATTTTTGTTTGTTTCTCAATAATTCTCAAAAAACATGATAACTTGATATTTGTAAATATCATACTTTATAACGTAAATAAGAACTTGACCTATTAAAGAAAAGCAGTAATGAAAAGAAAATCTGAAATTCATAAAAAATTACAAGTTTTCGATGTGACAATTAGCTTAATTAAACCAGGTAACAAGATTATATAATTGTATTTTCTATCCAATTATCCATATAATATCTTATCCAGAAAAAATAACTTGATCAATACCAAATGATTTTTTAACTAGTAAATAAAGTATTTTCTTTACACACACATTGTATATCATAGTTTTGTTTTTTGGTTTCGCAAAACATCCAAAAACAAATATGCTATAAAAGTGACAATTTTAGCAAAACGAAACCCTTATTTTAATCGTTTTCATTTCATATCACATGCCGGCATTTGTAAACTAACCCACTTTTTGCAACCTTACCACCTACTACCTTATATTAATGCTATACTTTTTTGCAATTAAAAAATTTGGATGTGTCAAAATCTGGAAAAATTGAAAGAAATATCCAAAAAATTTACCATTGACTGATGAAAAACTGTAAAAGAAAAAAGAAATCCGTCATTTCTTCTTCAAAGAATGAGAGATTAATTTTTCCAATTTTTCAAAGATTTTTTTTCTAAAGTATTCACAAAATCTAGATTGAGAGGCGGTCAATGACTTTTGAGGGGAAATTAACGCATGGAATTTAATATTATTTAGGTTGATATTCTTGCTTATTATTTCAGAAAAAAAATCTTAAAAATTTCAATATGAAAATTGAAAGCAATTCAAAAAAATTGCTAACATGTAAATTTTAATATCCTATGCATAATTTCATATTTTGAACATTTTTTATTTTTGTTTAAAACTTAAAATTTTGCGAATTTAATATAATTTATAAAATATAATACGTATATATATTTAAAATACACTAAATTTAATTGTTAATTGACGTTTTTGGGAATGAATTTTATCAAAACATGCCTGAATCCGAAAATTTGAAAGAACGAATTACACAATCATATATGTAGAATTCAAAATACAAACTTAAAGATTGTATACGTTTAAAATTATTCAGATTGTGTTTGATTTCCACTCATTCTGTTTCTTTTGAACTCTAACACTAACATTTCATGATGATTACATGATCCATTTATACATGGTTGAATTGTTCCAGATTCTACCAGAAAATCAATCCAAATTTCTCAATGCATTCATGTTGATTGGACAAAATTTAAAATTTATCAGCCTGTTTCCAGAGAAACTCATATATTCCCTAATGAAATGTAATTTTTGCTACATTTATTTCAATCAAATTTCAAAAAATTGACTGCAGAGCTTGAAAATGTGATGAATCATGTTGTTATTAGATGTACATATTAGATTTACTATTTCCAAAAAATGCTCAAATTTGAATAGTTTTTAGAAAATTTGGAATTACACTCCTTACATTATATATAATTAAATGTTTAAATTTTATTTATTTTTCCCTTTTAATTTTATAACTTGCTCTATCAAAACTAACCTCTCAATTGAAGGCCACAAAATCTAAGTAGTGAGGGTACACAAATTTTGTATGGAGTACGGTTCAATTTTTGAGAGCCTCACTACTTAGATTTTGTGACTACCTTATAAAGTTGTTAAAATTTCGAGAGATTTTTTAAAGTCCTCTCTTCATATCAAACTTACGAGTTAAAATAGAGCTTCTTTCTGAGTTGACTGTACATTTACCATTCAAATTTTTGAACCAATCATAAAATATTTTCAGAAGGTCAATTACATGAACGGTTAAATCGATATTATAGAATCTCGTATAGATCCAAAAAAAGGCTAATGTCATGCATGGATTGAATAAAAAACCAACAATTTTTTAAAAAGTTGGAAAATCCAATGTCACTTTTTAAACATTATAAATTATGGAGGATTTGATTGTTCGCCGTGCTATTACATCAGATGCAGTAGCACTCCAGCCACTTGTTGATCGTATTGGTGATCTTCTTGTTTCGCGTTATGGTGTTAAAGATATTGCCGAATTGATTGAGAGTTCATGTCTCACATTAACAGCAGTGACACAAGGCGAAGAGGAAACTCCAGTTGCCATGGCCATGTTCAGCTATCCACCACAATCTACATTTTATTCATACAAAAAACTAAAATTAACATGTTTCCTTGCCGAAACACAGTATGCTTCAGATTCAGCACGATTAATACTTCGTTCATTGTTTGAAAGTCAACCAACATGTGACATGGTTGAAACCGAAATCAATGTTGAAGCTCCTCTTGAAACACCTTTAGTTCCATTCTTTATTCAAGAAGGTCCTAAACTTGTTTGTCGTCGCGACACAATCATTACATGCACCAGATGCAGAAAGTTTACTTTTCAACATGTTTATTCAATTTCACTTTCAGAACCTGATTCCTCTCTTTCTTCTATACTACAAGCAAGACTTGCGATAAAATATACACTAGATTACATAATTTCAGGAATTATGTATATTATTAATCACCCAGAGTTGACTACCAGAAATCAAGAATCAAAACCATCAACAGCACAGAATTTTTCTTCAAGCTCATCCATTTCTTCAAGATCTTCCCTTTCTTCAGTAGAAAAAGATATTGTACAAATGGGATTTACTGTCGAGCAAGCAAGGGCTGCTGTAAAAGCAGTAGGAATGGATATTAGCTCAGCAATTTCTTACATCTATAATAACGCAGATAAAATTGCCAAAAATCAGGAAGGGTCAATATATCCAATTCCTTCCTCAAATTTAATTTTGATATCAAGTGTTTCTTCTAAATTCATATTAGCGTTAGACAGACAAGTCAACGGAGATAAACTCAAAGAGATGACAGATATGGGTTTCTCATATGAGCAATCCAAATATGCTTTATTTGTTTGTAATAACAATCTTGAAAGAGCAGTTGATCTTATTACTATTCCAAAGAGGAATAGATATAACATAGAGATATTATATACAATATGTAGAACTGCCTTCCAAAAGTCAAAAGATCCTGGAATTTTTACCGACTGCAGACCATATTTAAGACCTCTTTGGCCTAATTTAGTTGATGGAATTACACCGAACGAGCAAGAATCTTTAAAGCGGATGGCTATTAAAGAGCACTGTATTCGCCAATAGAAATTAATGATAAATTTTTGTAGAAAGAGTACTTCTAATTTTAATTATGAGTCTTCAAATTTTCCGAGAATGTTTCCATTTTCTCGTTATTGATTAAATCTTGTTCACAATTCAAATCATTCTCATATACCAATAATTGTGATGTTGTTACTATATTTCTAATGTTTATGGGGAAGAATAGTCTTTCTAAGTTGGTTGTTGCAAGATAATGCTGATCATTCTGATTGATATTCTTGGAATTATCATCTTTTTTTTTAATATTATTATTTGTTTAAAAAATTGTCGTATATAAGAAAAGGATATGTGCAGATAAGTCCCAATGGTAAACCTTAAAAATAAAGAGTATATCATTTGATAGCCCTGGAATTTGATATCAAATTTGATATAAGTCGATAATATTGTCTTATTCTAAATAATCATACTTAAATGCAAAATAGCATTCATTAGGATCAATAGTGAACTCTGAAGGGGAAAAAAAATTGAATCAAATAAAATTTGATAGCGTGTATGAGTATTTGGAATGATATTTCGGATATTTACGCATTGTTTACATTATTATAATGTTAATATTAGACTATAATTCGTAAAACTCAAAAAATATTAAATCAAAATTTAACGCTTTGGGATAACTTTATCAGAGAAATATAAGTGGTTTTGAAAAACAAATGCTGATCTTTAATGATTTTTGAAATTACAAAATTAAACGTGAATTTGTCACTTTTCTCCACACGTTATAAATTATGGAGGATTTGATTGTTCGCCGTGCTATTACATCAGATGCAGTAGCACTCCAGCCACTTGTTGATCGTATTGGTGATCTTCTTGTTTCGCGTTATGGTGTTAAAGATATTGCCGAATTGATTGAGAGTTCATGTCTCACATTAACAGCAGTGACACAAGGCGAAGAGGAAACTCCAGTTGCCATGGCCATGTTCAGCTATCCACCACAATCTACATTTTATTCATACAAAAAACTAAAATTAACATGTTTCCTTGCCGAAACACAGTATGCTTCAGATTCAGCACGATTAATACTTCGTTCATTGTTTGAAAGTCAACCAACATGTGACATGGTTGAAACCGAAATCAATGTTGAAGCTCCTCTTGAAACACCTTTAGTTCCATTCTTTATTCAAGAAGGTCCTAAACTTGTTTGTCGTCGCGACATAATCATTCCACCACTCGTTATCAGAGAAGCTCGTGTAGAAGATTATGATGATCTTATGCCGCTTTTCGAGGCAGAAGCTTCAGATCTTCTTGAAAAGAACGGCCCATTCTTTGTTGCCAATATTATTAAGAACACAGAGAAATACAAATGTCTTGTAGCCGAAGATGAGGAAGGTTTGGCTGTTGGTTTCGTTTTAATTCAACCAGATTTCGATTTATCAATTCACGCTCAAGATTACGACCTCATTGCATTCCAGAAGATTCTCAATGATACAAAGACTGTTTTTCGTATCAGTCTTTTCTTCATTGCCGAGAAATATCGTCTTCATTCTCGTGATTTCATCAAACCAATCTTTGCTCTCATGAGAGATGCCGATTACTTCGCTATCATGTTCCCTACAAACTCTCCGCCATCACCACTCGCTCCATATCTTACAAAAGTTCCATCTCTTCACCATGGAACGCAATGCTACAACTTATACCTCTGCCACCGTGATGCCGCCAACGATATCATGCTCAATGTTCGCAAATATACACCAGACGACGCTTCACTTCTTGAAAATTTCGTCGAACCACTTAATAACAGAGTCGACATCATCAAAGCATGCGAAGCCAAGCCAGAGAACGTCCATTTACTACTTGTCAACGAAATTATACAAGGTATCTCCGTTTTCGAAGATCCAAATCCGATAGATCATACAAAATGGGACATTGAAGAGTTTGTTGACGTCAAACATTGCAACAGTTTTGTCCAACTCAAGTATGTTACCATTTCCCCTCTTTTCCAGCGCTTCCTCTCATTCTTCCTCGTCAGATCCATGGAAATCTGGGAAGTCAAGTCCATCTACATGCTCCACAAGGATGGCTACTTCCCAGACATCCTCGGCCGCCTGTTCCTCGCAGTCGAGCGCCGCCAGGGACCTGCAAACCCAGAATTCCAGGTCCATATCGAAAGAGAAGAGTCACTTCACTTATTCCCAATGAGATGGTCACTTCACCCGAAGCAAGAAGTCACCAGTTCTATAGTCATTGTAGGAAATACAGAAGGTGTAGCTAGTTTTCTCTACAAATTAATATCAGTTCCGTATCTTCATTTCTCTGCATTGCACGTTGTATGCGAAGGAGCCGACGAACGCATCTGGGTCAACACGTACAGCTGCAGGGAATACATGCCGGACTGGTTGCAGCACGTTCACCTCCTAAATGGAGCAACATTCTTCGACCACTCGCTGAAATCGATCAATAGACCTGATTCCACCATCTCCATCCAAAAGGAGAACGACGAGAACGCTCCGATCATCGACCTCCACTACGATTTCCTTGTATTACTCACGGCCAAGCAAGGAGAGACCGCTGATATGTGGATGGCCAAGATATTCTGCGAGACAAAGAAGCCGCCAGTCTCCGTTGTCGGTGATTCCTTAGTCGCATACTACATTTTGTCTCATTACCCTGGATGCGCACATATCGCCCACAATCCTCGTTTCAAACTCGAAGGAACACTCGCAACAATCATCAGAGACTCCGCTGTTGCAAATTGCGACTTCAGAGAAGTGTCTCCGAAGCTCTTAGACATTCTCGAAAAGTCAAGTTTGGTTTACGATGGCGGTATTGTCATTGATGAATTGTTCAGAACAAACGATCCAAAGGTATTCGCTGCCGGACCGATCACAATGTTCTCCAGACCATACAGAGCTAAAGATGACGGCTCAATCATCTCACAAACCGAATACGGCAGACAAATTGGAGCTGTCATTTTGAGATTGGTTGATCCAACTGATGATTTCGTCGAACCACCACTTATTGTCGGTTCTGACGATGCATTGCTTGCAGAGAAGAATCCTTCCTTGTTACCGAAGTTCTCTTTGAGAAGAGCCGAAATGTACCAGTTGCCAGGAACAATAATTTTCTACAGAAACGGATTCCCGGCAGCTAAATGCAGATGTTTGGAGACTGTTAACTCTGGAAGAACAATCAGGTTCTTTGTTGATGCAGCTGGTTTCATCCAGGCATTCGAGTACCTCGGAGAAGCAACAGGAATGATCTATGATTGGACGAAATTCATTGGTCTTCCTGCTGTTTTGTTGAATAACATGGTTGAGAGATTCGACCAGAAGAGAATTGTCGATTTCGCTGAGTACTTCACTGAGGAATGGTGCGCTGCAATATTACATGATAGATTCAGAAGATTCTTTGATAACAATTTAGAGAAATTGATTGAAAAAGGTGGAGCTGATACTCCTGAAGCAATGAATGAAATTCGTGAAGCTTTGCTTAATTTCTTGATCGAAAATGCTGATTTACTTCCAAACTATTTCACTTCTGAAGATCAATTACCTCCACTTGATGACAAAGAATAAGTTTTTTTTTCTTTTTTATTTTATAAGCATGTTATATTTATTATTTCTTTTTTTTAATAAAAAAGTGTCAATAATTTTTTCTTATTTTATTATATTTCATGTCTTTTGAGTTTATCATTATTTTATTTAAGTTCTATTTATCTTCGCTATTCTTATTTATTAGAATTCCTTTGAGTATATCATTACTTATATGTATTGGGGTAAATAATGAAAATAATTAATAAACGCAAACAGATTTTTTATAACATTTATTAAGTAATAATTATTGCGCAAAGTATGCAAAGCCCATAAAAGCTCCCATATTATGTTTTTTATAAACTTCCTTATGTGCAGATTCAATATTTGATGAGCACGGTGTTGATAATGGAGTTTCTTTTGGTGTTATCACTGGTGTATTATGAGGTGTTGAATGAGGTGTTAACTTCGGAGTGGAAAATGGTGTTATTTTTGCTGTCAAAAATGGTGATTTGAACGGAGTCTCCTTTGCAGTTAATCTTGGAGTCTCAAATACAGTTACGAATGGAGTACTATGTGGAGTTTGATACTGTGTTTTGAATGGAGTACTTTTTGGAGTTATCTTTGGAGTAAAACGAGGTGTTTCGACAGGAGTATTCTTTGGTGTCAATGCTGGTGTCATAACTGGTGTTTCTTTTGGTGTGATTCTTGGTGTAGCAAATGGAGTTGGAGTTGGGAATATAACATCTTGGAATGGATTACTTGGATATAGTTTATCATATCCTTCTAAAGTTCTGCAGAATGCTTCTGGTGGTGGACAAACAAGCGTTCTTGTGAGATAGAAGCCTGAGTACCATTTATCATATGTATATGTCTGTCCATCATGTGTGCAATTCAATGTATCATATTCTTTTGTGGCCTGATTCAAAAGTATTTGCAACGTGAATGATTGATAATCATCAGCACAATGATAAACTGCGCAGTCATCATTAGAATAATAGGTCAAGCCTGGAATTGTAGCTGTTCCATCAGGGCAATAATTATCTTGTCCCTTTAAAAGTAAATACCCAAGCTCCTCAAGACCAAATGTTTGATAATTATATGGATTGTAATATGATTGAGCACTGCAATAATCAGGGAAATTGGACGAGATAATACTTTGTGAGCAATTTCCACTGTCAGAAGATGGAGCTCCCCATGTTTTGAATTCAAATGAAGCACCATCCAAAGTAACATTTGGACGAGAGAAATAATAACTTGGAAGGGTTGAATATGGCGGTCCTAAAGGCCAATTCAAATTATATTCACCATTGATATATTCCTTATTACCATAGATTAATGGTTTTCCATATCTCCAATCGACTTCAAAGTTACCTGAATCAAGTAGAATTGCCATTGTAACTTCAGTAAATCTTATGAATGGAACACCTGTTTGTTGGAGGCTAAATGGACATGAAATATCCTGAGCATAGATTGCTGTGCTCGGTCTTTGATATGATGATGGGTCCATGATGATTCCAGATGGGCATACATTGTCATCACCAACGAACCATTCTTGGCCGAAGAAATGTTTTCCATGACGATGAGCATATGGTGTTGTAAGAATTGTGAATTGAACACCATTTTTCGTTAACTGACAATAAGGTTCTGGATAATAGTCACTTGATAATTTGTAATGGAAATGACCTCTTGTCATTATACCTGTCAAAATTGCTTTCAAAAGACAATTAAAGAAGATATCATTTTGAGTATTAACTTGGGAAGCCGTTGTGGGGATATTGACTGGATTATATATAACAACCATTTGTGAATATGCATAATAAACTGTATCATTATAATGGATATCACTAAAAGCAAAAAGATTGCTTGATGAAGCAAATGGATGAACTAGCCATACAATGTACAAATCACAATCGGTTGCATAAACAGTCAAATTTTCCATTGCTCTTGAATATGCAGTTGAACAGTAAATTTCTCTATCTTGGAGAGGCTTTACTCTTAAGATTTGCTCTAAGTAGGCCTTTGTGTTTGCAATTGTCTCTTAGTAAGCTGCAGTTTGAGCTGCCGTCATAATATCTTGTGATCTGCATGTATATGTTGTTCCTCCCCAAGTGACTTGTTGTCCAACTGTTGTGCATGCCTGTGGATCTGAATATGTTCCATTGAAGAATCTATTATCATTTGTAATTCTTATTTGCTCGAACTCAGGAATAGAATCAAAAGCAGGAGTAGCTTCTGGAGTTGGCTTAGGAGTTGATGGTGGAGTTGCAGCAGGTGTTGGTTTTGGAGTTGGAAAGACAACACCTGAAAATGGATCAGAAGTAAAGTATTGTTCTAACATTTCTCTAGTTCTACACAATTGTTCTGGTGATGGGCAGGTGATTGTTTTTTGAGTGTATGTCGTGGAAGTAAAAAACCTAGTAAACGAATAAGTTTGTCCTTTTGAAGAACATGTGAAAGATGTTGTAGAATTAGTTGTTTCATCTGTTATAACATCAAGTGTAAAGCTTGTATATCCATTGCATGTGTAACTTGCGCAAGGATCATCACCATAATATGTCAAACCCTGAATTGTTGCCTTTCCAGAAGGGCACATTCTAGATGGATATTTGATGAGCTGATCATCAAGAGATTCAAAAATACCTGCTACTGAATAGCCTTTTGGATTGTAATAGGAAGGATTACTTCAATAATGAATATCAGCTAAGGAAGATGGATTGGTGCAATTTACAACTTGAGTTGTAGGAGTTCCCCATGTATTGAAGTCATAACCAACATTGCTTTGAGTTGAAGATGGATCATAAAAGTAGTTGTCAGGTAGAGCAGTTTCTGGTGGAGATAGTGGCCATCCTGAGATATAGTTTCCATCAATTGAATCTTTATTTCCCCAAATAAGTGGTTGCCCCATTGACCAATTTACTTCATAGTGTCCACTATCCAAAAGGAATGCCATTGTAACATCAGTAACTCTTCTGAATTTGCCATAGTCACCTTGTGTTGATTCAGAATTGCTGATATCAGTGTAGTAGATGGTAGATTCTGCGCCATCACCTGGTGAAGGGCCACTATCCTCAATAATAATGCCACTTGGACATGTTTTATCATCGCCATAGAATGTTTCATTTCCATAGTTCTTCATTGCGTAGTAATGAGCATAAGGAGTTGTTAAGACAGAGAATGTCTTTCCATATTTTGTAAGATTACAAACTATGGAATCATAGACAGTGGAATCATATTTTGGATGGAATTTATTGATGAAACTATCCGAAAGCGCAACAGCATTCAAAACATTTCTAAGGATTCTATAAAAATCACCGTTGATTGAAGTATCTTCACCTTGAACAGTATCTGGTAAATTTTCTTGATTCATATAGAAATTCGCTTGAATACATCTGGAGTACGTTTGCTCTTTAAAGGAAACCGTAGTTGAAGAACGTACTGCATTGGAAAATGGTCTTAAGAAAAATACTAAATATAGATCTGTATCTGTGATGTTTGTTCCTTGAACTATGGATTGTTCTCTTATAGAGTCAGATTCTAATGAAATTGGATCAGTACTAGGAAGAACTTTAAGGAGTTTTTCTAAATAATTCCCAATGTTTGTCATTGTTCCTTTAAATGCTGCGATTTTTGTTGAATTAGGAATATCAGAAGCTATGCATTGAAATGTTTCACCATTCCAAGTTATATAATCTCCTTCACTTTGACACTTAAGTGGGTCTGATGTTGTTCCATCAAAATATTGGAAATCTAATTTAATTCGAATTGATTCGAAAGTTGTGGAGCTATATACAGTCCTTTTCTTTGGCACCTTAACAGAATCAATACCAAAATTCTTATTCTCTCTCTTGAACTTTGGCCAGGAGAAGCATAATAGTAAAAACATTAAAAATCTGAATTTGATTTTGCTTTCAATTATGATTTTAACAAAATAATGATATTAAATATAATTAGGAGTATTAAGTTGTTATAATTAATTGAATTTAAATTGAAAACTTATCAAAAAATTGAAATTGAATGTATAAAAAACCTTAGCATTATTCAATTGGATAAATGTTTTAAAAATTGGTTATTTGGATGTCTAAATGATTTGGGTTAATGTTCAAATCCTTGATAATTATCGATAATTGAAAGTGGTTCGGAAAAACTTCAATGCTAAATTTTAAGAGTGATTTCATATCATCATTTCAACTACCAGTAGGATTTTGTTGTAATGTCTTGACTAAATTTTCATTCAAAAGTGAATTGAGAACAAAAAGGTTGTCTGCAAAATCTCGAGAAATCTCATAATATATTGTTCATCTATGATTTCCTATCTTAGTATTGTCTTTTATTTAAGCATGTCGCAATTGCCAAAAGGTTGTCTATTTTTGAAGAAATATTGCCCACGTGGGAAATAGTGTAAAGTATTGAATTCAGAGGAAAATTACAAAAATACTCATTTTGAAGGAATTTTGGTCATAAAACATGTATTTATTATATGTATAAATTACTTGGCTTGATGCATATGTTCTATATCTTTACTTAAATCACATAAATCATCAACATTTGTTAATTTCATAATTTGATTTCTCTTCAAATCTGCAATCAGATTGAACTTTCAGGAATGTTCCATTAATATGAATATAATTATCAGAAAATATATAATCATATTATGCTCACTGAAGTATTGCCCGTGGGCAATAAAATTTGGGCAATTGTACGTTATTTGATTTTTTGGCTTTTTTGAAATGTTTACACTAGTGTCCAACCTTAAACTTTTTTGGGCAATTGGACGTTAATAAGAATTGCCCACATGCAATAATCAGTGAAACTTCAGAATTGTGTTAATCTCCTGTATAAGATCAATAGCCATCGATAATATTATCCATGAACTCTGTAATTTGAATTAGATGTTCGCATAGGTAGCTTACTTTGGTAGATATGTCAGACACAATGCCAATAAACATATTTGTAAGGGTTATTTTAAAGGCAAACGAGGATTTTCTAAAAATAATATATAATTTCAAGATTTATCATAATTTTGACTAATTTTGTATACTGTAAGATCAATTTTGTTGATTTTGAGAACATTTAGCTACAACAACCATCCTCAATATTATGAATTCTTTCATGAGAATATAAATAATTCTATATTCATCCTTTTTAAAATGCAAATAAAGTTTATTGTAAATGAGTAAATTTGATTTCCAATAAACTTTATATATAAAAGAGAATGCAAAAAAATTGCAATTTTTAGGAACAAAAAGAATATATGAGCTCCATAACATGCCTATTTTAGTTTTTGGAGGATGTTTTATTGTCGTCTGGAAAAAGTGACAAAATTATTATTGTCGTCTAAAAAGGTGACAAATTATTATTGTCGTCTGGAAAAGTGACAAAATTATCATTGTCGTCTAAAAAATAGATTTTTCAAGCATGTTTCGGTACCTAAATAAAGGAAGAACATCAATTCCATCTATGTATATAGTATGCAAACACGCATGATATATGGAGTAGCTCTTTATCTGGCTAAAAATCCTATTATTTGAAAATTCGCATTGTCGTCTAAAACCGCCAGACGACAATAATAATACCCCTAGTTTTTGATTGACCGCGAAACTTGTTTTACTGCAAATTGTAATTTTTCAGAAAGAAATATATATATATATATATATATATATATATCTTTTCTTTATAAAGGTTTTGATATTATGGTAAATCAGAAATTTGTTTTCAAATTTTCAATCTTGATGTGATTGTATTTGTATCATAACAAACAAGCTACACATTTTATTTGCGGACTTTCCTGTTTAAGTTATAAAAGATTAAAACATTTACTATTATGATTAGGTAAAATCAGTCCATAACTTCATTAAGATTCTCTATAACTCCGATGGGTGTTGAATTAAGAGCAAACTGTCAAAAATATGATATTTTGCTTTTGTAAATAATAAAGAAATAGTATAGAAAATAATTGTTGTTTATATATCGCAATGTTTTTCATTCTTCAAGGACCAAATTTTGGATTAAATTAACCCAAAATCACAGAATTCAAAGAATATTATATGAAATTTCTTAAATACTTAGTGGTATAATAGTTGGTTTTCTATTATGATCTGATCTAATTCTTCTTTTTTTAACAAATATTTATTGATATTTCATCAAGGTTATTTTATTAGCTTGCAATACTTAGGTTACCATAATCTCAATGACTCAAAGTATATGTAATTGGATAAATATGAATGCATTACGCCTCTGAAGAGAGTCAAAAAAAATTTTTTTGACGCTGTTGGAATATTTTAATCACAAATTTTAGTATTTACCACCATATTAAAATAATGAATCGTCAAGTAGCTGGTATTGACTTAGGAACTTATAACACTTCATGTACCGTTAGAAGTTTTACACCTCATCCTGATCATCTTCAATTTTCTGGAGGAAATCTTCTTCCATCATTTGTATTTTTACAGTGGGACAAAGAGAAAAACGCATCACAATGTATACTAGGACCTAATGTAAAAGGAACCTCACTAGCATATCCTCGCCAATTGCTCTACGGATCAAAGCGTTTGATTGGTCACGAATTTTACTCAGATACAGTACAGAATTTCATTGAAATGAATGAAGACACACTTAATATATTAGAAGTAAGAGGAAAACCTGTCTACAAAGTCGATTATTACGATGATCAGAATAATAATAAAATAAAAGAAGAAATTTTCACTCCAGAAGACATTTCTGCCGAAATTCTTAAGAAAGTTGCGTCTACTTACAAGGATGCCAGTGGTGGAGAGCAATTAAAATCATGTGTTATCACTGTTCCAGCGAAATTCAACACAAATCAGAGGAAAGCAACGCTCAACGCCGCTACCAAGGCTGGTCTCAACTGTCTCAGACTTGTTAATGAACCAACGGCCGCTGCTTTTTGCTACAAAGTCCATTGTCTTGGAAAAGACGACACATCTAAGAAAACTGTCATTGTTTTCGACTTTGGTGCAGGTACATTAGATGTCTCCATTGTAGAATTCGATGGAAATTCATTTAATGTCATTCATACTGAAGGAAATAGCCAACTTGGCGGTATTGACATAGATCATGCAATTTACGAGTTCGTTCTTAACAAATTCAAGGATGAAAACAACGGATATGACAAAGCCAATCCGAAAATGTTGGCAACTCTAATGATTGAAGCAGAAAAATGCAAAATAAAATTATCATCAAGTCCAAGCGCAGAAATTTTTATTCCTGGTTTCTGGAATGGTATAGATCTTAATGTTACCCTCAGAAGGAGACAATTCGAGACTCTTATTGATGATATTATTGAAAAAGCAAAAGAAGTCTTAAATACTGCAATAAAGGCATCAAAAGTCAACGTTAAGAATATTACATCAGTTATACCAATTGGTGGTACCTGTAAAATACCTGCCGCCATAGATATTCTTAATGAAATTTTTGATGATGATAAAATTGCATCGGAACTCGATATAGAACACTCCGTATCAGAAGGTGCATACTACATATGCCAAATCATAGAAAGCGGAGGACATATCGAAGAAATTGGAAAATACGCAGATTCTTCTTCAACTCCTAAGAGAGTCGGTGCTCCATCCAACATCATAGAGGTACCGACCACGGATAGACTCACAAACTTCATCAGCGTCCTTCTTAGTAACAATTCTCATTGGAATGTCTTTCCTCCTGGCAAACAGTTCCCGTTACATAGGATAGATCACTTCAAACATGATCCTCTGGAGCCTTGCATCAGAATGGATGTATACGAAGGAGGAAAAGAGGCTAATTCTCCAAAAACTCTCGTTTCCAAGATAAATATTCCAAATGTACCAAAGGATTTGACTAGTTTCTCCATGAAATTCATTATAGATCATAACGGAATCCTAAATGTTGCAGTTTTGGACTCAGATAACAATGAAATCCGAAATGCAATAATTCACATGGACTTTTCTGAGAGTGGAGAAAAAGTTCCAACTGAAGCTGAGTTCCTGCGTAAATGTTGTGACGTTCAGGACAAAATTGCAACAAAAAGAAGAAATGCTCAAGACAAGCGACCATTCCACCAATTAACCGATGACTTGGATGATCTTATTGATAGTGCCAAACAGCAATATGTTCCTCAGGATCATTTAAGAGAATTAGATGTAATTATTGATAGACTAAGTCAAATGTAGATTATATTTATTATGTTCAATATAAAGATTATTTTAAATAATATGTTTTTTAAAGAAACTCCGCACTTTCATAGAGTTACTGAATCAAATGAGAAATTTCTCATGACAAAGAGTCAAATACTATAAAGAAGTTTTTATATTAAAAAAAGTAGGAAGTATTCTTTTAGTATTTTCGATTATAAATACTGATTCGATCTTTTAGAAATGATCTTGGGGTTTGTTCAACGATTTATATGGATTACAATGAACAAAAATATTGAATTTTTGTATTGCAAATGGTCTTTCAAATCCTTGTCTCAAAACTCCAAACTTATTGAAAAGATATATTGCATACAGAGCCAATAAATCCTTGAACAAGTATATTGGAACATATATTCTTAAATGGTAGCGATCTTTGTCTTCTTTCTTTAAAAAAAATTGAAATTTATTAAAAAACTGATTTAAAAAAAATATATATATATGAAATGATTTTAGAGTAATGTTGCTGTTAATTCAGTTGATGTCTCGAATTTGTTCTTATGTGAACGCTTACTAATGAAAACAATCAAGATAACAACAACAATTAAAACAAGAACACAACATGGAATTGTGATCAATAAGATAAGTCGAAGTTTAGATGATGAAATAGATGGTGTGAAAACAATGCATTTGTCTTTAACATGTAAATTACCTGTGTCTGTTTTCAGTTTCTTAACAGAAAGACCACCATCACAGCAGAAGATATTTTGTGTTGAATTAGCAATCATATGATTACGGTCATCATTGATATAAAACAAGTTTAAGTTACATTTTCCATTGGTGTTGAATGTGGATAACCATTGGTTATTGACTGGAACATTCATAGTAACATATGAATCAACAAAATTTGTGAAGAAACCGGTGATAGATGATTTAATCATTGTCATGTTTCGAACTTCAACATTGTTCAACTCAATTGATTGACCGGATGCATCGACTTCATCAATATAGAACTTGTTCGATGTGTTTGTAACATATCCGATGCCTCCATCATCTGTCAATTGGATCTTCTTCAAATAAACATTCTTTGAAGCATGGAAATACGGGTAAAAATTATCTTCAATTGGTTTCAAATTATATGAAATTTTGACATCTTTTTCTGAATCAAGATAAACATTCCTTCCTGAGAAAGTATGAGCCAAACCCAATGGAAAAGCTCCTTCTGTTTTAACATTAACATTTACATACTGGAGAAATTCATTCATTATTCTTGTCTCAGCAAAAACAAGAGGTAACTCTGTTTGTGGCCATTCTCCAACAATGTTATAATTCCAGAGAGCAATGAATTCCAACCTTGGAATTTGTTTCTCGTCAGTTCCTGAACATGAAAGAGTTAACGTCTTAATAGGTAATCCATCAACAGCAATCGTTCTCGAATGAATTGCTTTAACTGTCACTTTTTCTTTATTTGACAATGTAAACTCTAATTTGTTATGTTGTAAATCGATTTTTTCAACATCTTTTGTCAAATAAATTTTAAGATTTTGTGGATTAGGATCAAAGATGTTTAATGCATTAATGTCAACTTGTAACTTTTGTGCCTTTGAGAAGTCCAAATCTCCTGTTATTTTAGAAGTTTCGAAATGATAAGATTTTCCTGAAAAATAAACTTTTTTGTCAAAAGAAACAACGGAACCAGAAACAGATACAGCAGAAAGTTTTCCAAGTTTTTCGCTGTTAACGAAATCAACTTGTGCATTTTCAATGATCATTTTATTACTGAGTTTATTGAAATTATCCAAGTTAACTTTTGCAGTTCCATTCATTAAACCTAATCCAGAAATTGCTGTTTCTTTTGAAGAATTCAAAATTAATTTAGATTTTTCAGGAATTGTCAAAACTAATTCAGCACCAAATTTGATATCTGATGCATCAATTGTGTATTCTTTATCATCATCATAGAAATAGATATATACTTGTGTTGTATATGCTTTAACTTGTTTCTTCCAATCATCATTGTATTCCTTTGAATAAAAACGAGGAAGAAGAGAACATCTTGTATTATTTATTTCTCCTCCATAACATAATCTCAAATTGTAACTCATTGGAGAATCGAAATAAGCTATTGTATAATATGGTTTTGCTTTTTTGAGTAAGAATACAGCACTAATTTGGAAGAAAGGTAATTCTGTACCAAGAACAGTATTAGGAATTATATTGATTTTGATGTCTGCATCTGATTCAATGACATTAAATTTGTTTTTTTCTTCAATATATAATTTGTCAAATAATGCTTCTTTTTCTTTTGTTTCGAGACTTGGATCTGTACAGAAAGAAATGTTTAGGGATTCCGCTTTTGTTACTTTAAGAGGTGTTACTTCTCCATTGATACAAACACATTGTAAAAATGCACCTTGTTCTAGATAAATTCCTTTAACTGATACTTTTGATTGTCCATATGAAATGTAACCTAAAATATAAACATCTGAGTTAATAATTTGTTCTGTATCTTTGTCATTCCTATAAGTATCAATCATTTTTGTGTAAATACCGAAATCTGAGTTGATTTTACAATTTCCGTAAAAATAAATTTCATCAATGTAGTTTTCTTTGGCATTTAAGTTTACTTCTGAGTTGTTGAACATCTTCCATGAACCAGGAACTTGTAAATATGGTGCTGTGACCGATGTTCCTTTGGAAGAACAAAGGATTTTGTAAATGTCAAGGTATTTGTCAGATTCGATCTTGCCATCATCATGTAAGTCAACAATTAATCGGGCAATGATGTCTTTTCTGTGTTGGTTAACTGTAACTTTTGAATTATAAATTTGTAAAACTAATTCTGGAATTTCCATGAACATATTGCAGTAGTCAGCGTCGTATGTTGAATCTGCACGAACTTCAATAGTTGTAGCACTTGGTGACTTGTATTTCGTTGTAATGAAAGGAATGATTATTTGTTTTTCGTTTGGAAATGTAACTGTAGTCGCAGAATCCACTGTTTTGATACCTAATTTGACATTTGTGACTAATTTGACGTATAAAATGGTTTTAGGTGTAGTGAATGAATTTGATGGTGAATTTTCAATTAAAATGGTTAATTGTTTAGATGCATCGTAGCTAGCCAATGATTCTAGTAATGAGAGTGTGCAAATGAGTGTCTGGCACTTGAGTGCGGAATCTTTTGGAAAATTAATTTCAGATTTTGTATCGATATCAAGGGTTTGGAATGTATATAATTGACTGCCTTCGAATGTTGCTTTGATATTGCGAAGATTTAATGTAAATGGACGCGTGTTTTTGAACTTGATTCCATATGTTAGTTGATTTGACTGGAATGTGAACGATGTTGTATTGGGAGCGTTCGAAAAGTCAAATGTGATGTCTTCTGATGTAGATAGAATGATCGTGATTGAAAATGATGAAGCTTCTTTTTGTTTTTCTTTAACTTTTTCAACTAAACTATCATATGAAACGAAACGCTCAGATGACGAAGGACACTGGCTTGTATCCTTTGAATAACAGTAGTCAAAGCTTGAGCAAATAGCTGTTGAAATGAAGAGAAACATAATTTAAAAAATTAAAAATCTCAAAGTGTCATAAATGGCAGGAAATAAAATTCAATGGTGACAATTTGACATCTAATCTATAATGGATTTTACTTGTTATGTATGTTGTAAAATTTTAAATTTAGAACCATACAAAATGATTCCGTAAGATTATCAATAATTGAAAAAATTGAATACCATATACGGATAAATAATAAAACATAATAAGGTATTGATTGTTTCGTATTCCAATAAAGTCACTCTTGCTTTTAGAATAATTTCATTAGCTTTTTAACGAATTTTAAGAAGTTAATTAAAATATTCTTCATCAAATATAATCCAAATCAATATGTTTTTCTAAAAAATGGATGCAATTAGTGTTGCTATTCTCATGCATTTATTGACACTGTTTATAAAAAAAAAATGAAATTGAATTGAAAAGAAAGGGAGTATAAAAACCTTTAAAATAATAAATTTGCATTAAATTCAATAAATGTGATGTTTTTATTCAATAAATATTATTTTAGAGTAATGTTGCGGTTAATTCAGTTGATGTCTCGAATTTACCTCTCCGTGAACGCTTAACAATGAAAATAATCAAAATGATAACAACAAGTAATGCAAGTATACCACATGGAATTGTGATCAGTAAGATAAGTCGAAGTTTAGATGATGAAATGGATGGTGTGAAAACAATGCATTTGTCTTTAACATGTAAATTACCTGTGTCTGTTTTAAGCTTCTTAACAGAAAGACCACCACTGCAGCAGAAGATCTTCTCGGTGGTGTTTGTATATAATGTATGGCGATCATCGTTAATAACGAATGAATTTAAGTCGCACTTGCCGTTGGTGTTCAATGTAGATAAAAATTGGTTGTTAGCGGGAACATTCATAGTAACATATGAATCAACAAAGTTTGCATAGATGCCGGTGATTGATGATTTGATCATTGTCATGTTTCGAACTTCAACATTGTTCAACTCAATTGATTGACCTGATGCATCAACTTCATCAATAAAGAATTTGTTAGATGATTCGGTATCAAATCCGATACCGCAATTATCTACCAACTGGACTTTCTTCAAATAAACGTTCTTAGAAGAGTAGAAATATGGATAAAAACTGGGTTCAATTGGCTTCAAGTCATATGAGATTTTGACATCCTTATCTGAATCTAGATAAACATTTCTTCCATAAAATGAGTGCATCATTCCTAATGGATAAGCTCCTTCTGTTTTAACATTAACATTTATGTTTAAAATATATTTAAGATTAGTTGGATCGGCATATATAATCGTATCCGCGAAAATCAGAGGAAACTCAGTTTGTGGCCACTCTCCAACAATCGTGTAATTCCAAATACCTCCAAAATCTAGCATTGGAAGTTGGTTTACATCTGTTCCTGAGCATGAAAGAGTAATAATATCAGCATTTACATTATTCATATTGATTATCCTTTCGTGGTTCGCTCTAGCAACTATCTTTTCTTTGTTTGTCTTTGTAAATTCTAATTTATTATGTTGTAAATCAATCTTTTCAACATCTTGAGTAAGGTCGATTTTAAGAGTTTGAGCATTTGGATCAAAGATGTTTAATGTTGTTGCATCGACGTGTAAGATTTGACTCTTTGAGAAATCTAATTCTCCTGTAATTTTAGAATATCTTATATCATATTCTTGTCCAGCAAAATAAACTTTTTGATCAAATTTAATAATGGAACCTAAGCATTGTACACCAGTAATTGAACTGAGTTTTTCACTGTTAACAAATTCAACATTTGCGTTTTCAAAATCGAGACGAGATTTCAGATTATTGAAGTTATTCAAGTTTGCTTTTGCATTTCAACCCAAAAATCCTAATCCTCTAACAGATGTTTCTGTTTTTGAGTAGAGATTGAGTTTAGTCTTCTTTGGAACAGTAAAATATAATTCTGTATTATCTTTGATATCTGATGCATCGACTGTATATTCTGTGTTATCTCCGAAGTAAAGATAGACCTGATTTGTAAATGGTTTGATTGGTTTCTTCCAGTCTTCGTTGTATTCTGCTGAGTAGAACTGTGGAATAAGAGAACACCTTGTTGAGCTAACATCGCCACCGAAACAATATCTAACATAGAAAGTCAATGGTGAGCAAATATATGTAAGTGTATAAAATGTATTTTCATATTTAACATTCAAGAAAGCAACAACTTGGAAGAGAGTAAGTTCATTAAGAGAATATTTACCGAGATTCAAATTTGGAATCAATGTGATTTTGATGTTTGGTGCTGATGATTCAATGATATTGAATTTGTTCTTGTTGTCAAGATATAATTTGTCAAATAATACTTCTTTGTGTTGAGTGTCAAGATATGGATCTGTGATGAATATAATGTTTAGTTCTGTTGCTCTTGTTACTTTAAGTGGATTGATTACACCATCGATGCAAAAACATTGTAAATAGGCACCTTTAGAAAGATGAATGCCGCCAATAGATAATTTTGATTGCCCATATTGAAGATAGTTGAAAATGTTAATGTCGCAATTGATTGCTTGGATCATATCTTGTGAATATTGATTACATTGGATTTTATTGATATTCAATGCAAAATCTGAGTTGATGATGCAACTTCCGTAAAAATATAATTCATCTGCACTGGTTTTCTTTGCATTAACATTCATTTCTGAGTTATTGTACATCTTCCATGAGCCAGGAACATTGAGAAGTGGTGCTGTAATAGAAGATCCTTTGCCATAACCTTTCAATTTGTAAACTTCGAGATTATTTTGAGATTCGACTTTGCCGCCTTCATACAAGTTTATATTTAAATGAATAATGAAATCTGGTCTAAGTTGTGTGACTTTTACTTTCGAATTGATAACTGATAATGTGACTTCCGGATATTCTGTAACAAGCTTGCAGAAATCTACGTCAAATGTTGAATCTGCATGGATTTCAATCTCTGTGTCTGATGGATTGTGGTAATTTGTTGCAATGAAAGGAATGATAATTTGATTATTGTTTGGAAATGTAACAGTAGTAGTAGAATCCATCGCTTTAACATATAATTCGGCATTCGTAACTAATCGAACATTGTAAATCATCTTTGATGTTGTAAATGATTTTGATGGAGATCCTTCAACGAAAATTGTTAATTGTTTTGATGCGTAATAGCTAGAGAATGATTCTAGCAATTGAAGTGAGCACGTAAGATTTTCACATTTGATAGAGGAATCTTTTGGAAATTTAACTTCTGAAGATATTTTGGATGGATGGATTTAAGACAACAAGATAATTACTTATATTAAGTGGTGTATATCATGTTTGCACTTCCTGGCCTTGTCCCTACCTGCTGTTGAAAAGATATATTTTAAAGCAGAAAAAATAAAGCATGTGGGATAATAAACAATCATATTTGAAACACTCTTTCAGAATTGACGAATATGAAAAGGATCTAAGCAAATGATCAAAGTGAATTTTTATGACTAAAATATTAAAAGAGAAAAATTTGATAGTTTATATATATATTATATATCAAATTCAATAATATTTCCGGATATTTTGAACTTGTTGAGTCAACATTTCTATTAATAATAATTTTTGGAGTATTAAAAATTAGTTTAATGTCTCTAAATTTCCTTTTTACACTTAGAGTAAATATAATAATGATATACATGAGTTTAAATGGGTAAACTATAGCATAAATTGAGAGAGTTTTCTCTCTTGCTGAAATGATTTTAGAGTAATGTTGCTGTTAATTCAGTGGATGTTTCGAATTTGTTCTTATGTGATCTCTTGCAAATGAAAACAATCAAGATAACAACAACAATTAAAACAAGAGCACAGCATGGAATTGTGATCAATAAGATAAGTCGAAGTTTAGATGATGAAATGGATGGTGTGAAAACAATGCATTTGTCTTTAACATGTAAATTACCTGTGTCTGTTTTCAGTTTCTTAACAGAAAGACCACCACTGCAGCAGAAGATCTTCTCGGTGGTGTTCGTATATAATGTATGGCGATCGTCGTTGATAATGAATGATTTTAAGTCACATTTGCCGTTAGTGGTGAATGTAGATAAAAATTGGTTGTTAGTTGGAACATTCATAGTAACATATGAATCAACAAAGTTTGCATAGATACCGGTGATAGATGATTTGATCATTGTCATGTTTCGAACTTCAACATTGTTCAACTCAATTGATTGACCGGATGCATCGACTTCATCAATATAGAACTTGTTCGATGTGTTTGTAACATATCCAATGCCTCCTTCATCTGTCAATTGGATCTTCTTCAAATAAACATTCTTTGAAGAATAGAAAAATGGGTAGAAACCCTGCTCGATTGGCTTCAAGTCATATGAAATTGTAACATCTTTATCTGAATCAAGATAAACATTTCTTCCTGAGAACTGATATTCCAAGCAAATTGGATAGGCTCCATCTGTTTTAACATTGATATTAATAGGAGTTTCCGGATCCATTATCCTTGTCTCTCCAAAAATAAGAGGAAATTCTGTATGTGGCCATTCTCCAACAATTTTGAATTTCCAAAGGAAAGTACAATTCAACTTTGGAAGTTGAAGCTCGTCTGTTCCTGAACATGAAAAGGTCATTTCTTTAAGAAACATGCAAAATAGGTCTATCATTCTATCGTGCTTGGCTCTAATTGCGACATTTTCTTTGTTAGACATAGTAAAAACTATTTTTCCATGTTGTAAATCAATTTTTTCGACATCTTTTGAAAGGTAAATTTCAAGATTTTGAGGATTTGGATCAAATACATTTAATGATTTTGTATCAACACGCAAGCTTTGGCACTTAGAGAAATCTAAATCTCCTGTTATTTTGGTATTTTGGAAAGCATAAGTTTCTCCGGAAAATGAAACTTTTTGATCAAAAGAAACTTTAGAACTTATACCTTTGAAAATATTAATTTTATTGAGATTTTGACTGTTCTTAAACTCAACAATAGCTCCTTGTATTCCAATTTGGTCAATCAGGTTATTAAAGTTGTTCAAATCCACTTTTGCATTTCCACCATAGAAAATTAATGCTATTATTGATGTTTCTGATGATGCCATGATGTTTAAATTGACTTGAACAGGAGCAACAATAACTAATGCTGTTTGAGCTTTAATTCCTGATGCATCAATCGTATATTCTTTGTTTTCTCCGAAATAAAGATTGATTTGATTTGCATATGGTTTGACTTGTTTCTTCCAGTCTTCATTGTATTCAGAAGAGTAGAAGCGTGGAATAAGAGAACATTTTGTTGAATTAATGTCTCCTCCGAAACAATATTTCATACGATACATTAATGGTGTATCTGTTAAAGTAAGAGTATATAATGAACCATCGTGATCAAGTTTGAAAGCATATTGAGTAGTAAAGAAAGCAATTTCTTTCTCCGAGAATTCATCGAAACCAATATTTGGAATCATATTAATCTTGATGTCTGATGATGATTCAATGATATTAAATTTGTTCTTGTTATCTAGATATAATTGGTCAAACAAGGCTTCTTTTTGAGCTGAATCTGTATCTTTATCTGAACAAAAAACGACGTTTAATTCTTTTGCATTTGTTACTTTAAGTGGATTGATTTCACCATTGATGCAAACACATTGTAAAAATGCATCTTTTAATAATTGAATTCCACCAATACTTAATTTGGATGGACCGTATGAAAGAAACTTTGTAATGATGATATCTGAATTAATTGTTTGAGTTGTGTCTTTGTCATTCTCATAACAATTAACTTTGTTGATATTCAATGCGAAATCTGAATTAATAATGCAGTTGTCTTTCAATGTGATTTCATCAATATTGTTTTCTTTTGCATTCATGTTGATTTCTGAGTTGTTGTACATCTTCATTGTGTCTGTTACTTTAAGTTGTTGTGATGTTGTGATTGATGTTCCTTTGCCATCGATTTTCAGTTTGTAAATATCGAGATCATTATGAGATTCAACTTTGCCGCCTTCACATAAGTCAATGTTTAATCGTGAAATGAAATCTTTTCGATTTTGTGTGACGATGACTTTTGAATTGAAAACTGTTAATTTGACTTCTGGAATTTCGGAGACCATGTTGCAGAAGTCAACGTAATATGTTGAATCTGCATGGATTTCGATCTCTGTTTCTGATGGATGATGGTAATAATTTGCAATGAAAGGAACGACGATTTGGTTCTTGTTTGGAAATGTAACTGTAGTAGCATAATCCATTGTTTTAACATCTAACTTGGCATTTGTGATTAATTTAACATTATAAATCGTCTTTGATGTTGTGAATGAATTTGATGGAGAACCTTCAACTAAAATTGTTAATTGTTTAGATGCATCGTAGCTATAAAATGTTTCTAGTAATTGAAGTGAGCACGTAAGACTTTCACATTTGATAGAGGAATCTTTTGGAAATTTAACTTCTGAAATTTGGTCGATTTCAAGTGTTTTGAATGTATATGACTGGCTACCTTCGAATGTAGCCTTGATGTGAACAAGATTTAATTTGAATGGACGAGTGTTTTTGAACTTTATTGAGTTTGTAACTTGGTTTGACTGAAATGTGAACGATGTTGGAGTGGGTGCAATCGAAAAGTCGAATATGATGTCTTCTGATGGAGATGGAATGATTGTGATTGAAAATGATGAATCTTCTGTTTGTTTTTCTGAAACTTTTTCAACTAAACTTTGATATGAATCGAAATATTCAGATGAAGAAGGACACTGATGTTAACTATCTACAACTAAATTCCCATTGGTTTTATATCTTGATGTTCCTATTAATAGACTTAAATATTTCCAATATCTAATTTGATTTCATAAAAGACTCGATTATACAATAGCTGATATTATGAATTTCATTAATGATAAATTACTATATTGTCTTGAATCTTCTAATTTTGCTGAGATTTGAAAACGTTTTTGATATGTTATTATGAATTCGAAAAAAACGCATTATGCTAGATGAAATTGATATTTAAAATTACTTTGAAAATGGTTTATTGGGTATTTGATGAATGATTGCATCGTTTTATTTTGAAATGATGATAAATTTTTAATAGCAACTGATCATACTAACCCTCTCACTTAATAAGTATTGTAACCATATGATATTAAGCATGAGCACCCCTAAGGAAACATCGAATTTATGTAATTAAGAGTTTAAGAATCTTAACCCCTATGTTCAAAGTACCTCTTTCTTATATGGATGTCTATCGGGTATGATAATAAGATGTCTTGTGTTCTCCACAGCTTAATATATGAAATAGAGGAAGTCAAACTGAGAGAGAAAAGGGAAGTTAAAAATTTTGACCCTTCAGAATTTTTTTTAGATGTGAAAAACAAGTGTTGATTTCTATTTTAGTCTCAAATTACTATCATAAACAAAGACGTAAGAAAAAGGTGTACTTGAGTAATTCATTATGATTATGTTTTTAGTACTTCTTTACAAAGATATTGACGAAAATTGTTATTCAAGTGACGGGAAAATCCTTACAAAAGTTAATGATACATCTCCAGACCTCAGAATATCATCCGCATGTGAAATCATTCAAAGTCAATGCTTTTATTATCTCAAAACTTTATCTTCCTTTTCATTTGAAGAAAATCCTAACTTAACAACAATTGGAATTTATAGCTTTATTGGATGTACAAATCTAACAATCATAAATTTATTTTCATGCAACAATCTCACAAAAATATCTGCTTATGCATTTCTCAACTGCAATAATGTCAATCAGATACTTTTACCAAAAGGACTCATAGAAATAGGAAGTTTTGTATTTCAATATAATTATCAAGTGATCAGTATTATCATACCAGCATCTGTTAAAGAAATAGACATTTATGCATTTTCTGACTGTTCTAAACTACAAAATGTTACTTTCGAAGATGGGTCAGATTTAACTTCATTAGAAAATGGTGTATTTGCTAATACTGCAATTACTTCCTTTCAAATTCCAGAAAAAGTTTCTTATGTCAATGGAGAAGCATTTTCAGATGGAAAATTAATAAATTTTACAGTTCATCCTAATAATAACTACTTAACAGTTAAAGATTATGTTATTTATTCGAAAAATGGAAGTATTTTATTTTTTATTTGTAACAAAACAGGATACAAAATTCCAAATTCAGTCACAACTATTGGAGAGAAATGCTTTTTTAGATCATCTATCAAAACAATTATAATTCCAGCGAATGTGAAAAGAATTGAAAATGATGCTTTCTATGGTTGTAATAGTTTGATAAATGTTACTTTTTTAGGTCCAATAGATTACTTTGGCGGTCAGGTATTTGATTATTGTAGAAATCTTGAATTAATTATATTCCCTAATTCAACAATGACTGTTAGCAGATCTGATTTTGTTACAAATAATCTGCCAAAAGTCAATTTGTCATTCACTTGCAAAACTCTATTTTATTCTTCTTCAATTTACAGAAATACAAATGTTTCAATTTCATATCTGAATGAACCAAATCTTATTATTACACCAGATTGTTTGATTATGAATTCTGATCAAACCATAATTTATGAATATTGGGGATACAACTCTGATAGTATTGATATTCCTAAATCTGTTACAAAAATCAACGAAAAAGCATTTGAAAATTCTACAGTTAAGAATTTTAATTTCCCAGAAGATACTCAAATCACTTATATAGGAAAAGATGCATTTAGAAATTGTTCAGATCTGAGATCATTTAATTATTCATTTCCTAAATTACAAGCATTAGGAATGTCATCATTTAAAGATTGCATTAATTTAGAATCTTTTACATTTTCATCACCAAATTTGACTGTTATGAGTAATGCATTTGAGAATTGCAGATATTTAAAGAAAGTTAGTAATATTAGAAATATTCCTGATAATTGTTTTTGTGGATGTACTAAATTAGTAGAAGTTACAATTCGAGAAGGATCAGAATCCATTGGATATAAATCATTTGAGAATTGTTCTTCATTATTATGTATTAAAATTCCACAATCTTTTAAAATTATTTCCAAATATTCATTTCTTTATTGTAAGAAACTAAAATCAATTATATTCAGTGAAACAAATTCACTTGATAGTTTTTCAATTAATTCTATTTCAGAATGCGAATCTCTTGCAAATATCAGTAATTTTTCATCATATAAATACAAATGTATTGATAATACTTTATACTACAAAAACAATACTAAATGGGAACTTATTTTTCATTTGAGTTCCTCAAAAGACAAAGAACTCAACATTAGCTGCGATGTTATCTGTAGTTATTCATTCAATTCTAGCAACAACATTGAGAAAATCAATATTACATCAGACAGTGTTTCTGTTATTGAAAAACATTCATTCAACAACTGCTTAAATCTCAAATACATCAATTTCCCACTTTCAGTTTCAGATGTTGAGATTGATGCATTCCATGAGTGCAAATCCATTCGATGTCCTCTTATTATTGAGAACACATCCACAGATTATCTTCAAATGATTGTTTCTTCCGGAATTCCACGAAGACTTATGATTTCATGTCATATTGCACATGTTTCGAATAATCTTTTAAATCATAAATATTTACGTTATCCTTTTACACATCTTTTCTGGAAGCATCTTACTAAATAAAACTATTTTTATTATAATAAAATGAACAACATCTTATTCATCTAGAGATACAATTTTTAACATATCGTTAAAATTCGAAATTACATTTAAAATTATGAAATCTGAAATGTGTATAGAGAGACTTAGGTTTTTGATGCATTCAACCCTGGCCCAAACCTTCTGAGAGTGAATATTCAAAAAATTAACCAGATGTTAATTTTCCACAATATTTTTTCCATTGATTAAATTCAAATCAAACAAAAGAATTGTGGAAAAGTTTAAATCTATAATTTATGAGGTATAATAGATGACAATCCTAGAGAAATGGAGCATCGGGTTAAAAATATGAAATTTGTAATGTAAATCATAAGAATTAATAAATATTTACTAAATATAAAATACAATAGAAATGTTATTTTTAATTTGATATCTTCTTCAGAACAGTTGAAGCCATTTGTTCAAAGCTAAAATCATCATCGCTATCATTTCCTGTAACTAGCTTGAATAACTTAACCATTTCTTCATTTGCCAGTGATTTCTCGTAATTTAATCGTTCGAAATCAGAATAAGCTTGTTTAATATGCTCTGTAGGTTCCTGGATCTCTTCTGTTATCAAAGATTTAGATTTTGTCTCTGTTTTCGCGTGTTGATTTGCAAGAGACAAAAAGTTTTGGGAAATCTTTTTCGTTTCTTGTATCAATTTCTTGATTTCTGATGTAAGAACTGGTTTCTTATCACCAGAAACTTTCTTTAGTTCTGAATTTTTGTCTTCAAGTTGCTGATTTAAGCTTTCAATAGTTGGAATTTCCTTCTTTGAGTTAATCTCGTTCATTCTGGACTGGAGGTTATCGAAATCATTCTTTAGACTCTTCAACCATGATATAGAATCTTCTGTATCGGCTTTTTGTGAAAGAACTTTTTTGATTTTCTTTTTCATCTTGTCGTTATCTTCTGTTATCTGAGATGCGATGCTCACGCATTGGCTGCCGATCAAAACACTCTGATTGTAAGCAGAAATTTGGCTTTCGAAGTCATCTTTTTCTGAAATTTCGTAACTTTGTTCTAATGACTGTCTTAACTCTGAGAATGCCTTCTTCTCTTGCTTGATACTTGAACTAAGTTCTTTGTTTCTGTCTAAAAGCCTGCCATTCACAATTTTGATATCAACATTGTCATTTGTAGTGAAATTCTCGTTGATTGGCTTAACTGATTCAAATTCTTTTGTTGCATTCTCGATTTTGATCTTGATAGATCTGATTTCGCCATTGAAATATGAATTCATCATTCCATCACCGTATTTCTTACGATTTTCTATCTCGTTTTCAAGTTGGCTCAGTTTAAGTTCCAATTCTTCGATCTTTGATGAGTTTGCTGCAATTGAAGGATTAGATAAATACTTCTTTTTTTGTTCTTTCAGTTTTCGCTTCAAATCTGATCGTTCGGAGTCAATTTCTTCGTTTGTTTGGCGGAGACTTTCTTCGTATTGTTCAACCAAGTTGTTGTATTTATCGATTTCTTGTTGAAGTTTGTCATTTTCGTTTTCAAGGGTGTGTATCTTTGCTTGTAAGCTTTCGTAGTCTTCTGATGAGCTTTCTTCTTGGTTTAATGATGGATCGATGGAAAGACGACGTTCAACGACGTTGTTTTCCTTAGTTTCGAAATTATTTGACTCATCTTGAGTGTATTCAACGAGGAATTCTTGTGTTTCTTGTAATAGTGGAAGAATGAACTCTTTGAATTTGAATATATCACGTAGTTTCTGTGATAAAACGATCGAAATTCCGATTTTTGACTTAAATTCTGATGTTGGTGAGCGAGGTTTAATTGTATTCAAATCATCAACAAATTGCTGTAAGAATGATGATGAGAAATCTTTAACGTTCTCAGATGCTTTGATCATATCCTGAATATCTTTAGAAATCTCGCGAATCATTCGTTTAAGTTGTGGTGATGATGATTGTACTTGCTTTTTAGCATTTTGCAATGAGTCAATGCTGCTTTCAAGTTCATTACGAATCTGTTTACTTTGTGATTTAACAGTACTGTTACTGAAGTAGTTGTAGATAGAGGATTCGAATTTATCCCATGTATCCCAGAATTCATCGAGATCTCTTTGGTTCTTGAATCCCGAAATTAATCGTGTTTTGATGTCATGAATGTGTTTATTGAACTCGGATAATGTGCTGCTAGGTATGAATGCAGTTGACATTTTCCGTTTCAATTTATCAATAGCATTTACTGATTTATCTTGATTTCCGGAAAGTTTTTCTTTGATTATTGGAGAATTATTGATATCAGATTTCCTATGAAATTGTCTCGGACTAGAAACACTCTTCGGTAAAGATCCTAAGCTCTTCCTTCCTCTCATTTATCTCAATTTATATTTTGTCAAAAAAAATTGTTTACACTGCGAAGTAATAGAATTGATAAAATCTTGATGTTTGGAATGTATACATTATTCAACCGGAAACTCGGATTTTGTAAACTCGAGTGATACAAAATATGCCACTTTTGTATTTACAAAATATTACCTTGTAAAGTTTGAAAATTGAATAGTGGTGTCAAAAATTTCAAATAACCTTGATAATCTAAATGTATATATAAAACCTTGTTATACATATCCATTTTAAGAAGTTTTGGCATAATTTTTGAAATGGAGAGCTTATATAAAGATTGTGATTTGATTTTTAATAATGATAGAGCTTATTTTCACCTACCAACAGCAAAAGATAATAATTTCACGCAAACGCTTATCAACAAAAACGCAATAGAAATAACTATTCTTCCGAAATTATTTGGAACTCGCGAAATTGATGAAGATTATGAAGAATGTCTTGAAAGATTACGTAGAATATCACAAACTGATGTTTATAGTTTAGAAAGATTTTGTATGATGCCTGAATTTGTCGATCTTCTTACATGGCTAATTAGTCTCAATGGAACTGAGCACACAAATTTGTCTGTTGATGCAACTATAGTAATGACTAATGCACTTTTCATCATCAGTGACTCTAAAATATTCAAATCTGATACACTATTTGAACATATTTTCTATGTCTTGCAAAATGATTATCATGATTATAAGGAATATGTTACAAATCTTGTTCTTAATTATCTTTCACCTGAAACATACCAAGATTTAATTAATAATAATATTATTAATATTTTATTACAGTTTTTCAATACTCCGGCAAATACTCCTTCAAATCAACGTTGTTGTTCACTTAGTTTTCTTGTATTTTGTTCTTTATTTCATCTGATGAACGAAGATCAGTATCAATTATTATTACCAACCTTTGAATTTGCTATTCATTATTTCCTTGACAAACATTTTCCTGCTAGATTAAATGCAGCAAGATATTTGAGTGAAATCTTTCGAAATGATAATTTATTTGACACTATAGTTCAAGGATCAAACTTTTATGATGATATAGCATATGCTGGTTATGGATTTCCTATTTTGAGTGAACAAATAGTTAATGCTACATGCGATATTTTTATTACCTTCATCAAAAAAGGATATACAGATTTTACTGGAATTTTTAGGTCTTTCTTTGAATGCCAATTTAACTCTCTTATGAAGAATTTTGATAAATTTCTTGAATTCTTGTATTACGCTATTCCCTACAATTTACAAGATTTTGAAGAGTCTAAGCTATATAATTTTGTTGTTAGGAAGTTTAATAATGGTACTGTAACAGAGAAACAGGCTGCCTCAAAGGTTTTGATCCAATATATGTGTCTCCACAGTCAAGAAATTGATTTGCAAATTGGAGAATTTGTTATGCCCGATTTAGCAGATATGTTAGAAGATTTTTATCCAGAAGCTTTACTTGATATACTGAAATTGTTTGTTACAATATTCCAAAGAGGAGAAAAATTTATTCAACTTGGAATTAATTCAAACATTCCAGAAATAGTTCTGGAATTATCTAAGGACGCAGAAAATGATGATAAAATAATTGACATTTGTAATCAGATTTTAAGAATTTTCAATATCGATCCTGATGACACTTTTTAAGTTTCAATGGATCCAGAGCTTTATCAAACCTGGAGTAATTATGAGACTAATTGGGAAGATAGATCAAATTGTTGTTGTAATGTCGCTTATTTCCCAGATGGTGACTTTACAATTGTTCAACATTTCATTAAAAATATAACAAAGCCGATTTTAGTGACTTTAGTGTCTATATTAACATTTATTAACTTAGCCTATGATATTTACTTCTCCACTAAATCATTAAAGCAACTTATTATATTAGAAATCGTTTCATTAATCATTTATCTCTGTTTCTTCTTTTCATATTGGATCTTAATAGTTCGTGGCCCAGGATATATTCCGTACAATTGGAGCGTTCGCAAATTAAAGTCTTATCCATGGAGATTGATGATGAATTCGATTGCTATTTACAGCCAGCAAGAACATTTCGCGAGAATGAGTGATAGACCTTACAGAGCATCGTTTTCAGTGACAGCTCGCAGATTTGTACTTCGCGCTGACCACATTTGTTTATGGACTAACTCATGGGTTGGTTTAAACAATCAGCGCTACTTTATTTTACTTACATTTTGGGTAGTTATATACGGACTTTGCTGGTTCTTGCTCAGATGGAACTGGTATTTCGTAATTTTCAGACCATTTAAATTCCATCAAGTATTTGCACTAGTCATTGCTCCGTTCTTCCTCTACATGATGGGTTTTGCTCTCCATCACTTCCGACATGCATTTATTAATGCTATTCACAACAAAACAATTATAGAAAAACATAACAAGAGAAATACAGATGATTTCAACCGTGGATGCCTCAATAACTTTGAGGAAATATGCGGTTCGAAATATCTAATGTTCCTTTGGCCAATTCCTTGTGTATGTTTGCAACCAAAAGGTGATGGTCTTTACCAACAAACTATTTAATTTGTATGTAAATATTATTTGTATGTTTTTATTTAATTTATCCCTAACATCTTCTTATTTTTCTTGAAATCAAATTTGATTCTGAATTTTAGAACTCGATCATTAGGTTTCCTTATTAATGCAGTCATTAAATTGGTAAATAGACACCTAATGAATAGGTTTCCAAACGGAAACTCAGAATTTATGTGCAAATATCATAAAACTATTGTGTATCAATCAAAATGGAAGTAAACCCTAACGCTCCAATAAGAATTTTGATATATCATAAGTTTGAATAGGAAAATACTTCATTATAATTATTATATTTGACGAATGATAAAAGAATATCGATTAATCAGCATCATATGTGCCAGTATCTAAATGAAGGTGGATACTTTAGGGTATATGTTCCAATCGCAATCTGAGGAACTACATTAGCTGAACAAACTCATTTAATATGAATGTATATATTAGGAACTGAGTTAATAGCTAATAAAGTAGTATTATTTACAAAATTCATGGTTAATATACAAGTGAAATGAAAAAGAAAAAGATCTTAGACATCAGTTTTTCCTATTATCAATTTAACGCATTCAGGATGACCAGAAGATATTGCCCTTTGAATTGGTGTCCTTCTTTTAATATCTAATGCATTAACATTAATATTCCTTCCAAAGTTCAATATCAAGTTAATCATATTCGAGTTTCCTTGTGAAGCTGCAATATGCAAGATAGTTTCTTTATTATCATTAGTAGCATTTCCAGGTATTCCGTTTTGTAGCAAGATTTTGGTAATATTTAATAAATTATTTTGAACTGCGATAAACAAGAAATGAACTAATTGAGGAGTAGACAACCGTTTTGAGTACATTAATAAAAGTGCAGTCGATTGTTCCATCTTATTAGTGATGGCAAATTCAACATGTGATTTTGGGTCAAACTCGGGACTCTTCAAAAATTGACCTAAAACATTAATATTATTAGTCATTATAGCTTTTTCTATTATATTATTTTCTGTCTTTAGGGAAGCCCCTTTTCGAATAAGATAATCAACGATATCAGGCCGATTCTTGTCAATAGCCACTGAAAGAGCAGAATCTCCATCATGATTGACATAATTTATATCATATAATTTTTCTTGATCATTAATCATTTCAATCAAGAACTTCACGCAATCAAGATTTCCACCTTTCACGGAATGAATCAAATTTTCTTTATTGCTCAGATTTGAAGCAATATCATCGTAAACAGAATTGTACAAATAAATCAATACATCATATTTCCCTGAAATAATAGAAGCATCGAAAGCAGAATTAAGATTAACATTTAAATTATGAAGCATTTCAAGGATTTCAACCGATCCGTAGGTAGATGCTGCAATAACTAGTGCATCTTGATCAACATCTTGGAAGGAATGCTGCATATATAATGCATTAAAACATCGACATGCAGAATATTGGCAGCATAGGATAAAAATTTGTTGTTTGTCAAACTTTTCGCCATTTGAATCTATGATTATATCATTTGATGCTAAAGAAATAAGTGCGTCGTCGTTATCATTGGCAATTATTGATTTCATTTAATTTTTAAGGGTGCACCCGTATGTACGTTTATTTGAGAGGAGGAGGATTACCCTCTCAATTTTGAGGGATTCGTTAGTTTATTTTCTCGATGAATATGCAATAAAATTTGATTTTTACCTTATCAATATACTTCATATAATATACACATGTTCATGTAAAAACTTTTTTCCAAAATCCTCAGGAATTAAGGGATTTTTGAATTTTAAGAATTTTTTTCGAATTTTTTCGAAAAAAAATATTTTCAGAACACCCTTAACGGCTAAGATTTAGGAACAATGTTAAGTATCAAAAAGAAAGGAGGTCTGATATAGACAACATATATCGTTGAAGGTTGAAAAAATCTCTAATATTTGAGCCCAAAATTTCAAATTTTAATTTTTTGAAAAAAGAGGCCACCCGTATGTACGTTTATTTGAGAGGAGGAGGATTATATTTTTGAAAGGGTGAAACATTATGAATATGTTAATTATATAATAATATGTATTATTATAAAAAGAAAAAATAAAGCACGTTAAAATTTTTCTTTCTTGATTTTTTACAAAATCTACTTAGAATTATGCAAAATATGACTAAATAATTATAAATTTCAAGTTAAATTTTAATTTTGATAAATAATTTAAATTTCAAAATATCAAGTTCAGTTCGACTATGTATGTAGTAATTCCTCAATAAAGTGCCAAAACCCTATTAAAATATATGAACATTTTCAACATTTTAATGTTTTTATTTAAAAATTTGTTGGAATATGAGCTTCAAACAATTATTATGTAAATAAAAATAATTAAATATATGTATTTATTCGTATTACAACCGTAGTAAGTCGATTCTTCCTTTCTTCTACTGAGTTTTGAATTTGATTTCAAATTGTAAAGAGATTCAAAGGGAAAATACTAGCGGATAAAAACTACCTCCATGAAAGGGTCATAATGGAGTCAAGTTGTATTTTTTGATATTTTTTGCTTTTCGAGCCTAAATAGGTAGCCAAGATAATGCCTAAAAATAAGGTTCTAAATTCTGAAGTTTACATGATCCTCTCGTGTGCACCCTTAATATTCTCCTTATATGAATTAAAATTTTTATAATTTTATTTTCTTTCATTTTCAAACTTATTTTTATTAAATTTGTTGTTAAGTTTGACCGAGGAAATGTTTAATCTTTTAATGTTAATTCTAATTTTGTCTTATTACATTTAAAATGTAAAGAAGTTCAAAAGATTATAATAAAAATATCCAAGATATAGAATTAATGATGTAAATATGTTCCAAATGTACATTATATTAATAATTTTATTTCCAAAATAAGTATATGCATATGAAAATGTTCAGCCGAACAACTATATAGAACTTAATCTGATGTATCGTATTGATTACTAAATCATAAAATAAACTATTTGTATCATGTTCTCATCCAATTAACATCAATTTCAAGAAGCAATAATCAAATTACCCATAATAAGTGAATGGTTGGGTATATATGTGTGTGCTTTGTTTATATATGATAGAAAACAATAAAGAGAAAAAGATATAATAAGATTTTGATTCTGGGTGATGTTTGAATACCCCATTCAATTTGTGAATTTTGAAACACGTGATCGGGAGATTGTTTCGTTAATATGTATATTAAGGAATGTATTAAATTATCTAAAAATTAACCCCGATATGATCTTATAGAACGAATATTTTCTGGCAAGTTTGATCGTCTTTTGCATTAGATGCAATTAAATATATTTTATGTGTATGATAAAACTATGATAAATTTTTGATGACGATCATCTGGCCGAATGAGCAATCAAAAAAACTTTTCATTGTATGAGTGCTCACAAAAAAATTAGATATCTTTCAATTTTTGAGAGGATAATTCAAATGACCAGGTCTAAACCCGCAAAGAAAATTGACTGAGAAAGTTATCACTTCATTTTTATTTGATGTCTGTCAAGAAAGACTACGCATCTCTCTCAGTCGCTGCCCACAAGGAATGGCGTGGCAAGATCGAAACAGTTGCTCGCTGCAAGGTTGAGGATAAGGATGATCTCTCCATCGCTTACTCCCCAGGTGTTGCTCAGCCATGCCTTGAAATCCAGAAGAACCCAGCTCTCTCCTACGAACTTACACGCCGCTGGAACACAGTCGCTGTCATTACAGATGGTACAGCCGTTCTTGGCTTAGGCGATATCGGACCAGAAGCCGGTATGCCAGTTATGGAAGGCAAGGCTTTGCTCTTCAAGCGCTTCGGTGATGTCGATGCTATCCCACTTTGCGTTCGCTCCAAGAATGTTGATGATATCGTCAAGGTTGTTTCCCTCATCGCTGGTTCCTTCGGTGGTGTCAACCTCGAAGATATCTCTGCTCCACGTTGCTTCGAAATCGAGAAGAAGTGCCAGGAAATCTGCGATATCCCAATCTTCCACGATGATCAGCACGGCACAGCTATCGTTACACTCGCTGCTCTTCTCAACGCTCTCAAGCTCGTCGGCAAGAAGATCGAAGATGTCAAGATTGTCACATCTGGCGCTGGTGCTGCTGGTATTGCTATCATCAAGCTTCTCGTTGCTGTTGGTGTCAATCCAAAGAACGTTATCCTTACAGATCGCCAGGGTGCTATCTACAAAGGCCGTTCTGGCTTGAACGACATCAAGGTCGAGATGGCTGAGATCACAAACTCCGAGCTCAAGCAAGGCACACTCGGTGATGTCATCAAGGGCGTTGATGTCTTCATCGGCGTTTCCGCTCCAAAGACACTTACACAGGAGATGGTCAAGTCCATGGCCGAAAAGCCAATCGTTTTCGCTATGGCTAACCCAATCCCAGAAATCATGCCAGAGGAAGCTAAGGAAGCTGGCGCCATCGTTGTTGGCACAGGCCGTTCTGATTATCCAAACCAGATCAACAACGTTCTTGCCTTCCCAGCTCTCTTCCGTGGTGCTCTCGATGTCCGCTCTTCCCGCATCACAAACGAGATGAACATCGCCGCTGCCCGCGCTATCGCTTCCCTCGTTTCCGATGCTGAACTTACACCAGAATATATCCTTCCAAAGCCATTCGACCCACGTATCAAGGAGACAGTTTCAAAGGCTGTTGCTGCCGCCGCTATCAAGTCTGGTGTTGCTCGCATCCAGCAATAAATTACCTAATAAAGCATTTCTATCATACGAGATCTATATGCAAATTAACACAAATCTTTCTTTTTTCAAATAATAAAAATTCTAAATTCAAAATTAATCTTCAAAAATTTATTATTATTTCAGCAAAAGGTATCCAAATGTAGTATTACATTGCCATTTATTGTTAACTCAATAGTATCATTTTAGTATAAAATGTTGGAATTCAAAGAATCTGATTCTTTGAGTGATATTAACTATAATATTTTTTCAAAAAACATGGGATTTGACTCAGAATTCACTGATGAAATACAGATCAGTGAAGAAAAAGCCATGGAAATCAATAATTACATGAATGAATTAAATATGGGGTATCAAGAGTCAAATCTTGATATTTCAAGAGAAGCATCTAAAGGTCTTGTCAATATTTTCAAAGAAATACACGGTCAAATTTCGCATAACTATTTCGAATTTTCAGAAGATTTTATTATTTTATTAGGAGATTATATCTACCGAGAAAGTGATCCAACCATTACTTATAATTGTGCTCAGATTGTTTCTTTTATCTCAGCTCAATCATTTAATGATTCTGACAAGTTAAAACTCATCATTCCTAAATTATCGAGAAAATTACGTAAAAACACATATTCATTTGAGAAATATATAGTTTCAGCAATGACAAATGTTATGAATCTCGAACCATTTCATAAATTTTTCGATCAATACAACATGGATGAATTTAACTTCTATGTTGACTCAATCAATAGCAATGATGAAGCGTTATATTCAGCAAAATTCTACAATTCGTATGTATTAAGTTTTGTTCCTCAAGAATTATTGAAAAATATTTTATATCGACTTCCAAAACTCATGAATCTTCTTGAAGATAGCCAATCAGAGTACATAATTACTATATTAATACATATAATCCAACAAGATGGTTTAGATTTAGATTTCTTCTTTCAAAATAATTTTATTTCTTATATTGAAGAATTTCGACATCTAAATCTATCTCGAACTCTTTTCTTTTACTCATTATGCATTAGTAGGTATCCAGAATCCCGTGAACACCTTAATTTAGATAAAAATGAATTATTTCAACTTCTAAATGAAGATACAGAGCAAACAGAAGATCGAATATACTTAGTTATATCAATATTATCTGTTTTTACATCAGATTTTACACTTTGTACAAAAGATTTTTTGGATATTTTTAATTGGATCGACAAAAATCAAGAAACAATGGCAGTTATCGTCAAACAAGAGTGTGTAATCTTAATAATGAGTATTCTTTCTCGATGTCAAAGAGATTTTATTGAGAATATCAAAATCGACTTAATTTTTGACATTTTAGCTAATTTTGTTGAGTCAATAGGAAGTTTGGATATATTTGAATATATATGTCGTTGTTATTTCACTTTTGCTGATTTTATTTCAACTAATTTCAACGAATTAACTGAAACTGTGAATAGCAATGAATTTGTAGAGAATTTTGCCGAAATATTAGATGAGAATGATTATGATGTTGGTAACCCTGTAACTGAAGAGTTTTTCCACAGGTTTTTCGATGAAAAACAGTGAAATAAAAAAATGAGGAATAAAATCTCCAGATTTAGTTGTTACCTATGAAAAATAATCAGTTGTATCTAATATAAGGGTATGATATACATGTTTTTTAATGTGTATACGAAAAAATAGAATTATAATTAATTTCTCCAAATAAACATAAAGTAGTTTTGTTAAATATTTGATTTTTGAGATGTATATTGATATGATCTGAATTGCTTTAAGGAAAGTATGGTTTTAATAGCAAAAACATGAAATCTCTGCATTACAATCTATCTCTATACTTTATGAACTGTGACAATGAACTAAAGTTAATGTAGAGAATTATAATTAATAGAAGTTGAGTTAAAAGACTCGAAATGTAATGAATTCTAAATATTTTTCATAGATAAACAGTAGAATTAACCAAAGACAACTTAAGTTACTATGACAAGAGCTCGAGATAGTCCAAATTGAGTCTAGTTCAAACTATTTAAAGAAATTTATGTAAAAATTTCCACTAATATAAAAAAATTAAGTAAATTGTTCATTAAACAAGAAATTTAGATGTCTTAATAAGGTAAATAAGTTAAATTGGTGGAAATGCTTGAATAGAAATCCAATAGTTGAGAGATTCAAGCAAGAGATCTTTTGTAAGTTCTGGAACATCGTAATTAAATCCAGTTGTTGTAACTTTTGTGCCATCAATGCAGTATTCGTTGTGATAAAGTAATTCTGGTTCAAGATAAGGAGAAAGAGGTGTTTTTGTAATTTGATTTTCTTCTGTAATCTTTCCCCATGGCTGCATGTGTTCGTCGTTTGAGTCTTGTACGGCTGATTTGAAATTAATGCGAGCAAGGTTTGAAAGGAAGCTTCCGTAAAATCCTGTCTTGATGCCGAAGATTTCTGAGATGCATTTGTTGACTTTGATCTGATTTGTCTTACCGGAGTCGCATAAGTTGTAAATTTCGCCTAAAGTTCCATTTGTAAGGAAGTAATGGCAAGCTTTGGCAACATCTGTAACGTGGACGGTGTTAATATTGAGATCTTCGTTCCAGAGGAATTTCATTTCCTTATTCGTGTACTGGTAGACTTTGCCGCAAACGAGACGAGGCATAATGCCGTGGATGTCTCCTGGGCCGTAAATGATAGCTGGACGAAGAATGATCATTGGTATTTCGAGTTTTTTAAGGATGTTTTCTGCTTCGAGCTTTGCAGCGGCAAGGAGTGTCCATGGCTTCAATGCTGCTGTTTCTGTAGCTGGTTTAGTTGAACTCTTATAAACCTGAGCTGTTGAAACTTCAATCCACCTTTTGACGCCACGCTTCTTTGCTTCTGCGCCGCAAACACTCACAATCTTAAGTACTCTGTCATCGTAAAATTCTTTCTCCTTTCCGTAGTCTGTTGTTGAAGCCAAGTCGACAACATAATCGAATTGTTTTCCTTCGCCGATTTCAAATGTTTTTTCGACGGATTGCTCGTTAGCAAGGTTTGCCATCTTAAATTCTACTGGAGGAGTCTTGAAAAGTGTTGTATATGCTTCATCAAACCATGCCATTGTTGGTAAATTCTTATCTGCTGCACGAATCAAGCTGAACTGCTCTGTAGAAGCAAGAAGCTTAACGAGATGGCGACCAACAAAACCTGTACCGCCGAGAATAAGAATTGCAGGCTTTTCTGACATTGAAGTGACAAATTTATTCACAGAATAATATAATTGAAATCACGACTTGATAAACTGACCTTTGCTACTAATGTGATTAGATTTTAAAAATATGAATCATCAAAATTATTAGATATTAGAAATTACCTCAAAATAAAGTGTATTACATAATTATTATATGTAAAATTAAAAAATATCTTAAATTAATATCCATTTACGTATTTATTTTTCTAAATAATGCTTATTGAATGAGAAAAATGATTTTATTTTTCGATCTTTGAAAATTTTTCCAAAAATATTTTGAAAATTAAATTCTCATTTCAAAAATTGACGAAATTCTCATCATATTTTCAAAATCAAAAAAATTTTGGAAAATCGTAAGACGAGGTTCATAATTCCTATGATGAGAGTAATGCAAACTTCAACGGAATTTGTTCAAATGCAAATATCAAAATTATTATTGCCAAATTCTTAACAATAATAACGATTTAATAAGGTACATTAACAATCCGTTACTTATATGATTCTATCCTTACTTCAAATTTCTCTGTTACCTATCTCATTCTCATTATTCTGATTCAATTTCGATATATTTTGCATTTCACGGAGATATAACAGCAGATACTTTGATGTGTATATGATGTATTATTTAAATCTGATTAGTTTGTCCTCTACTCTTTCTTATATTAGTGAATATTTTTTTTGATTTACTAAAAAATTCAAAAAAAAGTTATAAATAAGATATGAGTTTTATAAGATTACACATATTCTGTTTATTAGGAATGAAAAAAATAATATTTAATGGTAATGTCTTCTTGAGAAGAATTTAGCAATAGCTGCTGGCAATTCAACACCAAAGTTTGTTGTGTACTTCAAAATATAAACAAGGAGCATGATCATTAGTATTAAAACGACTAAAAATACTACTAATAAAATTCTACAGCATTTATTGTTCATTGGATTGGGCTGTTCCGTAGAATATGGTGCTGCAATTGATTTGCCTCTGAACTTTAAGAGATCTCCTGCTCCTTTGATGATTTCCATTTTCTTTTCTTTCAAAATATCGAGAATGTCGCTATCTGCGTATACTCCACGTATTACGAACAGTTCACAGAAAGCATGGTACCTGGAGGAAGCTGCAATTTCAAAACATGTTTTTGAAATTTCATTTTTAGTTGCAAGTTTTTGTAGGAAAACAACGTAGTTCTGGGCACAAACACATTGCTCAAGAGTAACATTTTGCGTTACCAAATCGTGGTCTTGATGATAATCTAACGCTGCTTGAGCAAATTTCGTAATTTCGGATTCTTTGATGAGTTCGAACCTTCCAGAGCGAATAAGATATTCAGTTGTAGTTTCATCTGGTGTAAGACCTTTTGATATAAGGTAATCGTAGCATTTGGTCGCATTATAAAACTTTGCAAAAGCTAAAAGAGGGATTTTCATATCATCATTAAATGAAAACTCGTCAATGTAATATTGTTTATCGAATTCTTTGAATTGTTTCAGTTTATCTATATCATCTTTGAAAATTGCGTGGCAAATTGTGTTTGTTTCGTATCTGTTGAGTAAAATTTCTATGTATTTCTTCCAGTTATCTGCTTTTAACTCCAAAAGTCTGGAATATGGAACTCGAAACAGTAAATTACGAATTTGAGAAAATGCATTTAACTCAGGGGCAAAAGCAATGAGAATATTAGTGTTTAATTCTGTTTTCATGATATCATCAAACGTAAATCCTTTAATATCAAATATATTTCGAAGCAAATGAGGATCCGCAAATTTGAAAATTTGTTCTAAAGCATTAGATTGATAGTGTTGAATTAATAGATTGCATAACTTAGCATTTCTGGTGATTGATTTGAATCTGATTTGGGAATATTTAGCAATTAATTGAATACTAGAATCTAAATAATCCGAATTTATAGTGGATTTGATATATTCAAATACTGAGTTCAGGTTTGAATCAGTAATTGAAGCAAGTTGCTCTTGTAAATGGCTCAAATCCGATATAGTTTCAATTATTTTGGAATCCGACATGAAACAAAATAATCTGGAAAATGGAAATTAAAGATGATTTAGCCATGGAGGTATATAAAAATACATGTTGTGCTATGAGAAATCTCAATATTTCATGAAATGAAATCCCTCATAACAAAATTTGCACATCCAAGCATAGCATTAGAAGTAATCCAATTGGAAGACAATCTGGAAATATATCTTTTACTTATCAATTCAGGATTAAAAACGATTTTTCGGGGTCTTTCTCCATCTCAAATATTTGAATTAAAATCTCCCCATTTATGTTTTAGGTATGGATTTTAAGGAAGAAACTCAATTTATTGAGACATTAAAAGAGGAAAGAGTCGTTAAAATATCTCAATTTGACGATGAGATTAATGATAAAGATCTTTCAAGTGATTTAGAACTTAAAGATATAATTGATGCGTTATTGAATGTGCCTGACCCAATAGACACAGTTCGTTTTTATAATATAGTTAATAACTTTGCTAATTATCTGAAAACTAATCATCCAACAAACATTCCCGATTATCAAATCATTGACCTTCTTGTAAATGTAGGCTTGAATCAAAATCACTTAGACATAGTTTCAACTACCTTACTATGCTTATACTATTTAGTTGATTACGTTGAAAACGCTGATGAATACTTTTTTGAAAAATTATACTATTTAAAAGTTCAAGAATTTATTATGGACATACCTACAAGAGTCACGACATTTTCTCTTTGGATATTTTCAGCGTTAGTAATTAAAATACAAGAAATGTTTCCAATTTTTATTTCAATATTTTCAGAACAAATGCTTATTCGACTCATAATTCCACAAAAAGACGAAATAGGACTAATGAATCTCATTGCTTCTAAACAAAGACCGTACATAATCGAAACTATTCTCAGAACCTTTTCTTTTTTAACAACAAAAGCTACTTCTGATGATATTATATCAATAACTGCCTACATAATTAACTTATTGTTCTCTAATGATTGCTCTTATAACTTCAAATTAATTTCTTTTAGAATAATATATCAAATTTTCAAAAACAATCAATTTTCACCAGAATTATTCCAAAATATCAATATAGAAGAAGTAATTCATCTATTACAAAGCGAAACAAATGATTCAAACATAAATGTAATAATTTGCGAATTGATTCCTTTTATAGCCCATTCTAATGGAATATTTTTAGCACACATTAATAATTTTATTCAAATGTTAGAGTCTCATATTGAGAATCCTTCAGGATATTTCTTATTCAAATTAATTTTAGTGATAATGAACAGTAGTTCAAAGGATTGTATATTATCACTTATGATTGACTCAAACTTACTTCATATAATATATGACAATTTGGAAAATTTTACTTTCAATTCTTTGAAAATTATTCTTTTGTTAATTCATCATTTTATATATGAAGTTACTTGTCCATTGAGCTTATACGTTTTGAATGACAATATGTTTCACTTGCTTTCCAAATTATCTGAAATTTATGAAAGTTTTTATGCAAATTTGATCCTTGAGTGTTATGAAATCATCTATAATAAGTTTTCAACCGAAAGAACCACAGTAATACAACTTGCAAATGATCATTGCGTTGACAATTTGCTAGAAAATTTCGAAGAAAATGTTGATGAAGATGAACTGATTGAAAGAGCACATTCATTATATAATGCATTATTTGCTTCATAACTTAGCAAAGATTCTCATTTAATACATTATTGGAGTTAATGAGAAAGAGTTTTCATATCATTGCAATGATATCTTAAATAAGAGTTGACTTTTTCTTGGGACTTTTCGAAGATTTATTGATTGAGTTTATCTTGCACGATATTAGAAATACTAAAGGATAATATAGTAACTTCAAGGTATACTTCAAATAACTGTATATTATTCCTTCTTTAGGAGTAATTTTATAATTAAGAATTGCATTTTCGATATCTTTGTTATATCTTGCAAAATAGAAATAAATAAAAACATCTGGGGCTGTAAAGAGGAAGTATAGAACTCATGAATAGTGTTCATAGCTTCATGACTTATTTTTGGATAATTTTACAACCTCTGATATCTAAATACTGACAAAAATTTTTTCCTAGTATGAATGCCTGAGTACTGTCGCTAGAATTCGACATATATTTTATAATCAATCATAGATCTGAAGCTGTGTTTAATCTATACATCGAGCAGAAATTATGAAAGAAAAAAAAATCAAAAAAGCTCGGTCACCGGGAATCGAACCCGGATCAAAAGAACGACAATCTTACATGATAACCATTACACTATGACCGATTCACATAAATAACCCTTATAAATTAATTTATAATAAAAGTTGATTCATTTTTGATTTCAAACTGATCTGATCATTTCCTAACTAAGATATGATAGTCACTCGACATACTAACACCAGAATTATCATATTTTCTAAATTTATTTCTTGGAGAAAGTAGCGTCGGAAAAACAGCACTAATCAATCGAATAGTATTCGACATGTTCGAAGAGAACCTGAAGCCAACAATTTCCGCGGCTTTCAGGCTGAAATCAATGGTTTTTAATGGAGTCGAACATGAAATGCAATTTTGGGATACAGCTGGTGAAGAAAAGTTTAGATCTCTTGCTCCAATATATGTGCAAAACGCTTCATTGGCAATAATTGTTTTTGATGTTACAAATGAACAGAGCTACAATGAACTTAATATCTGGATTGATGTTTCTCAATCTAGTGGAAAGATACCATTTATAGTTTTGGGAAATAAAAATGATCTTGAGAATCGTATCGGAACCTCTGAAGCATTCAATACACAAATCAAAGAAAAATTTGATGCCCCATATATTGACTGTAGCGCTAAAACATGTGAAGGTGTCGAATTGGTATTACAACAAGCACTGACAATTATTGATAATCAATCTCATGAATACACTGTTAAGGAGCCAGTAATGCAAGAAAAGAAGAAAGAAAAGTGTTGCTAACATATACTTTTATCGATAATTCATTTGTGTTTTATTTATTTTTTCATTCTTATTATTGATATGAAAGAGTTGATATTCGATGCATCGAACTAATGTTTAAATCATGTGTTTACGAACCATTCCATTTATGGTCCCAAAATCATGATTTTGCCTCAATATTTTTATTTGCATGTAACAAAATTCTTAAATAGAGCTATTAAACAATAAAATTATAATCTATCTTAATCGAGAACTTATTATTTTTTATATCTTATCTGTACTAATCGAATTTTTAAAAAATATCAACAGTGAATCAGGTTTTTGTAAAGATGCTATTTATATTTATCATGATTATGATTAAAACCCTTGATCTATGCATGAAGCAACAACGATACAAATCTATTGATTCAAAAAAACTTTAGATTTAGAGCATTTTATCATGCAAAAAGGCAATGTAGTTTCATTCTAATTGAATTCACTATATCTCAAGGGATGGTATTGACTGTTGTCAATACCTTTCAAAAGTGACAACAATAGAATTGAAATGACGGAAAAAAATGAAGATGCTCCTTCATTAGAATCAATTAGTAACCAAGAAGAGAAGGGTAGCGTGTCACAGAATGATGAGGAACCAGCAGTTGATCCTGAAAATCCACAAGAAGATTCTTCTAAAAATAACTCTGCTTCACAGGGCATCGAATCTGATTCAGGACAAAGAATTTTAACCCCAATTGTTACAGATGGAGTAGATCCACTTGATGCTGAACCAGAATATAACATTCCATTCTTAAGACTGTACTAATTTAACCATTTCCCATTAAATGTTATTGTTATTACTAAAATTCATGCATTTTAACTTTTACACATTTAATAATTTCTTATTTCAACTTAATATTTTAATTTTCTTTAAAACTAAATACAATTGGGAAATACAATGAGTCAAATACAAATCCTAAGTTTACGTATAGTTTGAAAACGAGTAAAAAGTTAAATTGTTGAAAAAAACAAATAATTTACATATTAAAGAGAGAACTAACCTATTTCATTCTTCTCTTCATAAAGAATAAAGCTACAACTGATAAGGCAGCAATTGAGCTTGATGCAATTAATGGTAATAACAAAGGATTCTTTTCTTCCTTTTCGTTTTTCTCTGGAACAATTTGAGTTTCATGATTCTCATAAGATGGTACATTTTTGTTACCTTGCTTCAGTTCTTCAATCTCTTGTTGCAATGCTTCTAAGTGATTTTGATATTCAAGTGTTGCATCTGAAAATGTAGTCTTTGTAAGCTCGAGTAAATCCATAATATCTGCTTTCTCTTTATTAAGAACTTCAAATGCATCATCTTCTTTTGTAAATGCGACTTTTTTAATGTAATTATTATATTTCTCAATATTTGTGCCATCTAAGATCAAATCTGATGATGAAAGGACATCGATAATTTCTTGTGCTGTAGGACGCTGATCAATTTCACTTTCCCAACACATAGAAATTAATTCTTCAAACATTGGTGGGAAATTTGGACCAAATTGGGGTCTACCACCGTAGTACCTTTCCTCATACAATTCTTCGCGTGATGAAAGCTGAGAAGGAGGTTCTCCTGATAATAAGTGATACAAAACCATTCCGAATGCAAATATATCTGCTTTGTTAGTAACTTTTTTGGTACCATTTGCCAAACACTCTGGCGAGTAGTAAACAAATGCTTTCTCATCAAATTCAAAATTTGACATGAAGTCAGGACCATCAATACATGAGTAACTAAGATCTCCTATGATTGGCTCGCAATTTTCGTCAATCCAAATTGTTGACGAGTTTAGATTTGTTAGTGTAATTTTGTTTGAATGCAAATATAAAAGTGCTGATGCAATTCCATGTATAATTTTCATTTTGTTAGTTGGATCTTCAAGCATTGGATCTCTAGATGAAATCGCATCGTTGAGAGTTCCTAATCTTGGATACTCTCTAGAGACAAGTAAGCCATTATTCGGAGAAATTGCATAACCAATGATCGGTCCGAAGACTTTATGTGTCATTTTTGTGCTAATTTGTACATCGTTTATTAGCTTTTTTAACGTTATGATATCACATTGTTTATAATATTTGGTAAAACAGTCCAAACCAGTGGCAACTTGTTTTGTATGTGAGTACTTCCCGTCAGATTGCACTGATATCTTTTCTTGCTCTACAAAGTCATTAAAATCACAAAGAAGATCTGATTGCATTGAAAATAATGATTCTAAGAACATGTAAATAAACAAGTTTATATGCAAAATAAGAAATTTTCCTTCTGAAATCATTATAAATCAAGAGATTTCACAGGATTGATCTAAACTGAGAGTTGTTCAATCTCCAATAGCATATTTTATAGTTGAGAGAAATCATTAGCATATAAAACCCTAAATAATTGGTATTTCGTGATATTTTACTGATATCATATAAAAATAATGACGATAAAATGACATGGGTTCATTGAAATAAAACAAGTGTTGATTTCTATTTTAGTCTCCAATTACTATCATAAACAAAGACGCAAGAAGAAGACGTACTTAAGTAATTCATTATGATTAATTACAAAGATATTGACAAAAGTTGTTATTCAAATGACGGAAAAATCCTTACAAAAGTTAACGATGCATCACACAACCTCAGGATATCATCCACATGTGAAATCATCCAAGATCAATGCTTTTACGAACTCGAAACTTTATTTTCCTTTTCATTTCAAGAAAATCCTAACTTAACAACAATTGGAAGAGATTGCTTTACTAAATGTAAAAATCTTGCCATAATTAATCTATCATCATGCAATAAACTTACAAAAATATCTTCTTCAGCATTTTCTGCCTGTTCTAAAGTCAATCAGATACTTTTACCAGAAGGACTCCTTGAAATAGGAAGCAATGCATTTGGAGATAATCATCAAGTGACCAGTATTATCATACCAGCATCTGTTAAAATAATAGAACATTGGGCATTTATTTCGTGTTCTAAACTACAAAATGTTACTTTTAAAGAAGGGTCAGATTTAATTTCATTAGAAAATGGTGTATTTGCTAATACTGCAATTACTTCGTTTCAAATTCCAGAAAAAGTTTCTAAAGTCCATGGATGTGCATTTTCAGATGGAAAATTAATAAATTTTACAGTTCATCCTAATAATAACTACTTAACAGTTAAAGATTATGTTATTTATTCGAAAAATGGAAGTATTTTATTTTTTATTTGTAACAAAACAGGATACAAAATTCCAAATTCAGTCACAACTATTGGAACGTATTGCTTTTTTAGATCATCTATCAAAACAATTATAATTCCAGCAAATATGAAAAGAATTGAAAATGATGCTTTCTATGGTTGTAATAGTTTGATAAATGTTACTTTTTTAGGTCCAATAGATTACTTTGGCGGTCAGGTATTTGGTTCTTGTGAAAATCTTGAACTAATTATATTTTCTAATTCAGCAATGACTGTTGAAGGATCTGATTTTGTTACAAATAATATGCCAAAAGTCAGTTTGTCATTCACTTGCAAAACTCTATTTTATTCTTATTCAATTAAAAGAAATACAAATGTTTCAATTTCATATCTGAATGAACCAAATCTTATTATTACACCAGATTGTTTGATTATGAATTCTGATCAAACCATAATTTATGAATATTGGGGATACATTCCAAATAATTATTATAGTATTACAATTCCTAAATCTGTTACAAAAATCAAAGAAAAAGCATTCGAAAATTCTAAAATTCAGAATATTTATTTCACAAAAGATTCTCAAATCATTGATATAGAAAATGATGCATTTAGAAATTGTTCAAATCTGAGATCATTTGATTATTCATTTCCTAAATTACAAACATTAGGAATGTCATCATTTAAAGATTGCATTAATTTAGAAAATTTTACATTTTCATCACCAAATTTGAGTGTTATGACTAATGCATTTGAGAATTGCATCAAATTAAATAATGTTAGTAATATTTCGAATATTCCTGATAATTGTTTCTGTGGATGTACTAATTTAGAAGAAGTTACAATTCAAGAAGGATCAGAGGAGATTGGATATAAATCATTTGAGAATTGTTCTTCATTAGAAAGTATTAAAATTCCACAATCTTTTAAAATTATTTCCAAATATTCATTTCTTTCTTGTAAGAAACTAAAATCAATTATATTCAGTGAAACAAATTCACTTGATTTTTTTTCAATTAATTCTATTTCAGAATGCAATTGTCTTACAAATATCAGTAATTTTTCATCATATAAATACAAATGTATTGATAATACTTTATACTACAAAAACAATACTAAATGGGAACTTATTTTTCATTTGAGTGAATCAGAAGACAAAGAACTCAACATTAACTGCGATGTTATCTGTAGTTATTCATTCAATTCGAGCAACAACATTGAGAAAATCAAAATTACATCAGACAGTGTTTCTGTTATTGAAAAACATTCATTCTACAACTGCTTAAATCTCAAATACATCAATTTCCTACTTTCAATTTCAGATGTTGAGAATAATGCATTCCATGATTGCAAATCCATTCGATGTCCTGTTATTATTGAGAACACATCAACTGATTACATTCAAATGATTGTTGAGTCAGGAATTCCTGAAAGACTTATGATTTCATGTCATATTGCACATGTTTCGAAGAATCATTTAAATCATAATTTTTTACATTATCCTTCTACACATCTTTTCTGGAAACTTCTTTCCGACTAAAACTCTTTTTATTTTATCATTATGAACAACATCTTTGCTTTCTAACTCATTCATTTGGTGATTTTTTTTGGATATCGCCTAACATCTTTTTACTTTAAGTTTTGAAATTTTAATATCATATTGAGAAATTTGATATTTAATTCGTTTTTAAGTACTGATAAATATGAAGTTAGGCAATTATCTATCAGAATCTATAAGACTAATTCCCTGACTCTAAAACCTGAATGGATTTTGTTAATTTAAAAAATTTTGGAAAAGTGATAAAATGGAGCTTCTTATTTTTTTTTACAACAATAAAGTCAATTACTTCTTTTTTGTTATAATTTGCCGCAATTTGAAGAGTTGTTTTTCCATTTAATCTCTTTCATTTTTATTTGAGCCATGCGAAATAAGAACTTCGGTCGTTGACAGATAATTATCACGAGTTGTAAAATGAAGTGGAGTTTGTTCATCTTGATCCTTTTCATTGACATTTGCACATTATGAAAGAAGTAATCCAGCTGTTTCTTTACAATTATTTTCTGCTCCATAATGAAGAGCAGATTTTCCATAAAAATGTGCTGCAATATGAAGAATTCAACAACTTCTAATAAATTGAAATATGCCTTGCATTGCAAAATATCATAAACACTATTTCTTTCAGCAACAAGGCACTAAATTTTCGTAATAAACTTTGATAAGTACTCCCCTTCTTTTATTTGAATATGGAACCTTATTATTTGTGAATTGCGATAATTTTGAGGACGCAATTTTATAAATGAATCACCATAAAAGATAACGATGGATAAACTACCCTTAATTCGGCATTAAAAATAATTCATAAGAAACAACGGATTTCCGTATTTAATATTAGCTATTCAGGAATGCAATAGTTAGAAAAATTAAATTAAAATGATTAACAGAAATTATATACCATGAAAGAGTTATAATCATTCACTTGTCCTTAAATCTAATATTACTTTTTTTCATTCTCATTATATTATCATGTTTCAGTTTAGGAAAAAGGCAAATTTGGTATTAAAATTAATATTTCAACAAATCTTTGAAATTTGTCATATGATTAGAAAAATTTAATATATTTTTGATATTTCTTCAAAGATTCCATAGTTCAAAATAATTAAACCCCTTGCATACTACATGAATGTAATTGTGCCCTTTCCATATAACTTGTGATTGTTTTTTTATCATTGTTAATTTACACAATTCAATGAGTTCTCTCAAACTTTCAGATATGTGTCAAATTCAACCATGATAAAAATGTATTTAATAATAACTCCCTAGTAACTGCAAAGTAATGAATTAAATTGTGTACAGTATTCAGATGAAAAAACAGTCCTTCTTTCTGTTCTCAAGGGATTTTCTGGTGATTGCACTGTTATTGCCGAATGTACAACAATCAAAGGAGGGACAACTCAAGATGCAAGTCCCTTCTTCTTCTGTCGAGAAACTTTACCCTCAATATCATTTGCTCCAGGAAGCCAACTATCATCAATATGCGATTGTTGCTTTATGAATTCCGCATTAATAAGTGCGGACATGAGTCAATGCACAAAACTCCTAGTCCTCAGTGATGGCTGTTTCAGTAGATGCTCCAGATTGAGCAATGTAAAATTACCTCCAAAACTAACGAAAATTTCATATGGATGTTTTTATATTGATTCTGCTTTAACAAAAATTGAATTTCCTGATACTTTGACAGAGATTGTGGGTCCTACTCAGACGCATGGAAGTGTTTTTGGATCTTCTGGAATAAAAGAAGTTACAATTGGCCAAAATTCTCAATTGCAGAAATTGAGTGCAAATGCTTTTGCATTCACAAAGCTAGAATATTTTCATATTCCATCAAAATGCTTGCTGCAAGATGGTTCATGTTTCCAAGGTTGTCCTATTATTGGTATATCAGTTGATGAAAGGAATACAAATTATAAAGTTGATGGCCAAATGCTGCTCTCTGGACCTGGATTTACCAATCTTGTTTATGTGAGTTCAAGGTTAACAGGAACATTTCAAGTTCCTTCTTATATCACTTCAATCGGTAATTCTGCATTTAGAGGATCAAAATTCAGTAAGATAATTTTTTCCACAAATATAACTTTTATTGATAGTTTTTGTCTTGGAGAATGCCAAATTGTCGATTTCGAATTTCCTTCTCAAATAAAAAATATTTCATCTTTTATGTTTCAAGGATGTCGAAATTTAGTGACAGTAAAATTAACAGAAAATATCACAGAGATCAAAAGTAGTGCATTCTATTATTGTCAAAAACTTAAAAACATCGTTTTACCATCTAGTTTGAAGAATTTAGGAGACACTGCCTTTATTGGATGCATTTCATTAACAGAAATAACTCTCCCCAAAAATTTGGAAACAATAGGTGATGGCGTTTTTACAGAAATTCCTAATTTAACACTTCATTCATTAAGTCCCAAATTTGTTGTTGACAATAATATGATGTATAAGGATGACAATAGAACTTTATTAGTTTATGTAGGATCAGAAGAAAATACAGATATTTCTATTTTAGCCGAGTGTAATTTTATTGCTCGAGGAACTTTTGCAGAAAAGAAAATAAAAGATGTTTCTTTCAAAAGTTCCAATGTGGATTTGGATATTACTATTGGTGAAACTGTTTTCAAAGAATCAACCATACATTCAATTGTTTTCCCACCAGGTTTGAAAACTATCTCAAATAATGCTTTTGATAGTTGCTCGCAGCTAATAAGTGTAACATTCCAAGGAACAAAAATTACAACAATTCCTGGTTCTTGTTTCATAAATTGCAATATGCTTTCATCAATTATTCTCCCAACATCTATTACTTCAATAGGAGAATATGCATTTGCAAACTGCAAAAAACTTGGAGATATTGGATTATCTAACTTAAATTCACTAACATCTATTGGAACTTATGCATTCTCAGAAAGTGGATTGACAACTGCGAACTTACCAAGTTCAATAGAATCAGTTGGTATCAGATCATTTGCCAATTCTCAAATCACAGATTTCACTATATCTTGTAATATTCCAAGTATGTTATGCCAATCATGTACATCATTGATAACACTTACACTCAATAATGGTGTCACAGATATTGGAACATATGCTTTTGATGGATGTATTTCATTGACGGATTTCATAATTCCAAGTTCATTAGCTACTATTCAAGGTTTTGCATTTCAATCATGCGAAGAACTGAGAACATTGATAATGGGAGCTGACTGCACGCTTTCAAAGATTGATGGTGGATGCTTCTATGGTTGTTATAATTTAAAATCTGTTAAGCTTCCTCAAAATGATCAAAGATATCGATTTGAAAATGGTGCATTGACAAATCACGCACAAACAAAACTTATTCTCTTCCTTCCATACAGCGGTGTTAAAAATTTCATTGTTCCGTTAGAAATGGAGACTATCGGAAGTTGTGCTTTCATGGGAAGTCCAACTCTCTTAAGAGTATTCTTCAATGGAAATAATATTAACACTATCGACTATCAGGCTTTCAAAGATTGCAAGAATTTGAATTTTGTTTTCTTCTCATCATCTAGTATCTCTCAAATAGGTACAAATGCATTTGACGGATGCCCTCTTCTTCGCATGTGTGGATCATTTTCAGCGCCACAAGCTGTGCAGGAAAAAATTATTAATATTGGGAATATTCCTAAGATTGCATTTTCGGAAGATTGTGCTTTTGCTAATTCATGCAGAGCAATTAAAAATATTGGAATTCCATTCTCATACTTATATCCATTTTTAACTATTGAATTGTAAACTTCTTTATAGATAATTAAAATCTTGTTTATTTTTTCTAGAGCAATTTTTAGAAGAGAAGTTATTGTATGATTATTTTGATATTCTCCATCATTGTCTATTTCATTAATATTTGCATTAAGCGAAATAAGAAATTCGAAGATTACTTATTATTATGAAATACTACAATACTTAGTAAACATCTTATCCCATGCATATCATGTAAACATCTCAATATTGGATATTGATCTAAAGAATCTAACCAGACATAGAATCAATATTTGCTCAATTTGGTCTAATCTATGCTACTCTTCCAATATTTTGCATAAATGTAATAATAATTTAAAAAATTGTTATTTATATGTCAAATCATAATGTATTTATTTTCGGTCAGATAGAAAAAGTTTGGAAAAGTGATGAATATTCCGCCGTAGTATATACAAATTCATTTTCAAAAATATCAGAATAAGAAATAATTGGGCTTCTTATTTTTTTGCACTATAATAAATAAGAAGTTTAATTACTTCTTTTTTATTATAATTTGCTGCAATTTGAAGAGCTGTTTTCCCACTATAATCTCTTTCATTTATATTTGCGCCATGCAAAATAAGAACTTCGGCTGTTGACGGATAATTATAACGAGCTGTATAATGAAGTGGGGTTTGTCCATCTTGATCTTTTTCATTGACATTTGCCCCATGTGAAAGAAGTAATTCAGCTGTTTCTTTACGACCATGTTCTGCTGCATAATGAAGAGCGGATTGTCCATTAAAATTTCTTGCCTTGACATTTGCACCATGTAAAATGAGAACCTCAGCTGTTTCTTTGCTATTATTTTCTGCGGCAATATAAAGAGCGGTATCTTCATATTCATCTTTTTCATTGATATCTGCACCATGTGAAATAAGAACCTCGGCTGTTTCTTTACTATAGGGTGTCCAAAGGTGCGTTTAGCACAGCGCTCTATATGAGACTATTAAAGGAGATATATGCTGATTATAAATATATAATAAAAAATATGAATATATGTATATGATGAATATGTTGTATTTTGGCGCCATGCCGGGATATAAAATGAATTTTGAGACAAGAGGCGGTTTCGCGGGAAATTTTGGCGGGATTTTTTTCATTTTTTTAATGAATCATAAAGAAAACATCCTCGCTCTTGCAAAAAAATGCAAAGACTGTAAAAAAATCTACGAGACATTGGTAAAATGCTTCGGTATGGATGCTCCTAGCTATTCCACTGTAACGTATCATGTTAGGATGTATCACTTCATGAACAAAAAGGCGCCCATCATAAAAATTGACAAAAAATCGCCGGATCAAAGAAAAATCAAAGCAATTCTTCAAGCGCTAGATGAAGACCCAAGAGCATCACTCAGAAGGATAGAGGAGATGACAAAGATACCACGTACAACAGTCAGTTATTATCTGCACAATTATTTGAACTACAAACTAGCGTATACACGTTGGGTTCCGCACAACCTTAATTCAGTTCAAAAAAAATCTAGAGTCCAATCTTCGAAAGAGCTCCTCTCTATATTGGGTGCGTATCAATCCAAGAAGTTTCGCTTTTTAATAACAGGGGACGAGTCTTGGTTTCAATATGCAACAGAAGCCAAAATCATGTGGATCCCGAAGGATGAAAATCCGCAAACATTCCCGAAGAAAAAAATTGACACACCAATGATGATGTTGTCGGTTTTTTGGGGCGTGAATGGCATCATCGCAATTGATATTCTTCAAAAACCTAATACGATGAATGCTCAGTATCTAATTGACAATGTTCTTACTCAAATTATCAATTCTGATGAGTTTGAGAAATCCAAACAACAAAAACAAAAGTTTGCAATTCATTTTGATAATTCAAGAGTTCACAAAAGTCATAAGGTAATGAATTACTTGGTGGAAAACAATGTCAAAGTTGTTCCAAACCCAATTTATTCACCTGATATTGCACCCTCTGACTTTTATTTATTCGGCGCGCTAAAAAAGAGAGCTGAAGGACGCGAATTCGCGAGTCCAGATGATCTTGAAAATTTTGTAAGAGAGCAATTTGAGCAATTTTCTCATGATGATTTAAAGCGTGTCTTTCAAGCCTGGATCGATCGCTGCGAACGCGTGATTGAATCCAATGGTGATTATATTTAAATAAACTTTATATATATGTAACTTGTTTATTTCTATTCGCAGTATTCAGGTTTGTGCTAAACACACCTTTGGACACCCTATATTATAACGAGCTGCAATATGAGTTAGTACACCAGTCTTGGGTATGGTGGCACTGCGTTCCACCTTACCCAATACTTGTGAATTTGACACTTTACAAAACCGTTAACGTACATTTTACAACATGAACGCAAAAACTAACTTAACCTTAAATATTTACAAAGCCGCCAACCATTTCACCTCACTAACGAACTCACTAATGAAAAAATAAACGTTCTCATAAATTTTCTTCTATATCTTCATCGTCAATGTTAACTCTATTGTAGTCATACTTGAAGTCATAAAGTTTCTCAAGTTTTGAAATGCATAGTCTTGTTAACTTACCTTCATCATCATAAGTTTTTATAAAACTACCATGACAATCTTTATACACAGTCAATGAAAAGTCAACTGGTCTAGGATGAAGTGTAAAGAACATGTTATGCTCAGGAAGGAAGAATAAATGTTTAAATGTATGTTTGTTATATTTTTCGATTTGTATGAGTTGCTTTTGTTCTGTCATTTACATCCAAATAAAAATTTTCAGTAAAATAAACTTAAAATTAATGATATCACCACCCTCACACGTATGAAAACATAGCACAAAAATAAATTTAGGTGAAGTGGTGAAATCTCACCTCTTTTTTCACCTGTTTTTTCACCCACTTGAATTCATTGCTTTATAACTCTCTTCCTTTCTCCAACTCTTCTAACTTCTTCCTAAGTTCAGCAATGTTGTCCTCATGAAGTTTAATCTTCCTTAATATACCTTCTCTATCTAATGGTTGCTTTATCTTTCTAAACTGAACTCTACCATCCTTCAATAGTATGAACGTAAAAACCTTCTGGAACCGCTCCTGATTTAATGTATTCTACAAAAATTTTTGTTTCATTGCTTCAGTGACTTTAGTCGTCATTCAATCAAATAAAAATTTTTAATATTAAATAAAAATAACGTTATTTTTCAGTAAGGAAACGCAGGAGTTTTACGATTTATTTGAGGAGTAGGTTCTGATTTTAAATGTTGGAGTCGGTTTTGGAGTTGACTTTTGAACAGGAGTTTGTACTTCCATAGGTTCAGGAGTCATTGAAGGTTTGCTTGTGAAGGCGTTGGTTTTGGCGAAGGTGTTGGAATTTGTTAACTTCAGCTACTTCAGTATTATTTACAACATTTGCTTTATTTCTTTTCAACATCATAACTGCTCCTGCTGTAGCTAGCAAACCTAGTGGGAGACCATATCTTATATAAGGACTTGACCAAATGCTATTTTTGACAGGAGCTGGTGGAACACCTAACCTTGGTGAGACTGCTCTTTGCCATTGTGCAGCTCGTAAGAAATATTCAATAGGTGCTCCATAATCGTTTGGTAAAGTTTGTTTCACAGATGGTGAAGGTTCACGAGAGCTTGATGAAGAACTCATTTATAAGCTTTAAAAATAAACGTTCATCCTTTATTCCTCACTGTCGTCCGTAGCTAAGTTATAGTCATCTAATCTTATTATTGGGATGCCATTAGCACGCACCTGAATGGCAAAGCAACAATCCCTCATAAATCCAATAAGTGGCTTTGGTACGTTTTCAGTTCTAGTTCAATAGGTCCTTTAACAGACAATTTGTATGTTATTGGAGCAGTAGATTTTTGACCTTGTTGGAAGCAAAAGTCCACTTCTGTTGGAAACCACATAAGAAATGTGTGTTGTCATAGCTATCCATTTATGTTCCACACTACCATCATCCACCAATGACCTCATAACATCTTCATTAAATCCAATCATATCATTGTTTGTATTGCAAGCGTTCGCAACCATTTCATAAAATACAGGTCCATATGATTTTTCGGGTTCTGCAGGCATATTTCCATAACTCCCATGGAAAGCTGAAGATATTTAAACTTAGGGTTCTCAAATTAACATAATAGTTGTCTTTCTTTCTAAATAGTGCCCAATACTTTTAACATTAATAGGCGTATAAGCTGCTGTAAATGTTGCACTTGACTATCTGTATTCTTTGAGAATGAACCGTCCATAGGAATCCAATCCATAACTTTAACAGGAAAACATAAAGCCTCGTTTGTATAATGTTCACAAGTTCTGTATAAATGTTTAGGGTCTAAAGAGAATGACTTTGGATGAATGAAACATTCATTAAAATCCATCTTTGTTCGAAATAGTTGCTGGTTTACAGTTTAATAGTAACTGTTCCACTAGCTTCTACTGCCTTCGTTATCATAGTGAATGGTTCATTCCATGGAACAAATTTATTTGTCGGTGGATTTGAATCTGAAGCAAATGCAACTTTAAGAGTTGGATTGAAAGCAATGATATCATTTACAGATATCGATGTGCATTGTAAGGCGTCGCTACTGAACTTTACTTTAAGCTGAATGTTTCCTGCAAAAGCTGGAATAAATCGAATAGCTTCTAATGGAAGGAATCTTCTAACAGGAATTCTTAACGAAGCTTAAAATCAAATGATTTTCCTGCTGTAATTGGACCACTAACAATTTGTCCTGTTCTGCATGTTCCCGAATGACTCCATACATCTTCATGTCGAGTCTTTGAGAAAACATCTACTTTCTTTATTTTTCGGTAGTTTGTGAGTTTTGAAGTTATATATGCTTCTTCTCTTGCGTTGTCTTGAGAATATACGATACGACCATTTGCAAGGATTTGATATCCAGCAACTGCATAGAAAGCGTCATCGAAACCAATCCAAAATCCTGGTGGGTTTGTTTTATGGAACCTGAACCAATTTCTTTATCTACAATAAATTGACCTTCCATTTTATACGTAATGAATGTATTGTAAAG